GTTTCAGTGCACGGAAAGGAGCAACGGTAACACTAAGCTTCCATAGTAAAGGTTATCTGGCCGTGGCAGACGCTTATTGTCGGCCGTCTCTCCCTCCGTCCACTCCCGTTCTGAGCGCCAGGATCGTTTTTGAAAAACGACACTAGTTTCTGGCTGCCAGAATCGCTTTTGAAAAACGACACTACTGATAACGATGCTGTTTTGCGGCCCTAGACAACAGTACCGCTCTATCTATGGGCCATACACGGTGATCGGGTGAAAGTACGTGTATACCTTTGGTCGCAATTACCGACACTCACACATCATACATTATGGTAACTCTAAATAGATCGTCGGGAGAAGATAACAGAAGGCCTAGCCACGAACAGACAACTTCCGGTCAAAATTGACAGAATTCCATGAAATTCGAATTTTCGGAAGTTCTGAGCACCTCCATTTCATGAATTTCGGCCAGAACGATCTTTTCCCAAATTTCATTATTTTCTACTGTTCGAAATTCATGGCACATTACCGTAATACCCTGGCTAATATCTACGATAGCCAACTAAACAGAGCCACACACTAGGCCCCGGTTTCAAAAGAAAAAAAAAAGAAATTAATTACCATATTACATGGGCACATCTTACCCTATCAGGAGCAGTGTAACAGCACCCTGTTGGAAATCCTTGTCAACTAAGCCAAGGAACTGACTTAAGCTTTTTTTGTAAAAATGAGGCCAGGAATGAATTAACTTTTGCCTAAACAATATGAAGCTAACTAGGAAAAACTTGTGAAAGGAGGAGTAATTTCTCTCTAGTGTAATTCCAGGTTGAAACCTGTATTGCTAATTATAAGGCAAAACACTCATTGTGAAAAGGTCTTGATGCAAGGTCTTAATAAAGGTGCCCTGAGTGTCAGGGCACTATAAAGCTAGCTTTTCACTATTCATACTTTTTAATGAGGTAGCTTTACAGTGCCCCTGAAAAACGGTGGCAATCTTGAGTATCCGTCAAAGGAACTGCTCCACAGTGAATCTGCAGTTGAATGTCATTAGTCCAAAATGAAACATAAATCATATTTAATTTTTGCTTTAATTTTTTTATTTATTTTAGATGTGAATTGAAAAATTAATAATATATTTTTTAAAAGAAAAATATATACCAGTTGTTTTTTATTTTTTTATTTTTTGCTCATCAAAAAACATTTGCTCCTGAAGATAGAAACACAGTATACAGGTGAAAAGTTTAGACTCTTTATTTTATGTACAATAGATTTGTAGTCAGCACCTTTTTTCCATTTCGGTGTAGTGGTATTATATATAAAAATGTTCTACTAAATTGTAAATACTTTCAGGTTCGCATTGAGGCATATGACCATGGTCCAATAGGAAAAGTAAAAACCGCTCAGGAGGAGATAACTATAATCATTCAGGACATAAATGATCATGAGCCTACCTTTGACCGTGAAAAGTATCCCTTGCCTTATATTACTAAATATGTGGAAGAAAATAAAAAGGGTGCCAGGGTTATCACCAACCTTAATGCAGATGACAAAGATAAATTGGATACAATCTATTATTTGATTGTAGGTAAGTTTACTTGCAGGTCACTCTGAGAAAGGTGCAAAAATTGTTTGTGTTGATATCCATTAGCGCAATTTTAAGTTGACAGATCATTTGCTGCAATTTTGCAAGAAGGAATTTTACAATGCAAATGTGGTCTGAAGACTTTTTTGCAAACTTCTCACACTTTTAATCTTCCTACGAATTTAGACTATTACTATTATAACCAGCATTAATTATTTTAATTGTTTTATTCACCTCAGCTTTTAGTATCTATACAATAACTTGTAATTCTTATAATTTTATTTGTAAACAGCACTGAGACAGAGGTGTAGTGTGGTTTTTAGAAAATAATAATGGTATTATTATGATCATTAAATCTAATATTTGCTAAGGGATATTATTACTAGATGGCATATGCTTTATGCTTTTAACCAGAATATTAAACCTAGGCTTGGTTATTCCAATAAAGATGAAAATCAGATAAATCAATTGGCACATCGCTGAGAATTACTGGCTTAGAAGTTATAGAAGAGTCAAAAACCATAATTGATAAAAAAAAACATTTGTTGTCTATTAAAATCAAGCCCTGATATCAGGTTCTCCAGGAGCTGACAAGATGATGATGATGTTTTATGCTCAATTTTCACACTGAAACTGGCATTTAATCTGTCCATGAGTATCTTGAATTTGATTTATGTCTCAGAAAATTGTCTTAGAAAATTCCTTTTTCAGTACTATTTTTTTAGAAAAATTGCCAATTGTATTTTTAGAGGGAAATACAACACTTTTCGAGGTGAAGAATTCTGGCAACAAGGCCAACATCAGCTTAAAGGCAAACATGTCCCTTGACCGTGAGCAGAGGGACAGCTACAGACTGGTTGTGGAAGCTAGTAATTACAATTTTAAGGAACTCGCTACTGGAAACCAGAATGCTCGGGTTGTTATTGTGGTCCAGGTTCAAGACGTCAATGACAACCCACCCACGTTTAATAAGCACCTCTTCACTGCCGGCATCACTAAAGAAGTGGAGCCCCCTGCTACAATATTAGAGCTGAAGGTATGTATTGTTTCTTCTGGTTATTGATACCAAGATTGAAGCAATGCTGAGAACCTCTGTACATTCAATGAGCAGATGAGTATATATGTATTTCACCCTTATCTCTTTTGCATAGAATTGTGGGTGGGTATGTGCATGTATGTATGCATGTGCAGCCCGTAGCCAGAAATTTCAAAAGGGGGGTTCTTTTTTTGAAAAAGTGGACCTTTTCCCATAAAAACTTCATGTACCTAGATCAAATTTTACCCAGAGTGGACCTTTTCCCAGCAAAAGGGGCGGTTCTTTCGAACCTCTCGAACCCCCCCTGGCAACGGGACTGATGTGCTTGTGTAAAAAAGTGTCAGAGGACAACACAAGTGGCTGGGTGAGGGGGGTGCTACACACACATATATATATATATATATATATATATATATATATATATATATTACTACCCCTGTATATCAGGGTCATTTGATACTTCATCAGTAGTAATGTTCTCTCCTCATTTCCCAGAATGAAGTGGTGGACCGTGACATAGGCAACAACAGCCGTGTCCAGTTTTACATGGTGCCGGGCAGTATGAACATCAGTAGTGATCTGAAACAGAAGATAGGCAGCAAAAACCCTTTCCTGGTGGACCTCAGTGGCAATGTCAAGTCTGACATGTACTTTGAGAGTGACATGTCCGGCTATGTCGACTTCTTTGTATATGTCAATGATTCTGGAGGGTACAATGACAAGGCCAAAGTATCGGTATGAAACAGTCATTGGTATTATGAATGTAACATGCTTCAATTAATTCACAGCTCTTCACAGTTATAATAATTCATTTTATTCATTGTTATGGTACTGTTGAAGGAATATATGCTCCATTTATTAATTTGCTTATTTACTTATCATATTTATTCACTTGTTTGTTTGTTCCAAGACTTATGTTAAGGGGATGTTATCATGCATGACAGTTTTAATTTAATGACTGACAGATTCTTGCTGTGTAACCTAAAAGATAGATGATTATTTTTTGTACTTCTGGACATCAGTAATATTGTGAGTTTGAAGTATTTATGTGTAAACAGTATGCTGTTTATTTTTCAGATTTATTTGATAGGTTCCAGTCAGCAGATCAAGATTGTTTTACCTGGTACCCCAGATGAGGTCAGACTGAAGAAGAGAGAACTTGAAGAGTAAGCAAAGATTGGAAAAATGACAAATTTTAACAATTGCGTAAAAGACCCCATTTCCATAGATTTTAGATCGATCTATCCCTGTGGGGAGTCTCACTAGATTACTGTCAGCTTAGCCGGCTTAAGCAGTGTATGAAATTCAAGGAAATTACTAGCCAGACCGCCGGGCAGGTAACTCTGAAAAGTTACCAGCCCGGCCATGTAGTTACCTGCCCTATTTATGATAACCCCTAGAGTTAAGAGAGGTATGCTGAGGGGGTCTAGAATGCATTCTTGGGAGAGTAATTTGGAAATGAAAGGGCAATATCATGCCTTATGCATGGAAACTTAGAAATTGTTTGGAATTTCTACTGAATGATACCTTGTCAGTGTTGGATTTAGAGGGGGTCAGGGGGCTCCTGACGCCCCCCTTTTAATTTCTGTAAAAAAAACTCACCTCTTGAAATAAGACTTTCACTAGTTGAATCATATTTCTAAACCATACCAAATGGCACCATTCACCATCTAAAATACCAAAAATTTTCAGGGCCCTTTAGCAGTCGGGGGAGGGCGGGGGTAGTCAATTCAGTTTATGTTCACCTTGCAGGCTGTCTCATTTCTTCGTCAATAATTTATTCATAACTTTTATTCCGATTTCGTGATATAATTTGATCATAATTTTTGCTTTTTTGTATAGCAACAAGTATGACCAAAAATATATATATTGTTGTCAAATAAATCGATCTCTGTGCTAACAATAAAGAAGAAAAAATTTAGCACGTAGGGTCCCTTTGAATATCGCTTTTAAGCTTTAAAAAGCGGTCGGGAACGGTCTTGCACGCTAATGGCCCATAGACAGTCCTGCAGGGCCCCGTATCTCGAAAGCATTGCTTATTGAGAATAGCTATATATATCACATAGAGGCTACAATATTATTTTTATATGGGGCGAGTATGGACGAGTTATTGGATCGAGATGCTTGCGCTCGGTCGCAGTGCGTGATACTTTCGAGTTACGGTTTTACGAAAAAAAATGTTGCCGCTCGACTAATTGCAAATCGAAGTCACCTTTCCATTGGTCCCAATTTGTTCTCTTTCGTTTGGTTCTGTCGTAATCTTTGTTAGTTTTATTTCTTTCCTCAATTGTTTTTCTTTTGTGAACTTCTCTATCGGACTTGATAGAATTTTTTCATTTTTGACAGCCCAAGATGAAAGCACGTGGGAAAAGAACTACATCTGACGCACGGCGTAAACTCGTACGTTCACTCATAATTTTGGGATTCAAATTTTTTGTAAAATTCTCCTTTTATTTTCCTCCATTGCCTTTATTACTGTTGATTATAAGAACTTCATGTACCTATAAGTCGCTTTAATCAATATCATAACTTTTTATACTTTCACATTTTTATTACTCTCAACCTACAAATTGCTACTCGCGGTATCTCCTCTACACAAAACAATGACGTAACGTTATCTGCTGTGCACTGAAGCTGGTTAAGAACATTGTGCCTCGTTTCAAATTGTCTTTCAACTTCATATCACACAGACAGAACTTCGAAAACGAGGCCACTGAGAGGGAGACTGTTGGTTACATTTCATTACGAGCGTTCGATTGCAAGCTATGGTTAGTTCTTTGCTTCTATGAAAGTGGGTGAAAACAGTGAGTTTATTTGATATTTTGCTGAAATCGCTTGTGAACATAGACAAAATAAAAGGTGAAAATAGGCTGTAAAAACAGCCAGCCCGTCGGGCGGGTAATCTGCAAATCTTACCCGCCCGGCCTGAAAGTTACCAGCCTCGGGCTGGCGGGCAGGCGGCCATTTCATACACTGGCTTAAGCGTCTGTCCCGCCTACTGAAAGCTGTAAGGGGGTAATTAACTATGGTGGGCGCTCGGCTGACTGCAATTTAGCGTGAACCCCCAGGGAGTTAGGTCGATCTAAATCTTAATCTCTGGATCGATCTAAATCTCTGGGAATACACCCAAAGAAAGATTAAATCACGTACTGGAGACTAACCTACAGGTGACTTCTGTCAAATGACAGCAGTGACAGTTGACCCTGAAGAAGTCTATGGGAGATGCACTAAACAGCATAGCCTCTACCACCTGTATGTTACCATTCAGTATGTGATTTAATTTCCCTTACTTTAATTAATTACTGATAGTTCATACCATATTATGATAATAATGAAATCACTTTGTCATTGTCTTCTTTATATTGAATAGCATGCTTTGATTGGAATGTTTTACATGGCCCTACGTTTTTCAGATATCTCTCCAATATCACTGGAGCTATTGTTAATGTGGACAAATTTGTAGAACATGACCCTACAGGAAGTAGTAGTAGTAACCTCAAAATAGATAGGTAAGAACTTGGGTTTTTTTTTTTTAATTACATCCACTTTCTTATTTAAATATTAAGTGCATTTAATAAATGAAGTATTCTAGAATTGTGAATTATTGTTTTTCCCCGGTATGTGTTCATGAAGATTGCACTTGTGTTTTGGAAATTGATATATATATATGTAGATTATCACCTGCAGTCTGTATCTGATATTTTTATCATAATCCTTATCACCATAAAAGTCTTTGATTTTTTGTTGCCATAAAATGAATATAAGTATAATACATTTAAAATATAAGGTCATGTTCTAAAGTAGAGGTAGAAGTACAGTATATCACATAAATAATACACATAGCTAATAAACACTGCTAATAACTACTGTAACAAAGACAGGAATTATCACATATTTACACACAATACAAATTATTTGTCATGAAACCTTTTCTTTGTAGAACTGATGTTTATGTCCATGCTATACAAAGAGACACAAAACAAGTCCTATCATCTAATGCTTTGGTGGAGTAAGTTACTGCTACCACATTGACTTAAAAATAGTAAATAAAAAATGTTTGAATGGTTGCACTGTGACTGTTACTTATATAGTGCTTTTTATGTTGATTTTAATGATATAAAAATGTTTATATCTTTTATAATGGCCCTTCATATCAACTGCCATATAATGATATTATTATTATAAATATACATGGGGAAATATTAATGTTAAGACATTTTTGTTATAATAAAGAGGCTGTAGATTTAATTGATCCTGTATTTATCTCTCAGTAAACTTATATTGTTTTGTTTGTTTTTCAGTGTACTAGAAGCAAATTTGGACCAGCTGACTGCATTTTATAAAAGATTTAGCGTTTATGAAGTCACTGTAAGTGCATCTTCACAAATTTAAGACCAATTTCTTAAAGACACATTTACATAATAACCAATTTTAGTGAGTTTTATGATTGAACAGCACAATTTGATACAGATGTGCCATACTAAAAAGAATTCAACTCCATCATTTGTATTAAAACATACATTAGACTAGAGATTCATGCAGGACTGCATGTCACAGAGAAAGATGGTGTGGAATTTTGTTAGTTCTTGTCCATATTGCAATAGATTCTCAGCAAATACCTTATGATGCAGTGTTTTAAAATGCATGAATCATGTGAGATTGGAATTGCACAATGAAAAGTAGCTTAAATGTGACCAAATCATCTTTTCAAATAGTTGTTCATGCCAATGACTCAACCCAAAGCCTAATTCTTGCTGTTTTTGGAGATAATAATTAAAAAATCCTAGCTAATTAATATCCCTTAGACTCATACTTAGATCGATCTAACAGGATCGATCCTGCTCTAAGAGTTTTTTTACTAAATTGCTTTCAGCTTTAGTGGCTTTGATGGCTGGCATGCCTTCTGAAACTGCTAAACCATAATTGCTCCTAGCAGCTTCAGTAGGTGTGACAGACATCTTAGCTGCTTAAGTTAATTGCAATTTAGCGAGGATCGTCTCGGAGATAGAGCGATCCACAGTTAATTTAGGGTCTGGGTATGGTCCCTTAGGCCAGTTAGTCCCTTTTGATTAAATAAAATTACCTCAATTCAAATCAATTTGATGTATCACCCAGTGAGTGCTGGGAGACTCATGCTTTTACATGGAACTACTTCTTCAGTAGCTGTGAGGATTAAATATATTGTTTTGATAGACCATACCTAGGACAGTTATATTAGAGCTTGAAAACTTGAATATATGTCTTATAAATGATAGTATTCCAGTCTAAACCAACAGAAATATTCACCAATATAATATATCTTTGATCCAGAAAATCACCCCTGAGGAACCACCTGTGGAGGGTCTGGCTGAGCCGCTGAGGATGGCTCTCTTGATCACAGCACTGGTACTGCTGCTGCTGCTGCTTATCTTGATAGGAATGTTCTTCACTGCCAGGAGGAAGTAAGTAACAGATATATAAAAACGAAAATTAATGTGATCTGTCGATGAAATGTTTGCAAATGTGCTCATGTACAGAAATGTTTTTTATAAGCTTTGGATAATAGTAGTAGTAAGACTGCATGTAGTAAGACTGTTTTTTTTTATTTGCCCATGGAAACAAAGGTGACCTTAGCCGGACTGAAATGTCTACTGTGTGGTCATAGACGAATAGTTTTGTTTGATAATGATATGCTTTTCATCTTTACTTTGAAATTTTTCTGCTTTTTTTACAGATACAAGAGGAAGCTCAAAGCTGCCACAGCATATGCTTACAGTAAGTTCAGTTTCATTTCCTCCTGAAAAAAGGAAATACAAAAAAGCAAAAGAAAATGCACAAAGCTGAAGTGTCTCTTACATATTACAAATTACTATATTTCTATATATTATAAGCATTTCACAACAATAATAAGTCTCTACATAGCAATCACACTAATATAATAAAATGTCACTTCTCTTCAGATACAAATGACAATGGTTTAAACCATGTGGATCTTGTACCTGGGACCAATTTACACACATTTGAAGGGTAAGTTTTTAGCTTATATTTCTACAATAGATTTTTTCACTTACTTTTTCTTTGCAGGGTCTACAAGGTGATCTTGATTGTTTAGCATTTGGTGTTTGTCTAAATCAGTTCTGACTATTGAATTATCTACACTTCATTTATGATTTGCATCTTTAAGTGTTTGTAGCCTTTGAATTATTGATGAATGGGAATGTTGGTTTTTATTAATTGTTTCACAGCATTTAATTTTGTCGAACAAAATTTTTCATCTTTATTCCATTATGGATGCTTGCAATATCATCTCTCATTTGACCACAGCTATTTCAGTGAATTTCATTTAAAGTGAATGCTATAACGTATACCATGTTACCTTCACAAGTTCTATCATCTGGTGATGAGTAATCTAGTTCTAGAGCACCCTACTGCCTTCATCATGAGTAATCCAGTATTAGTGGTTATAACACAAGACTAAGGATTATGAGTGCATTATACATATATTTATGGCAATTTTTCTGTTTGCATTTCTGCTCTGCATATCTGCTGCCTGTATTACCCCATGGCCTGTCTGTCAGTTTTCTGAATTTGTAATTTTGATAGAGCTATTTTTTGCTGTTCTTGTTACAAATTATGACAGGAATCATTCTTTGTTTTTTGTAATATTGAACAATGGGTTTTATTAATTGGGCTTTGCGTGTTTACGACTTATGTTCACAGAGCTAAAAGTTCACATAAAATCAATGACTTATTAGGCAAAAAAAACCCAACATATTCTGATCCCAAACCATTACTGATCAGAAAATCAATAGAAATTTCATTTATTGCTTTTAGTTCTTCATTTTCATTAGTAGTACATGTCATAATTCTTTGAAAAGCAACTAACATCATTGGTTTAGCATTAGATATAATAACAGTGTTCTTGATTCGTTTTGACACCAGTTGATATAGTTCTAGAGACATTTATAAAAATCCCTCCTCAACTTGTCTCTGTCGTCTAGGTGTAGTTTTACTGTAGACACTTAATTAAGTATAAGAGCCTGTGCTTGTGGATTACATGCTGAGCGAATACCACTTGATTATAGTCCATTTAATCTCAGCATAACACAGACCAGTGGTATTCAGCTGTCAAGAAGTAGAATGATCTGACTTTCCAGCCCAATATGAGAAGAAAATCATTACTGAGGCTTGTTGTGATGTTAGATCAATATTTTGAGACTCATGATTGGTATACCAGCTGTTTTTGTCACTGACCTGAAAGATGACCCCTTGATGCAAAATCTTTATGGTGGAAAAAACAAAAACGTAGATTTCTTTTTAATCTTCTATTTTGTTTCCAGACTTACACTTCATTTTTAAGAAAGATACTTGTCTTTTATTATACTTGACTGAAGTTCTATGCATTACATTCCACAAATTTACAATGTGGAATGATGGGTACTCACAAAATGACAAAATGATTATGAAAATTAAAACTACAATAATATTTCCTCCATATCACCCTAAAGTCTGTTTTTCTTATAGTTATTTTTTTATATTGATTTTCTGCTTATTAAGTGCATTTGATTATTGCTTTGCAAAAGCTGAAATGATATTCTTAAGCTAAGAATAAATATTTGGCTTTTTTGGGCATACAAATTATGATTGAATTAAAAGTAAATTTAAATATGAAATTTGAATATTGTCTCAAATCTGCAGGATTTACTTCTTACATGGTATGCCCAGCTTTTGTGTATAGCACATACAGTGATCACTTATTTGGGTCAAAAATAGCACATGTTTCTATGCAGAGCACCTGGTGTGATTTTAATTGCATCATTAGCATTTTCCGCTGTTTTATTTCCACACAGTATGGAAGCTACAGATGACTGGTATGGACAAAATGAATATGCCTACGTCAACCCTCTTAAAAATGAGGGACAAACCAGGTTTTAGGGTAAAGCAAGTGAATTCTCTTTAGACTACAATTATGTTTATGTTCTTCTCCCCGCATCTGTGTTTGTCTCTGAGCATTTATTATGAGTAGGATTATTTGCCTTGTTATGCTATTTATAATTAAGTTCTCTGTTATATTTTGTATGTTGCATGTGAGTCATCCCAACACGCACTCTCTGATGTGATATGGCTAGGATGACGCAGCGACAGAATGCTGTGGTTATAGCTTGAATTTCATTCTGCATGAAGAAACTGTAGCTTTTGCATGGATTATTATCAATAATACTACTGCCTCCTATCTTTTGACCATAAAAATCTTGGTTTTTAAGTATTTATAAAAAGTCCACATCTTAAGCAGTTATCAGAAACCTTTTTTCATTAAAAAATGTTGTTTCTTATTTTTGACTTAGCAGATGTTGTTCATGAAGGATTTAATAAATAATCAATATTTTTATCCACCTAATGATCTGGGAAATTTACCATCGTTTCTAAATGTAACCAAGTTTGGTTGAAGAAAAGAGTATATTTTAACAAATGTTTTTTTTATGTGCATCAATATTTTGCCCTCTTATTGTATATACATATATAAGAACATTTCCCTCAGTGTACTATATATACTGAGCTTAAGCTACAGTGTACATTACTGTAATAACAAGAAAGTATAAATTATGTATGGAGTTCATTAGATGTAGATGTACTTATTACTAACACTGAATCCTGTTCTTTACAATCTTTACCTGAGTTATGATTCTGCACACACTGTCATGTCTGAAGCACAGTCTCTTATACATTTTTGTCAATCTCTCAATTTTTCCCGACTCTTTCTTTACTCGTAGACTTGGCTATATTGTCTATATGACCAGAGTCAAAAGGACAAATACATCAGATACTAGTCTTGTGGGTAAATGGTGTGTGCATGTTGAAAGTAGATACGTAGCTATTTAGAACTAACATATTTTAAACAGTTTCTTCACTTTTTTAAAAGCACAATGGTTATATACATACAACATTTCTTTCAGTTCATAGTTATTGTTTCACTGATCCTTGTTTAAATGTAAATTAACAATGGCTTCAAATTCATTTTATTGTCCTTAAACACAAAATGTCATTGCATTTTGTATGATTTTGCACAGAGAATTCTGGGCTCTGTTACTTTGTTACTGATGATCTGTAACATTGGCATGCTTAATTGATGTGATATTTCATGCTTCAGTGTGAGATATGATATGGATGATGATCACGTAGTATTAGGCGCTATGATGGACAAATGATAAATGATGTTTATGTTGTTTTCTCCCTGCAGGACTAACCCGTTGTTTGGTCAGCAGATGGAGAATGCTTGGCCAGACGGCGAAGAAGCAGATGCAGACAGGTAGGTCTTTTTATGTACAGACACTAATTAGAATTTTGCAGTGAATTAATGTTAATGAGGTAAAAGTCACTAGCATCAGATAAGTGGAATACATTTAAGACCTGTATATGTTCAGAATTAGTTACAAACAGGTGTGTACTCAATTACCAGCATATCTTGATTATATGAAATGAGATGTATTCTGTTAAAATTATTCTCTTTGTTCAAGAAAGTAATGCTTACGACCAGCAGCTCTGTTAAAAATGGCATGGAGTCAAAATTTTAATCCTTGAAAATTGCCAGGGTTGCATGCATGCATGCTTTGAAAGTGGCATTATTCTTATGAATCTTTTGCTTGGGCATGTTTGTATTTATTGCTAGAAGATTGTCAGCTGGAAAAGATGCAGTCCTGTGTATTTCTGTCTGTACAGGTGCTCTAGCTGGCTACCTTGATTGGATGAAAGGTGTATATTCATGGCATTCAGTTAATACTGGGTCTGTTAGTAGAAGATGTCAGCAATGGCTGATGGGGTTATCTGAACAGAAAGATGACCAAAATTTGCCATGGTTTATTTGTTGATTGCCTTTCTTAAACAACGCCTGTCAGTGTGATACTGACGTGATTAGTGATTTAAATAGCTGCATTATATGTGTATGTGCATGTTGGGCATAGGCTAGCCTTTTAACATGTATTTCTGTCCCGTCCTGCTGCTGCTGCTGCTTAGACGAATGCGGCGGTTCCGGCCATTTAATATTAGTACTGAGCTTTAATGGAGGTGAGTGGGAGCTCCGTCTCAGTGCATGCCGCATGCAGCTTGATGGACACCAGATGTCTCTGCTACTTCTGCATTGCCAGTGTTATCTCTGTTATCACTTGTGATGCCTATATTTGGAATACTCTGTTTTTTTGGTTTTTAGAAGAAGCTATTTTTGCTTAGATGCTGAAGTTTGAGAGATGGATAAAAGTGCAGTGCAGTGTGTAGTATATGTCTGCAGACATACAGCAGTAACACTGGACACTTCTGGTTTAGTCAGTCCTGAGAGATTGACTTTAACACTTAGTCAACTTCTTCTGGACACTCAATGACTTCATAATGAAGATAACTGTTTCTATACATGACAGCACCGAGCATCAATCACATCATTTTATGAATATGTGATTTTTTTCTACATTTGCCTGAATATTTGACTCATCAAATTTGTTTTTGTACATAAAACATCAAAATGATCACCTGTTCTCACAGCATTCACAATGATTGATCTGTAATAAGAAACTGATGGAAATCAGCATACCCTTTGTGGGTTTTTGGGTTTGAAGAAATCAGCATCTTCAACAGTTTCTTGCCTATATATTTGCTGATTTTTCACTTTGTAAAACACTATTTTAAGCAGTATTAGTTATTTTATTAACTTGGAAAGTATATAACATACAATGTACAGATGAGACTTGTGGGGGTTATTTGAAAGAAAAATTGGACATTTTTGACAAAAAAGTGAACTATATAAAAAAAACATATTTTAATGATATCCTCATCTCTTATTATTTACCAACCATTCCTTTTCTTTGATTATTATTTGCTATTTTTATCCTGTAAATGAAGAATGCACAAATTTGAGATTAAGAAAGTTGATGATTTTCTTGATTATTTTTATGCAGCCAATATTTTGGCAGTGTTGTATGAAGGTAAGCAATTTGATTGGTTGGTCAACTAGATCTGCCAACTGCATGCATTTTAAGGACATTTGGTTGTTTATTTCAATCTGTGTGTATGTCTGCATTACTTTAGGTTTGGGAGCAGTCATTTGGCTGATTCATTGATTTGCTTCCCTGCGGTGCTGGGGTGAACTTTGTCTTTGCTCTTACTTTCATTTTAGAGTGGCATCTTCAGTCCAAATTATGAGGTATAGCCAAGATTTTGATATTGTCCCATGTACATTTTTCACGTTTCTGAATTTTGACTGTTTCTCTGTTCCAGCCACAGTGAAAGCACGGGATCAGAGAGCGACACAAATTCACTGGATGACAATGTGATAGAAGCCAAGGAAATCAATGGATATGACAACAAAGCATTGACAATAGACTTATATGATGACTTTGACACCAACATTTCTCCAGCTCAAGTAGCCAAGAGTGACATGTTCCTCCAAGCGGCTCTAAACGAGCACGATGCCACAAAGATGGACAAAAATGACCTCAATCACACCAGTGGACAGACGCCGTATCAGGAGGGTCAGATGAAGTTTGACCCCAAGGCTGGAACTGTGGTCATTAATGGGATGCAGACCACTGATATCTAAACTTGCCGCAACTTGCTTCTTTCTTATTCCATTATGGTGCTCAAATGATTAAGTAAACACGGATAATCAAACCATCGTCTGCGTAGATAGCGTCTTTGCAGGACCCAGATTGCAGGAATACGAAGATGGAGATAGTTTACAAGTACCAGGTCAGTTATTCTGACAGTTTTCCAGATATGCAAGTAAATGTCCATGCATACCAGTGTAATAATGGATGCCCTGCAAATTGTTCGAATCATGACAATTGTTTTTCTTTTTCATAATAATGGATGGAGAACAAGAGTTGCTTTTTGTCAGGAATGAATTGTCATAATTATTTTGTAGAGCTGCAAAAAAAGTGAATTATATTAGCTGCAGTAGGAGGAACCAGTATTGTTCCATAAACAGAGGCACTTGTGTGTTGTTTGTTGATTATGTTATGACCCTACAGAGAGGGTGAATATGCAAAGATTTGAGGATTCTAGTCATGGCTATGCAGCATGGTGATTCTGGCAGAGCTTGGTTCTCTGCATCTGCTTCTCCTTGTTTATCATTTGGCTCTGACAGAGAATCAGGCCTATTAAATGCAAATATTTTTATATGATTTATGTGTATGATCAAAGTGTATTCTTATTCTTTGCTGTACTGTAATTCTGATGTGTGTTTTTTTATTTTTAAGTTAAAAAATGAAAATTTAGCAACTGTTATAAGTTATTATTTTTATCATTATTTATTTTCATTATTTATTTTTTTCACATTTATTTATCATAATTATTATCATTATTATTTGATTTTTTCTAGGATTAATGCTTTTGTAGTTATGTCAATTCATTTGTTCTCGTTAGTGCCTGTCAATTAAATATCCTACCATGTCAACATGGATAGCTAGTTGTAAGCCTGCAGAGGCTTTATTGGACTTTTAAGTGTACCAGTTTATTTTGTAGAGAAAGAGATAATTGACTTGAACTATGGCTTTCTGTCCAAATCTTTAAAGTACAATTTTATTTTGATTGAAAATAATCACCATTCCAAAAACTTGTCTGGAATGCCAGTATGTAGTTGTTCATTTCAAGTATTTCATTGTTCATAACCTGGGACCAGAATCTGTTGATAAAGACACGTCCATTATATTACTCCAGGGACCAGTGGTGATTTCTAGCAGTACAAACATAAGTGTTAGGAACAATGCGAGCTGTACTTATAGCTTGACATCAACTCCCAGGAACTTGGGGTCGTTTTTACTAGAAAACTTTTAAGATCACTGTTAGATTTTGAGCTTTTAAAAATGATAGATATAGCTTGTATCTCTTCACCTATATACCCCTTATTACCTGAAGTGCTGTAGAATAAGTTTGTCTATGGGTAATTCATATTTAAATGACTATGAAATATGAAGAAAATGAACTTGAAATAACGATAAGTAGCACATAACTGAGTATGACAGCTAACAACATAGTTTTATATCTGGAGTGGCAAAAATTTTCAGAGGTTCAATTTGAATTTCAACAATGTATTATTATAGTCTGCAAACAATGAGAGCTCACAATGTTGGTAGATTTTGTTCATTCTTTCAGTGATTGTGCCAAAGTAACTGTCTCACTGCTAGTATGGTATTTTGAATCAGGTTGAAGAATCACATTTGTGTATATTTTTGTCATTGGATCATATTTGTTTCAGATATGCCAATAGCATTTCATCGCTTTTTTTTCCTAGCTTGACCACTTGTACTAGGATATTAGCATATTTCAGTAAAGATGAAATTATCTCTGATATTGATTAAGATTATCTCTTTCCGTGTCATATCAAAATATCTCTGATTTCTCAATTTTCTTTTTAGTATGCCAAATCATTCCATAACCAACATATGAAAAAGTGATGTTATTTTCAAATTTTTTCTAGGGAAAATGTATAATTATGTCATTGATGCAGCTTTGTTAGAATCATCAAGAATTTTTTTATTCGGTGACAACAAAGAAAATGAACTTTTCCTATATTCAGTACATATGTCACTGCATTTAACATGTAACCTAGTAGACAATTGCTGTATATTTATTGTAGTGTGGTATAGAGCATACGATGTGTTGTTTCTGCTTTCACAAACAAGGTTTTGGTGTTAGGCTTGTATCACTGACCTTATGCTTAGTTAGGTAAGGTGGCTGTCAGTCTACCTGCTGTATGTTATACGTATATATTTAGTCTATAGTTGATAATTTAAACTGGTCTAATGTTGGCAGTTAATGGTGCTCAGACATAGAAAGTTACACAGCAAGCCAAGTGAATATGAATAAATCATAATTTATGTCACAAGAAAGTTCATTTGAAGAGAATTAATTTTCATAGGAGATAAAACATTGTTTTTATTTATTAATTTTCAATCTGAGGGGGACCAAGTAACATTTTTCATGTCAAATCATTTGAAAATGAAGTGTGCACAATTGGCTGGTCCTTGGTTGCTAAACAAATTTATTGATATTTTCAATAAATTATTTACTTACAACTTGATTATTGTTTCACTTTTTGTTTTTGAATGCTTCAAATCATTCTAGGGATCATGTTTACTGGCTGTTAGAGGGGGAAAATAATGACAGTTATGCAAAAGATTCTTCCTTTGATAAGTTTTTTGTTTGTTTGTTTTGTCTGCGAATACATCAAGATGGTCCACTGCAGCTGAGGAAAACTAAATTCTTTTTTATTTTTTGGCTAATAACACAAGAGGAGTTTAAATTTTCACTGTGAGTATAATTTACCAAGATAAATCTCCTGGGTTTTGTTTTTGTGATAAAAATATATTGACCATAACACTGCATAAAACCTATATCTGATCAGATCCTATTTAGGTTAATTTGTTGTGGCCTGTTGTGACAGATGTTTGACCAACTTTATATATATATATATATATATATATATATATATATATATATAAAACTTTTAATGTCTAAAATAAGGGAGGAGGGGGGGGGTGGCTGATGTGCTAAAACAAAAAGTAAACAGCAGAAATTTCCAAACATGGTGATATTTTCAAAATAGCAATAAATGATATGATAAATACAATATTATTGAGCAATTTCAGATTAAAATTTCACATGATGATTCATCTTATAAACAAAGTATATCCCCAAAATATTGTGTCACAGACTGTTCAAGGTATTGACGTCTTCATTGCGTGTTCAATAAGATTCAGTAGAGCACTTATGTATCAGCATCCTTCACTGAACTCGACTGAAACACTTCTTGACAGCTACGTGTACACAGGGAAACATAATTGGCACTTCAGAATATTACAAAGTCATCTTTGAGAAATAAGATACATGTACTTCATCGCCATGTAGCTCAGGGTCTGAGATTTCCTTGTCCTGATAGTAAAAAATTCATAAATAAAGGGCTGTGAAGTCTTGGTTGGTTTTCCCATTGTGAGTAGTCTATGTGTACTGAATTAAGAGTTCACTATTCATATTTGAAATAAAACTCAGTCTCTGGCGGCCCCACACTTGAGAGTGATCTCGGTCTTCGCCGCCTCTTTTTCTCGGCAAGAAGTTCCCTTTCATAGGATGTTGGTTGAGGAGGAGGACGATGTGCATGCGAAGCTGACTTGTGAATTATAAGTTTGTGATCTAATAGATTCTGCTTTTCTTTTTCCTGAAACCAAAAAAAAAAATAATTCAGTTAAAGGGAAATCCTAGAAACTCACAGGCAAATACAGATTAACAGTTGATATATCAGACCGGAAAAAGTGACAAATTGCACTTTGTTACATTATTTTGTCAACATTAAAATGTTTAGTGATAGCTGTGTTGAAATTTCGGCATTTTCAAAACTCTTCTTCTGTTTTCTGTTATAACATATCAAAGCAGATGTGACATGTTGCAAACTAAATTAGTACTGCATTCCAATTCAAGTTTAGTTTAACATTTGTCAGCTTATACTGCAGTACACACCAAACATGTGCATGGACATTATTTAAAATCAGTTCAAGTTAGAAACGTTATATTAACTTTTCATTGTAAAAAAAAATCAATCAAAATTCTTCTAAAATCTAGAAAATATAAGTTTTTCAACATTATAAATATAACTTTAATTCTTAATTTGGTTTTGATGCTGTGATTATCAATAAGCCCTAGCTTGAAGTCAGGGACCCAAGATTTTTTTTCCATTTCAAAAATATAGTTTTAAGCAGTTCATAAATACATCAAAACAAATTAAATGCCTTCCTTATTATCATGCTGTTAGTCCAATCAACTTGACACAGTGTTAAATATGTTATCACCATGTTTCATAACAGGTGTCAAATCTAAACGAATTCAAACTTCAGGATGTCATTAACACTATACCTGGTTAACTGGGGATCTGGTTCTGTTGGGTCACAACATCTAGCCCTGTATGTACATATGTTGATAAGCAGCAGTCACACTGTCAGGAATCAAAACATGGTAGTAATAGCACAGCACATGTCACAGCAGTTCAATATTGCAGTCATGCTTGGTTATTATATATTATATATATATATTATATATCTATACATAGATCAAAGCCAATCAAACACATGTCACATCATTAGAACAGCATCAACATTGCACATTTTGTTGCAGGGAGTTCTTTGTTTTTTGTTCACTCTAACAGATAATGTGGGATGCCCATGTTGAGCGCTGTGTGTTGGTGTCTGTGTTCATGACGCGGGTACATGATGGTATAAATGGGGTCGAGATGCACCGAAAGATGGCGTCTGTACTGGTCCCAGGGGTACATGACAGGGTAGATCTTGTCCGGGTGAAGGTTGGGGCCTCCGTTTTGTTGGTACACATAACCAGAATTGTAAGTTCCGAGGTTTCTGAAATAGAAAATTTGTCTTTAAAATGTGTTGCAGTCTATAATTTTCAACAGCGCAATCTTTACTCACTGCTTACAAAATCAGTTTATTGATTACATGTACCCTTGGCATTGCTTCTATTTTGAAGCTACAAAGTGATTTCTATTGATTGGACTTCAATGATTTATCAATACACATTTTATATGCAACCTTTCCTTAGAAGTGAATAAATTAGGTGTAAACTAAATCAATGATCTAGGATTGACTTCACAAAAGGCAGATCTGGTATGAAAACAATTAATTTAATTATTTCTTTAATTCCTTCTTTATAAAGTGGGTATGAAAAAAAACTTGTTTTCTTATATGCAAACTACCATTAGACATAAATATAGTAATGAAATAAGTTTAAAATTTAAAAATGCAGGTACCTTCTGCTGGCATAATGATCATGCATGCGCTGTTCAAAATTGTTTCTTTCTTGCTCAAATGCTCTGAGTTTCATTGCAGCATTACTCTAAAAGAAACAGACATCTTGTAGAATAAATTACCCACTGATGTACAAATGTCATAGCCACAAACAAATGTGCACCAACTGCACTCTGCTGTTGGACATCTAACCAACACATCATTATAAACTCTATCTTTACATTGGGTTTGAGACACCACTAACAAATCAACAAATGGCTACCTATGTGCGATCATATATGGTATTATTTATTTCAGATGTTTGCCAAATTTCACATTTACTAGTATACGCCAATCCACTACTTAGCAAGACTAGTTTAAGCCTCATATCTTATCCAAAATGGATCCAGCTACATTATTTATATTTGATTTAAATGAGATATATACTCAGTACCATTGACAATTAAACAGCAGTAAATTGGAATTTCAACACTACCATTAGAAGTTAACAAAATGCAAACATTTTGGCACTGAGGTATGTTAAGAATGAAAAAAATGGGTATTGGTTTGGGAAGTGAGATGAAAATACGTATGGCCACAAGAAAACCTTACTGCTGTTTATGCTCTTAATTTGCCTCCATTTTATAAACTTAAAATTTGTGCTCATTAAACAGGCTACTGACTCTGAGTTGTAAAAAAACAAAACAAATAATAATAATAATAATAATAATAATAATAATAATAATAATAATAATAATGTTTTTTGCTGAATAGCAGACACATTACATAAAGTTGCCACATCACTTAATTTAGAAAAGATATCGTAGTCTATGCTGGGGGAGAATACAACAAACATCATACAAAATATAGGACACAACAAACCAGTACAGTACATGATTATTATTGAATTGATCATACGTGATATATGCCAGAGCATTCAAGCCCTAAGTACTCACACACAATAGATATATAAATAAATAAAACCAAATAAATGCACACTGACATGGGCAAATTATATCTTTAAGTACTACTAGTATGTATACTAGTATATATTGGATACAGAAAGCTACTCAGTAATTAGGTGTGCCAAAATTTCTTATGCGCATTATCATTTCGTATCAAATCACACAAACATTCTCTTTATATTTATGAAATTATAAATAAATAACACTCTTTTGCATGCTTGCTTCGCTCTAAAGTAAGAAAATGTTTAATATCACAATGTGAGATGAGCAGGTGCTTGTGGCTTGGTCACGACATATGAAGTCGCCAAGAGAGCGCACGCAACCAATGTAAACTATCTTCACAAGTATACCTGAGTGTTTATACAAAGGGGATGCATAATCAAACGGTGTGTTAATTACCTGACCGCCCATCCTTTGCATCGCTTCATGCCTTCTATCTATAACTCTTTGTTGACGAAGAGCTTCCAAATGATATGCTGTACCCGCCATCTTTGTCAACAACACAGTAGCAACCGATCTCTGCGCGTGCGTCGATTTTGAAAATTGAGATTTACATGGCGTAGTGGCTCAAGATCTCTTTATATCATTTCAATGATAAAAATATAACTGTGACAAAGTATTTGATAATGATATATTAGAACCTTATTTTAAGGCATATTTTTATTGTTTACACTAGTATGTTAACGTCTGATAAAACATTATAGAAATCTGTTTCGCACATCGCGTAAATCAAAGATCTTGGGGCCTACAAAATGTATATATAAAATTATGATCTAAAATATATTAGCAGTTGCATTTTGATTTTTAGTAATGATCTCAAGGCCTTTTTAAACAAAAATTATAATCAGTTACATGTCCTGTATGATGTACATTTTCCTCATACCACAAATATTGAAGATGATTTTCAAAATACATGTTTGTGACCCTCACTATACGGGGTTTTCTCGAACCTACCGAAGGGAGGCCGACAGGATCTGCGCGCCATTCTAAGAACAAGAACACTTCTGCGCATCGTGCATGTGCGAAAATTCATTTCTTCGAAAAAATCGACTTTTCTTGTAATATTTAAATACTACAACTTATATTCTAATGCTTATCTAGTGTAACAGAGCATCTAGACTCTCCAGGTTGGTCTGAAAGGTAAGAAAACGTGGGCGATCACGTGTTAACATAACTTTTTAGCTAGATACTACTGTGACTAGAATTACGACGGGTTTCACACAATGACGATGGTAGCTTTTTGACTGACAATGAACACTCTAAATGGCACCAGTTGTCTATGTAATGGTTTGTTCTAAAATGTTTTATTAGGGTTTGCTGGTAACAGAAAGTTATACCGCTTAATCATGTGGGATGTGATCTATTACGGATAGAAATCGCCATAATTGGTTGCCGAGTTTGTATCGATGTTGTTAGATAGGTTAAGAGTAAACGAAACTACAGGTACTCGAGGCGGATATTTTACCTGTAATCTTGTAACTTTTCGTTGATGAACGTACTTTCAATATTGAAACTGAGCTACGTCTTTGTTTATGGTGTTTGAACACAAAGGCTGGTGATAAGGCAACACTGATGCACCGATTAATCTCCGCGGTTGTGAATCAGCCGGGCTATCTTGTCATTATCAACCAGTGGGTGGTTTTATTAGTAACTCGACAGGGACAAACCTTTCCTGGTACAGGGGATTGTCAGTTTCCATTATATTATTTCCTGAAACACTTCACAGATTGTTTTGTTATTTGTTCCATATTGAAGTCAAATATTGATTTAATTGTTTAACAGGGTCAGTGACTATCTTTAGTTGATCTCTTTGACACCATTGTATAAAACAAAATGAAAGCATTGTTTTCATGTGAGTTATCAAATGTGAATTCTAATCCAATTGTCTATTTGTTGCAGATCATTCATAAAAGCTTAAGTCATGGTCATGGAAACCCCCAGTCCTCAATGTGTTGGCCGTGAATTTGTCAGGCAGTATTATACCTTGCTTCATGAGGCACCCAGTTACCTACACAGGTAAGACAAAATACCACACAACTTCTGAGAATATTGAATTGCTGGCAATTTTCCATTGATAATGTTTGTACTGAATAGAGACTTACAGTGTGAGCATGCCACGTTGAAATTTATGATGAAAAATATGGAGTCAGTTAACCAAAATGACAACATGAGCTACTTTGGTGTAAAGATGGTTGCATAGTTTAAACAATATGGAATGTGTGGCAGTGAGGTAGATCAATAAAGCCTCTAATGGCCCGACTTTGAATTAATAATAAAGAAACTATTACGGAACTGTTGGTTGAGCTTCGGTTACACAGAAAATGAAAGTATACATGTATAGAATTTGTTCCTATGTAAGTTGGATGATGTACATTGCAAAAAGAGTATATCTCTATGAGCACAAAAGATTACATGTGGTTGCTGAGCCAGACATGAAATCAGACCTTAACAGTGCCGTGATGATGTAATTTGCGCCGGATTGGTGTTGCATGGTGACAGTTGCCTGCTGTCATAGAACCATCTCTCCATTTTGAAGACAAATACATGACTGAGCATATTGAAGGCAGCATATATTATGACAGTTGATATGTATTGAAAAATTTATAGAAAGTATATTTATATTACATAATATTTAGTATGTTAGACAAATATGATTTATTTTTCTTGAGAATTCAAAACCTTTATCATATGTTGATATTTATTCTGCAGATTCTACAGCCACAACTCCAGTTTTGTTCATGGCGGGGTGGAGAAGCCTGGTGAAGAACAGCCACCAGTGATGGGGCAAGGTGTAAGTGAAAACTGATTACCAGTGGTGTTTATTGTAGTACAAGTGCACTAACTGTAGACCATAGTTATCACAATTTTCATATTTAAAAAGTTTGTGTGGACAAAAGAAAACAAAGTCTGAATTCCTCGTTTCTCTTGCAGCAGTAATAATGGTATGAATTCTATTAAATTTTCAATTTACAGTAGGTGTCAGTTTGCTGTTAACTTAGATAATCATTCTCTTCTTGATTATAAGTGACTAGGAACATTGTTATGTTATGAATTGACAAAGTTTTTAAAGTCCATTTTACAACTTTTTTGGTGCAGAAATGGCTGAAAAGTTTTCAAAGAAACTTTTAGTGTCATCTCAACTATAAGTCCTGTTCGCCAAATACTTAAAGTTACATTTGGCTGAAGTCTAAGAAGAATATCCAATTTATTTTAGCCATCTAAGAATCCTTCAGTCTGGAAGAAAAGCACTAGAGACACTTCAGTTCACATGCTATTGATGACGCTAGAAAACCTGCTGGCACAATTTCTTACCTTGAAATAAGATTCCTCTCCTTCATCTTCTAGGAAATACATAAGAAGATCATGTCCCTCAATTTCCGAGATTGTCACGCTAAGATTCGCCAGGTAGACAGCCAGGCCACAGTAGGAAGCGCTGTGGTGGTACAGGTGAGACAGTTACATAAGATAAGATTTATCTGGAATCTGGACTTGTATGGCAGTGATGATTGGAACTTGCCCTCTCTGATTCCTGCTGAGAGCAGCTTCCTTTTATTGTACTCGTTAAGGAGTCTGAGCCATTATACATTAAAATCAACTAAAACTGTTCTTCACTTCAGTTTACATAGAATTGTGGTTTTAAGAATATATTTGTAAATTGGTGGTCGTATTTTTAAATGGAAACTGCAACTCTTGTTAAATTTTTTAGGTGACGGGAGAGTTGTCCAACAACGGTGAACCAATGCGTCGCTTCATGCAAACGTTTGTGTTAGCACCGCAGTCTCCTAAGAAGTATTACGTACACAATGACATCTTTCGCTACCAGGACGAGGTGTTCCATGATGATGATAACGACCCAGACAACCTGGAAGAGAATGGGGGTAAGACGACAGCCTTGATTTAAAACTGATGTTTTTTGTAGTACCTTGTATAGATAAGTATAAAAATAAAGCAGTCCTAAATGTATTTACCTGCTTCACGCAGAGTNACAATGTTGTAAAGATGCAGGAAATGTCAAACAAACACTACGTATCTTATTAGTTAAATAATGAGACTGTTATCATGCCTAAGAATTGAGGAATTGTGAAAAAAGAGCATAACTTCTAAAATAATTGCCCAAATATGCTGATTTTCGAACTCAACCTGCATTTTAGTAAGATTGACCACTCCTGTGAGTTTAATGACAATTGGCCTATCTGTTTTTCTTATATTGTGTTTACAGTGTTGCATATATGCTGAAAAGTGAAAAAACAGCATAACTACTAAAATAGTGGCCCAATCATGCTGTTTTTCAAACTTGACCTGCGTTTTAGAAAGATTGATTACTCCTGTGAGTTTCATGACAACAGGCCTATCAGTTTTCCTTGAAATGTGTTTACAGTGTTGCATATATGCTGAAAAGTGAAAAAAACAGCATAACTTCTACAATAATGGCCCAATCATGCTGATTTTCGAACTTGACCTGCCTTTTATGAATATTCATCAGCTCTGTAAATAAAAGCTGAAAAGTAAAACTGTCTTCCACTTATCGTGTTATGCTGAAAGTGCACGGCGACATCTGTGTCTGTACATAAAAAAGAAATGGCCAATGCAGTCCCATGGTTTATCTGACTTGAGTAATTGTATTTTAAAGTGGAACAGCTTTACTGTGCATGCAACAAAGTAGTGAGAAAGACTGAAACAAAATGTAGAGATCAAAGTTTTGTGAAATAGATAATTGATATTATTTACAAAGTAAAGGGGCCCGCACACAGTGAGCATTTGGCGCACGCCACTTGCGCTGCGCCAGATGCTCGCGCTCCTCAGCTCCCCGCAAACGATGCGCTCTTTGCTCAGCAGAGATGCCTCCCAGCCTGCCCCTATCGGACGCACCGCGAACTGTGGGATCATGTGATTAAGGAAACATTACATGTTTTTTTTTTCCTGAAAGTAATGGCAAATGGTGACCACGTTAATCAATCAGACTAACAATAACTGTGTACATTTTTGTTTACTTCACTGGGGGCTGCCATTTTTCTTTGTTTCTGGCTACCGGCACATGCGCATTGTTGGCATGGCGTGAGCAATCGGCGCTTGCGCCCCGCACACGCTGAGACATTTGCCTCAAGTGACCAAAAATATCAAACACGTGAGAAATTTTGCTCAGCCGCGCGAGAGGCAAAAATCTCACCAAAATACCCCCGCACACGATGAGAAAACGGCGCAGCGCAAGTGGCGCGCGCCAAGTGCTCACCGTGTGCGGGCCCCTTAATAGATACATTTGAATCTCTTAAAAGGATATTGTAAAAATTTTTTTTTTTTTTGTGGAAAAAAAGAGTATTGACATGATTTATTGTCAATTAATGTAAGGGTCTGTGGGTGGGGGCAAAATATTAAAGGAATATATGTATTTGGTAGTACCAAAAATTCATGCATTAGCACTCCTATTAACGGTTCCGATATATACTGGCACGTATGTCAGAACATCAATAGGAGTGCTAATGCATGAATTTTCATGCTATTCTTCCAAGTGCCCAGTTTTGTCATTACATCAATTAAGGAAAAATTGTTTGATGCCATGTGGATAGGAACAACCTGTGGATAGGAACAAAACACTGTTTAGTATCCCATAAAAAAAAATTTAATGCAATTTTGTAAGCAAAGCATTTGCATAGAGATTCGACAGATGTTATGGTATGGTTCCTGTCCTTCAGGACTTGATGGTAAAGTCATTGCATGTAACACATGTATGAGAGACAGTTATAAGTGTTGTGAACCATCCAAAATGACTTTCACTTAAATTAATAATTGTACTGAATTTCAGTGTAACGATTTCCATTAATGACTTAACTAATCTATGGCCTCCGTCATGACTCCAGGTCCGACTGAGTCTTTCACTTTCTGTTCACAGAGAAGCATAACAGAACAACCTCACATCTTCAGTTCCAAATCTTAAGTATGTTTATTATGTACAAAATGCAGACTTTATACACATGTTATCTACAGGGAATCTATATGCATGACACAGTGGCAGCATCTGATTTACATACTTTATATTATGCAATAGTACAGGTAAAGGTTTTTACTCATCAGATTTAAAATATCCATTTGTCTCTGGCTTACCTACACAGAGAAAGGTAAATATTCTTGCAAGACTGATGCAAAGTGAAGGATAATATGACTGATTCTAATAATAAATAAGTAAATAAGTGGGTTTTCCACACACCTTGAATGGAAGGCAAAACACAAAGGGTTGGAAAAATGTTTCTTTACTATACAACTATCACTGCATTAAAGGCCTATACCAATATTGCATGTCTGATTAGCATATAAAAATGTACTTGATTACTTCTGTTATTTCTAGTTAAGGTCCATTGAACAGGAAAGTTAATGACACTGCCAGTTATTTAATTACCTTGCAGTTGTATGATTCAGTATTTATATTATTAGTACCACCAGCTTGTACGCTGGCGGTACTCATGGTTTTAGTCCCGACCCGTCTCGTACAGCTCCGCCGGCTCCTGCGGCTCCGCTGGCTTCGCAGGATGGCGTGGGATACAAGTCACCGTTACCGCTTCTTCTCCTAGACCGCAAGGACCTGTGTCCCCATCTCTTGGATTTAGGTCACATATAATCTCAACTTGAACCCCATGGTTTTTTATGTACAGACACAGATGTGTGGTAAACACAGATGTGTCTGTACATATTGCCATCACCTGCATCTGTCGTCGCCGTCGCCGTTGCCGGCGCCGTGCACTTTCCTTGTAAACACGATAAGTGGAAGGCAGTGTTACTTTTTTGCTTTATATTTACAGAGCTGATGAATATTCATAAAACTCATTCATAAAAATCAGCATGATTGGGCCATTATTGTAGAAGTTATGCTGTTTTTGTCACTTTTCAGCATATATGCAACACTGTAAACACATTTCAAGGAAAACAGATAGGCCTGTTGTCATGAAACTCACAGGAGTAATCAATCTTACTAAAACGCAGGTCAAGTTTGAAAAACAGCATGATTGGGCCACTATTTTAGTAGTTATGCTGTTTTTTTTCACTTTTCAGCATATATGCAACACTATAAACATTATATAAGAAAAACAGATGGGCCAATTGTCATCAAACTCACAGGAGTGATCAATCTTACTAAAACGCAGGTTGAGTTTGAAAATCAGCATAATTGGGCAATTATGCTGTTTTTTCACATTTCCTCAGATTCAATTCTTAGGCATGATAACAGTCTCATTATTTAACTAATAAGATACGTAGTGTTTGTTTGACATTTCCTGCATCTTTACAACATTGTTAGTTGATTTTGTAAAAATGATGGTAAACTTGTAAACTGGTAATAAAGTTTCAAAAATGGAAATAAACTAATATCATTGCAGTTTGTCAGATTCAATCATTCACTATGTTCAGAATCTCAGAATGGAAAAAATTGGACATTTAACACTGCTCTATTGATATTTTCCCCATCTCATCAATTTTCTTAGTTGATCATATAAAAATGGCAGTAAACTGTTAATTTTGTTTCATGTTAAAAATCGTTAAAAATGGAAAAAAAAAAAAAACATTTCAGAACAGTGCTGTCTTGTTTACATTCTGGCATTTTCAAGTTGTGACTTTGAAGTCCCATGGGCCTGAAGACCTTTGCTAGTCACATTTTCTGAATATCAATGATACTAATATTTTATTATTAAAAATTGATGGTCATTATGCTGTTAAACATTATGTAATATTGCATCAAAATTTGAAAAAAACTATTTTGGGCACTGCTCCCATGATGACCATTTAAGAAAATCCATGTCACTTACTGTTCTCAAACTTACAGGAAAGAAACGTGGGACTAAAATACAGCTTCAGTAGGCAATGCAGTCTGTTTGGTAATTCTTACTGCCAGTTAAACATTTTTTTGTGAAAATTTAATTTTTCACATATTGACATTTTCAAGGTGTGACTTTGAAGTTCCACGGGCTTGAANAAATACAGGACTTAAATGCAGCCTGAGTTGGAAAAGCAGTCTAATTGGCTTCTTTTTCTGGAAGTTATACATATACAAAGTGTGAACTTGTTACACATTTTACTTACATTGGTATTACCTGTTGAGCATAATTAAAATTTGATGTTGAATTTGCAGTTTAACATAATGTACTTTTGCATCAGAATTGACAGTAGCCTATTTTGTGCATAGTTATTTCCTGTTTTTTGTCTGTACATTTGACAGCTTTGCTGCCTTGTCATCATCTTAAGGCCACCAAAGGGACATTAAATAAAATATAATAAAATAAAATAAAATATTTAGTTTAAATAAGCTTTTGAGGACAAAAATACATTGTTAAAATAACTGTTTTCCATATTGACAGTTCAATTAGAATTTATTATCATAACCTTGAAAATCCAATTCTTCTCTCTCTCTCTCTCTCTCCCTCATCTCACATGCACACCCAAACACACAGCATTTACAATTGTATAGCAATATTCTAAATTCTCAGTTATAACAGTGTTATTTATGTGTATTACCTGTGTAGGTGGTCCAGGGCCTCCCCAGGTTCCCCAGGGACAGGTGTGCTGGGTGGCCTCCACACCCGACTCCATACCCCCAGGGGCGACCATCATTGACCCTCAGACTGGTGAGTGAACCTCTCTCTCTCTCTCTCTCTCTCTCTCTTATAGTGCAGTTGAATTTTAAGTAACAGATATGCATGTGATGACGTGTTCTACAATTCTTATTACTTGATTATGTCAACTATTTAAGTAGAAAACTCCATATTAATTAGCTAAGGAATGGAAAATTAAGTCCCATACTGGACAATAACCAAAAGATGTTATGACTTCCAACATTTTTCTCTTTCTTTCTCACTTACATGGTGGACATTCTGTTGTGTCTAAAACATAACAAGTGATAATAATTACCTGAAGAAGTATGAGGGTAGAGAGAATGGAGCTGACACCACCTGTGTAACTATCCAATTTGTGATGTGATTTTCTTCTCTTTTTTTTCTTTCCTTAATTACTAAAAATGTTAGCTGGATGAATAAAAAAAGAAAGCACACTTATATATATCATTATTGACCACATGCCAGGTGCTCCTTACCGCAATCCTGACGGCTCTATCTACTGCCATCAGCCAGGACAACCTCTGCCCCCAGCAATCCACAGTACTCACCAGCCACAGGCTCCTGTAATACAACAACCATTACACGGGGCATTACCCCATCAGTTTCCACCCCCAGGGGGAGTGCAGGGACCCCCAGGGAATGTGGTGTTCCACCAACCCCCCAGTAGTCTCCAGAGGCAATATTCAGGAGTAAGTTTGTGGTTTGACTTGGGGATTTTATATGATTTTATTGTAACAGTTGTGAATTGCTCAATTATGAAAAAAGAAGGATCATTCTTTTGAATAGCATTATTCAAGGTTGTTCACAAAGCAGCTGATGATGCGTATTGTTTGGTTCTTGATTTTAATATTGACAGTAAATGTGTGCACAAATGTTTTGACCAATAAAGAAATAGCATATAGATAGCAATTTAGAAAAAGTCACAGAAGAGATGGTTATCTGTTTTGTGCTATTGTTTAAATTACACTTGCACAAGGTATGTTTTGTGCTGGTTTTTTTTGTGTGTGTGTGGGGGGGGGGGTCAAAAACTTCACTAAATCTCTTCATCAAAGTATTTAATTATTTATCATTTCTAAGGCATTGAAATCACACATCTGTAGGTTTTAGCTAACCAGTGTTTGTCTCCTCCAGGAGGGTGGTGGTGATGTAGCCCATACTTTCTCTGGTCTCTCATTGTCATCGCAGGCTTCAGGGTCTCTCCCTGAACCCCCATGTGGAGGAGGTGCCTCCAACCCCCCACAGCAGTATGTGATAGCTCCCCCACAGCATGGAGGACCTGTGAACAACACTGGACCCTTTCAGGTAAGGTGTGTGTGTGTGTGTGTGTGTGTGTGTGTGTGTGTGTGTGTGTGTGTGCATGCATGACCATGTTTTTGACTTTGGATTTCCTATTGAGATCATTGGCTGCTTGAAATTTTGCTATCAAAATTAAAGATAACCATATTCAGAGGTTCATAGTATAACAAAAAATGGGTGATGACTAAATTATTATTTTTTTATTTATTTATTTTTTATTTATTTATTTATTTATTTTTTTTTTTGCTTTGGAGTTTGGTAATTCAATTAGCTGATTGATGAAATTTATTTGTTAGTTATTGCCATGTCTACATATTGTGTGTTGTGTTCTAGGTCTCGTATTACCAGCCCCCTGGCTCTCAGCCACAGTACATGTACCGTATGGCGTATGCTGCACAGGGTCATCAGGGGTCATTTGAAGGCCAAACACAGGGTCAAGGTCATTTAGGAATGGTGCCACCCAGCAGCAGTCAATACTCTAGTCAGACTTACATGCCAAACTATCAAATAGTAGGATATTCAGTAGCACAAAGTACTTCTAGTGAACATCTACAGCAACAGACTAATTATCAGCATCAGCAGGTTGTACAATCACAAGGTCAAGGTCAGGGAGTTCAAGGTCAGCAGTACTCGGAGACTTGTTGCCAAGGAGGATTTGCTCAGCAGTTTCCACCTCCCCCCTCGGCCGGGGGTCTGAACCAAGGGGGGTACGTGCAAACTGTCCAGACATCAATGACTGCAGCAGCTGGCAGTTACAATACTTCAAGTACAACGAACACTAGCACGCCTGCCATGTCCTACCACAGTGTAGGAGGCATGGCCGGACTATATAGACCTACCACTCCCCCAAGTCAGGGGATGGCTCCACCTGGACAGACTGTGGGTGTTGGTCCTGGGGGGGTGAACCCTGGGTCTTACATCGGTTACCCCCCAGGGACATCTCCCCATGGGACCCAGGGTCACCCTCGGCCCCCGGGGCCTGGACAGTTTGTGCCATTTCAGACATCCCCCTCTCAGAACATTGCAGTGCTACGCCCAGCTATTAACATACCTGCTGTCCAGCAGGGGGCAGTGTGTGGGGGTCCTGTTGGCTCCTTTCCTCACGGCACCCCCTCCGTGACAGGCCAGTTCAAAATACTATCTGTAGAACAGGGGCTGAAACCTGCCAAGCCAACGGATTTGTACCTTGGTGGCGAGAAGATCGGAGACTCCTCCAGCTCACCAAGTCTCAGTGGTCATAGTACTCCTGTGCAAATGGGGCCACCACCCCCACCTCAGCTGATCCAACAGCCATTCAGACCCCCTCCACCTGGCAATGGAGACGGGAGGATGGGCGGTGCTCAGCTGCAGCAAGTGTTCCGATGCCCCGTTCCACAGATGTATGCAGTAAGACCCAGGTAAGGAGGGTCTCCTCACCACTGGATTGACTTTGTTGGTCACTAGGAAAAATTATTTTTGAAAGCCTCTGCGTGTGGTTATTTGGTAGCCACATACTTCACTAAAAAGCTGAAACTTTTTAGCGGTGTGATAGACACATATCTTTACATATATTGGCTTTATCATATTGTTTATAGATGTGACCAATGCATTAAAGAGATAGAAAGTCCATAAACAGAATATTTTTAATATATATCTTATGTTAACTATCTGGAATACTTTTCACATTCAGGTATCCCACCATGCCAGGTATGTCTATACAGCAACAGCCCCCACAACAACCATCAAATTCAAGCCAAAGAGTACAACAGAAAGCCTGGGCAAAACAAAGCTCTCAGGACAGTGCTAGTCCCTCCCCTAACACCTCTCAAGACAGTAGTCAAGATACTTCATCTAGGTATACGTAGTGACCTCTCTCTCTCTATCTCTCTCACACACACACACAGAAACACTGTCAAGGCAGCAGTCAAAAACCCTTCATCATTGTGTTAAAATCTGTTACTTTAGTCTGTAATCTTTGTCGGCACCCTCATTATTTGAAAGTGTCTTCAAGGTAATATGCCTTAACTAAGTATATAAATTGAAAAGCTCTGTATTTGTCTAAAAAAAGAAAAAGAAACGAAACACAGCTAATATTACCAATATTTGTTCCAGGTAACTTGGAAGCATCTTATACAGTTTAATTTCCCCTCACTTCCCTGGCTTGGCTGTATAGAACCCACACAAAATGTCAAACTTTACAGTGAAGAAACCATGTCAGATGTCAAGTTGGACAATCCTGAACTGGTGCCAGAAGTCACTGGGATGAAAAGAACCTAGGTTAGATGTCAAGTTGGACAGTAAAGAACTTAGACTAGATGTCAAGCGGGACAGTAACAAACCCAGGCTAGATGTCAAGCGGGACAGTAACAAACCCAGGCTAGATGTCAAGCAGGATAGCCCTGATTCAGACTCGGCAACAGGAGAGAATCACTACTTGCCAGTAAACATTAGCACTCTGCATGACCGNCAGAATCTGAGACGGACACGAATGATGCTGCTGTTCTCCCGGAAAATGTTCAAGATCCAACAGTGACAACATCGTTTTTTGACACTGCGCCATCACCACAGCCAATGAGGTAATTGGTTAAGGGGCACAAAAAGATTACAGAATGGAATAAAGGGTTGGGGGTCCAAATTAATACTAATATGTGTATGTTACTTTTGAGAATACAAAATATGTTATATTTGAGAAAGACTTAAACAGTGCTATGATGATGTAATTTGCGCCGGATTGGTGTTGCATGGTGACAGTTGCCTGCTGTCGTAGAACCATCTCTCCGTCTTGAAGACAAATACATGACTGAGCATAGTAGAACAAAAGGAAGTTTAAACCAGTGTCTAAGTGATCATTTTTTTTCTGTATTTCATATAAATGTGAACAACTAGACATTTTACAGGTGATTGTGATGTGTCAGAGTTTTGTTTGACCCTCTTTCATATTGGGTTCTAGAGGTGTTTGACACTTAAAAAAGCTTTCATTAACATGCAACAGTACATTGTATAGATACTTACATGCATTTTAGTAAAAACAGAGAGCAAATAATGTCTTAGTAGCGATGATCAAGAAACCATCTCTCTCGGGTCAAAACATGGAATTTTCCTGTTTGTATCCATGGGTTATTATGTGGAAAATGTTATGACATCGAATATTTGCCCAGATCACTGTATTGATCTGAGGAAAGAATATCTCTTGGTCAAGAAACGGTCTCTCAGATCACATAATTTTCCTGTTTATAATGTGTACATAAGTTAGTATGTGGACAGTGTGATCACATAGATTATTACCAAAGCTCATTGTATTGATGTGTTGCTTCCAGTAATGGCAGTGTCCACATGGAGGATCAGGTGGAGTCACCCACTGAGGAACCGGTGGAGGAAGATGTTCCTGAGGAGGTGCCTCCACAAGACGAAGACTTTGAGGTGGACAACAGCCCCAAATCTACTGAGGCAGAGGCAGAAACTGAACAGCCAGGTGAGAGAAGTTTATTTCATCTCTGGAATTGGAAACTACCCTCAAGCTGGCACATGCTCCTGTTACCAATATATTGTCAGACAAATGACGTCACATAGCAATAAGCTACTTGGCATGCTCCCACTGCTAAGTAGGATTGTGTTTCTGAGGTGGAAACAGGTGGTTCAGTATAGCTGATAATTACAGCCATGGGAGAAGATTGGTGTTGATTTGTAAGTGGGAAGTATTGCTACTTGATTGTAATTGTCAACCTCTTCGCATTCAGTCTGTTTTTAACAAGGTGTTAACCAACATACTCCGAGTACAATATGATCCTAATTAGCACCTTGATAATACTGGCAGTGATGATTGGAACTTGCCCTCTCTGACACCTGCTGAGAGCAGCTTCCTTCATTATTGTACTCATTAAGGAGTCTGAGTCAGTGAAAATATTTTTTCTCCATGACAATTTTCTTGGAATTACAACTTGTCCAATAAAGCACAAATGAATTGACATGAACTTCATTTTGGATATCCCGTAATCTATATTTGTTAAAGAAGTCTAAAAAATATATAGATTTGGTGGAGTTACTTATTTTGATTTAACTTGTAATCTTTGGTTTTCTTACATAAAATAAGTCTTTATAACCTGGATGTAATCAGTAACTTTGTCATCTTCAGCGTTCCCTGTGGAGACGAAGCCGTTCTCATGGGCTGCTCTCGCCAGTAAGAATACCAGCAGCGGTGGTTCAGGTGTGGCTGCCAGCGGAGGGGGACCCGCCAAGGTGCCCCCTGTCAAAATGGAGCCCAAGTTGGAGGGTCCCCCAGGTGGACCACCGCAGCCACAGCGAGGACCCAGGTCAGCTCCAGACAACATGAGGCATGGACACTTTGCTTGGTTTCTTTTACTTTGACCCCGTTCCCAGACCTAGATCATTCCAGCAGGAATGATCTAACTCCATGGGGATTCACACTAAATTGAATACATTTTAAGTAGCTTAATGTCTGTCACGCCTACTGAAACAGCTAGGGGATAATTAACGAAAGTTAGTTATCCCCTAGCAGCTTCGGTAGGTGTGACAGACATCTAAGCCACTTAAGTTGATTGGAATTTAGCAAGAATCCCCATGGAGTTTGATCGATCCACAGTTAGTACAATAGGGTCTGGGAATGGTCCCTTTAACAGCTGTATTAATTAACACTGCATCCTCAGTCTTTGTAAATTATTTCTGGTTAAAATTTTCATTGCATGAGATATTGCAGATTGGGCATTTGTCAGCGAGTTTTTTCAGTTGCATTGTGTACAAATTATTGCCATGAGGTATGCTTGCCCAGTTTGGTGTTTGCATTTCATATATGCCCTTGGTGTAATTATTCACAAAATGTCTTGTTATCCCTCAGTGATACATTATAGATGTTTTCTGATGATGGTGGTGGTGGTTAAACTTTAACACAGCAATTAATATTTAACAGCCAACCCAGTGTGGGTGTGGGATATATAAATTAATAAGAGTGGAGTTCATTCTCTTTCACTCTCCTTGCATGCTGACATGTATTGGTGACCAAAACTTTGTCCATTAAATCTCAGTTTTAGGGTGATAGTCTTTCTGGTGAAGTGGTTGCATGATAGGTATTGGTTATAATACTTAATACAGTTTTGGAATTCTACCTTGAGTGCACTTTAGTTTCAGTAATTTTGCAAACACAAATGTTATTTCTTTATAAAGAACCCTGATAATGATATTAATTCCTATGTAGCTTAGAAGTCAGTATGCCTTTAAATCGATACAGCACTGTGGTATTGTGCAGGAAGACTTTGCCATTATACTCAGTCTTACACACAGAAATTGACAATGCCTAATTGTTTTCAGTTGAGCTTACTTTTGACATATTATTATTTCCAGACCCCAAAGGGACAGGCGCGACCGTGGAGACAGGCCGCCGCGCCCTGAGGATGCAGATCCAGAACGTGGGAGCCGACCATCTTCAAGGTATCCGGACAACCAGCAACTATTTGTGGGCAACCTGCCCCACAACATTGAACAGAAGGACCTTCGAGCATATTTTGACAGTGAGTGATTTGTCAGTCTTGGGCTTTTATGTAGCATATTATGATCGTCACAAAGAATTTTTTTGTGAACATTCATGTAAATGCATTTTGAAAACTAAACACTGACAGTAATGACTGGAAGTTACCCTCTTATAAAAACTGCAGAGAATTATAAAAATTTAAGTGGGTGAATCACTCCTAAAGGAATATAGAAGCACTTTATTGTAAGACAGCACAAGACTGTCCAGTTGTTTTTTTGTGCTTAAAAGAGCAAGTCTTGTGACTAAAATAATCGTCTTCAAGATGTTGCACAAGTTTCCCATTATGAAGTCTTCTGTATGACAGTGCTTCTTTGATCTCAGTTGTTTAGCTAAGATATCTGTCATTTCTTTCTTTTTGAATGTATCACATTGTAAATCATTTACATTTTATTTTCAGCATTTGGCAAAGTCTTGGAATTGAGAATCAACACAAAGAACACCGGTGCTTCTAAAACACCTGTAAGTGACACATTTCTACTCAAACATGAAGTATTAACAGAAAAAATTATTAACTGTAATGTTGTAATTGTGGTGTGCGTTGTCAACTTTTCAACCAAATTTACAGATAACACAATAACATTGGCCACTCCAGCTGCATTAAGCGCTAACTTGTTCTGTGTTCATTGCAGGGGTTTGGGTTTGTGGTATTTGAAAGTTCAGAGCCAGTTCAGAAAATTCTCAGTGAAAAGGTGAGTGTGTTGGGCAGGTTAAGTGCATGTAACTGACGGTTTTGATGGTGGGATATTTTGTGAGCAGTCCAAGAAATTAAGACTGACTGAAATATCACTGTAAAAAGTGTCACAGTAGTTATATGGCAGTGATGATTGGAACTTGCCCTCTCTGATTCCTGCTGAGAGCAGCTTCCTTTTATTGTACTCGTTAAGGAGTCTGAGCCATAATACATTTAATTAAAATTAGACTCTTTTGTAAGACTCAAGTGTTAATTAATATGCCATGAAAGTGTTTTTCAACTGCTATGATGCCCAAGTTTTGAAATTGATTTGGTTTTGTTTTTCCAGCCAATAATGTATAAAGGAGAACATCGTTTGAACGTAGAGGAAAAGAAGAGTGGCCGACCGGGCAGTAACCCACGTAGCAGTGTGGGGCGTGGAGATCGCCTTGGCGGGGGTGGACGTGGCGCTGGCCCTCTACCTGGGCGTGGCGGAGGGCGTGGTGGGGGAGGGAGCAGTGCAAGCAGACCAGACAATCGCGGAGGACGAGGAGGGAGTTTTGGCGGGCCAAGACGTTAGACAGTTTGTCTTTTCATGGTGCTTGCTTGAAAGTATGCAATTCTAGTGTCTTGATCGGGTGCAATGAAAACCAGGATCCCCCGACTACATACCTTGAATTCGGAACTTGGATTGACCAAATCTGTAATCAACTTGGAAGGAATGATCTCATAGATACATTTTCCACTCATCGCCAAGTGATATGATCCCGCACAGTAAAGACCATGTGTACAATTGCCAGATTCTGATGGGTGGATTTCATGTTAGAATTCGTCTAGGAATTGCATATTTTCATTCAACTTTGCAACTTGTCTGTGTTGTTTTGTCCTTATCAACGCTTCTTCAATCTTTCCAGTGGACTTGATCACAGCAGAAAACAAACAAAAATAAAAAAGAAAACTGAAGTCAGCTGGCGTCTAGTAATAATGATATACCCAGACATCGTACTCTGTGATTAAAACATTGTTTTATAAACTATCAAAAACAATATTTAAAAAAAGATATTATGAAATGGTTGGAAGAGTTCTCTCAGATCATGGGACGGAAGGAAGAAGTCTATGCAAGCAGTGAACACGAGAGATGGAGGCTTCAAGATTCAAGTTGTTGGCCCTTGTTCATCTAATAACTGGACCAGTGATCAGGGACCTTGTGGAATTTGCTTGGATGTGCTAAGGATCCTTTTTCACCTTTTCTTTAATTTTTTTAAAACAAAAAAATGCAATATTCTATTTATATCGTTGTCCTGCCTCCAGTGCAAAGAGCAGCAAGGTTCTAATCCTGCATTCTAGTTGGAAACATCAATATTTAGACAAAGGGTGAAAAATATGTAAAAAAAAAACATTGATACATAAGTTTATATAGGCTTTCAGCCACCAATTCTTCATTATTTTCTGATAACTTCAAAAGCCTTAATATAAATAATAATAGTTCAGTCATAGTCAACTTGTAGTATTGTATTGTTTTAGTTCCGACGAGAGCATTCTAAATAATTTGGTTCTCTATAAACTTTATATTATTTGTAAAGGAAAAAATTGTATTTGTCTCGCAGCACACTTTAAATAATAAACATCATGAATTTTTCAAAATAAAAATGAGCTTTGTTTGTTTCTTAAAACAAGAATACTGATGCATCTCTGAAGATCTACTATAAAGATGTAATGTATGATCCAAGCTTTCGGCCCCTATGCCTTCAAGGATTTTTTAGCGGCCGAAAGCTTGGACTACATATTACATCTTTATAGATCTTCAGAGATTCGTCAGTATTATAACTTATTTACTTCTTTAAGATCTATACGGTGATTTGATATGGATCTTCAAACAAGACTGGTATGTGGTTAATGGATACCTTTTATTTTCACCAGTCCTTGGAAAAATCTGATCGCAAGGAACTCGTTACTTTTTGCTTCCGAGTAGTCTCCAGATAAAATGCGTTTCCACACTGACATCTCTTACTAAAGGTGCCTTTAACTCCTTAACATCCTTGTTAATTGAAACAGTAGTAGACAATGTTTGGGTTTTGTCTTCAAAGAATCGCCCGGAAGAAAATGGCACATTGTTGTTCCTAGAATTACCAAAATATAATAAAAGTGAACAGGTGAAGATCGGCGCTGTGCTAAGTGGACATTGTGTTAGCGGTGCTCGTACCGCAATTTGTTATCAAAGGTAGCAATCTGTTCAACCTGGTTCTCCTGTCCACGTTATTCTAAAATACATGAAAACATTTCACATTTCTGGATTGACCCACAAAAGGAGAGCAACACCGACATGAAATAAGACGAGAGGCGACGACTGAAACGAGAACATAAAGTATGTACTAGATAATATACTTCTGAGCCGATATACGTGTAGATGTTACCTACAAGAAATCTGATTTTGATAACATTATGCTGATGTCATCGTTAAATAGGTAATAGCAAACTAGCTGCTTTCCACGTTAACAATGGAAAATTTTCGTTCAGTCGCGATCCCTGTCCAATCGCCCCCTTCCTTGTGAATAGTTTGTGATTGCGCGTGTACTGTCAGCGACATGGGGTCATGGTTTTCCTTGAGAAGTTGGCCTTTCCCTGTCCCTCTCACGCAAGTTATCCCTTTTATAGATCTCCGCAATCCTTATATTTTGAAATTAACTCACTTTATGTTTGTTGTGTAACGCCATTTAATAATCCAATATTGTGTTTCAAATATGCGATTTTGTACCCAACGATACCCGCACCCCGATTGAGTTCACGGGCACGTGCTGCAGTACTGGTGCACAGGCACCGTTGTCACGATTTTTTTTATTCCATATCAATTTCCTCCTCTCGGAACTCCTTTATTATTCTACGGATTGGAGTAATATCCTGAGCAACTGCATGCTACAACAAGTGCTTGTTCTTTTCCATTTTCAGGCGTGACAGACATTTAAGCTGCATCAGTTGGTAGCAATTTAGTGAGAATCCCCTTGGAGACAGATCGAGCCAAAGTAAGTACAATAGGCTCTAGGAAGGGTCCCTGAAATATGCTAAACCAAGGCAATTTCACACAACATTCGTTTTATTAAAATGTTCTCGATTTTTTTATTCGTTTGTGTGAATTACATCAGAGCGGCGATTTAAATATTTGCTTTATATGCTACGTTAAAGAAAAATATTATGCAGTGAACTAAAAGTCCCAATACTGCATGGTCTCAAATATATTATGCGCCTATACTAAAATAGCATTGCAAATTTATAACCATGAAAGAAATAAGGGCTACATAATTTGCATTCTCTTGTTCTCAGGGCAAACGTGGTTCATGATACCTTCATTGTAATATTCCACGAGAGTAAATATGTTAATACTATGATATAAGTTGAAAAATACAAAAATTGCTTTGGCTGACTCAATAATTTTACACATCAATACTGAAATACCGATTGTCTTGGGTAAAAATATAAAAAATAGAGGCATTTAAAATTTGAATTCTTTCATTATAAGCGCTGATTGTCAGCGTACACCCGCCGAATATCATATATAACACGGAGTAAATAAAGCTGCGTGGGGCAACTTGATTTCATGTAAAACTACAATTGTGATTTTCTGGTTAAAATAATGGTCTCTTTCAGTGGAGTTCATTTCCAGCACAAATGTAATGCAATCACATCATACTATAATTCTTTTTGGTGCGTAAGTTCTACATGAGTGATTTTTTATTCTATTTTATATCTTTATTATTTTTGTTCAGAGAGCTCTCTCCTCCACTTTCAACCATATTTCCTTCTCGGGTTTCATGGGCCTCGACTTCGACAGAACCATTGGAATCTGCGTCTCCTCGCACGTCTTGAAAGTGAGGTTTTGTAACACCTTTGCCAGGACCATCTTCATCTCGAGCATGGCCAGGCGCATGCCGATACAGCTTCGGGGCCCCATACCAAAGGGCAAGTACGTGTATGGATTTCTCTTTGCTTTGGCCTCTGGCGAGAACCGATCAGGGTCGAATTTCTCTGGCTCTGGGTAGTACTCTGGGTGTAAATGAATGGCGAAGGTGGGGATAGCCACAGCCGTGCCTTTGGGAATGAAGAGGCCGTTGACTGTGGTGTCCTGGTCCGCGAGTCTGTCCAGACGAATTCCTACGGGATACAGTCTCATGGATTCGTTGATCACCTGTTCCAAGTACGTGAGCTTTGAGACGTTGTCGTGGGTCGGGTCGGCGTCCTGGAGAACATCGTCAATCTCCTGCACGAGGCGCTCCTGCACCTGTGGGTGTGTTGCTAGGAGGTATGCGATATACCCCAAAGTGTCCTTCGTTGTAGAGAAACCTGCTGCGAAAAACCCCATCCCATTGGCTGCTATTTCCTCCGTTGTCAAGACCCTCTTCTTCAATTTCTCATCTTGCTTTTCGTCGTCCGACATCTCTGAAGTGGATAATTTGTGAGCGTTCAACATCAGCTGCAGGAAATCTTTGTATTGTCCGTCATTTGTTAGTCGTCTATCTTGAAGTAAATTTTCTGTTGTTTTTGAGAAATATTTAATCGGACCCACGTAAGACTTCACCCCAGGGACGTAAGGCAGTATGGGCTCGAACATCTTCATAAAGCGAGGACAAAGGAACAGCATCAAAACAAGGGGGTTACCCAAATTAATGTTGTTGAAACGATCGGCATTCACCACAAAAGGATGGTTGGGATTATTCAAAGAGTCAACCTCGACCCCAAATGCTGTGGCACATATCACGTCCATCGTGTAGCAGCCCCAGATTTGGCTGTCGAATTTCTCTCCAGTATTTGCCTTCTTTTTCAAGTTGTCGACCAGCGTTTGGGCACATTTACTGATCATCGTCTGCATGTGACGTAACTTCCCGGAAGTGAATGTGGGGGTCAGCGTGTTGCGCATCTGCAATGATTAAAACGGGTGAGTGACGTAACAAAATGTGGGTTTACTCAACGAGCTTTGTAGTTCATTGATTTACTCGACTTGAACCGCCATTATTACATCAAAGTTCAGCAAAAAAAAATTTCATCTATGTGATATCTTTTCCACCCAAATTAAACGAAAAACATCTACTTTAGGCCTACTATCCATTTTTGCAGTTTTTAATTGTGATCTTTGTTTTACAGAGGGATCTGTTAGATGTATCTTTTCTTTCATGAAGTTCGATATTATTGTAATCAAAATCTTCATAAGTTCATTTTCATTTGGTTTATCTTTTTAGAAAGCTTGAAGTAATATACCACATATCCAGCGGATATAAAAATCACGCGCCAAACTATTAATTCTCAAAGGTTGGCCGAAAACAATATATCAAAGATTTTTTACGAAAAACTGCCACAATTTCTGAGAACATACATGTAGGGTATATAGCCTTTTTGTGAGAGATCACTAAGCTTGTTGCGCTCCGAAACAATTAGGCCTATTCCTATTCCAGCATCGTAATACAAAAGCATTTATGACAGTGGCAATGGGCAATCTTCGAAACAGAGATACGATGTTATTTTCACCATATTCTTTTCCCATCAATAGCAGTCTAAATACAAACGCGCGCAAGTTTTTTTTTTTCGGCCGCCTATTTTTTGTGCCCCCCCCCCCCCCCCCACCACCTCCAGAATGGTATGGGTTCTTGCGCATGCGCAGGTATTTTATCCATGTTTATAGTAAAAACACTGGATGCAGAGAGAAGGTCAAACACTGCGACGGTTACTAGTCTTACCTGCTTCCAGTAGTCCCCTTTCACTGCAAACAATGCCTTCTCTAGAGGCGAAATTTGCGCCTCGCCATTGATATTCCTATCCACAAATACATTGGCTTGTTTCACCAAGATCTCTTTGATCATATCAGGATCACTGATCATCACGTCCCCCAGTGCGTTCCCCATGAGTCCCGAGGACAGCGCCAGCACGTTACCGTAAGCCCTCACGGCGTTCAGGTCAAAGCCGCAGATTCCTTCCTTCATGATTTCTACAATGTGGCCGAATAAAGGCAAAGGCGCGGGTCCTGGGAGCCCAAACCTGCGTCTGTTGTCCCATGCATAATGAAGATATAGCAGATAAACTAGGGTCAGGACTGCCACTGCCAGCAGTATTATAACCCAGGACGGAAGGAAGAAGACCTCCATGTCATCAGTCAGTGCGTTCATACGCGAATAAACAAACGCTATAATGGCGCTATGGGTGGCTAAAAATAAGCGTCAGAAAAACGCGTCCTCTAGTAGTAAGTCCGCGTAACATTAGCTCCGCACTTCCCGTGCTGTACAGTGTATTGTATTAGGCCTATTGATCGCTTGTAATCTCTTTAGACCTAAATATTCAGTGGACTTCTATTAGGAGGTGAGGGGTTGGATGTGACGTGCCAAGATAGCTACATGTAGACCTACGTCTTGTGATTAACAAGAATCTAGAAAACGCAACAAATTTCCAGTTTGTTATGTAAGTTTTCATTTCAAAACTTATCTATTTAAATAATATGTACAGGCCCGTAGCCAGCAATTTCAAAGGGGGGTTCGTTTTCTGAAAAAGTGGACCTTTTACCAAAAAATCCTCAATTACATAGGTCAAATTTTACCCAGAGTGGACCTTTTCCCAGTAAAAAGGGTGGTTCTTTCGAATTGTGAGCCATGTAACATAACTCTTTTAAAACAATGACGTAGCATCTGTAGCTTTATCCTTGTCGCTCGTTCTAAACCCAGTTTTGTTGTGCTAACTTATTCTCAGCTGTCTCTACAAAGCTAAGTGTCTAACTGGCTCAACTAGCCCCGGTGTAACGTGACAGCGAGTACCCCCATGATAGTGAGTCCCCTGTACTTATCATGTGGGACCCCGAACTTCCATCCCTAGGACTACCTTTCCAGTCACGACTGCACCTTTTAAGTTGACATTTAAATTTCTCTCACATTTGTGTGCTATACTTAAAATAGTTTGATATTTTGGTGTCTCTTTTGAAAATAATTTTAAACGAAATTAAATTAAATTTGCTAGTTATTAGTAGAATACATATCTGAGACGTAATTATTTTGGCAGGATACACGACAGCACGTGATAACGAGGAATGCGAGCAGACGACTTTTTCAACTTATCACACCACACAACAAGTAAGAGGTATTATAGCTGGATGCAATTGGGCTCACCTAACACATTTCTGTTACACATTGCTGGAGGGTTCAGCTTGAATTGATCTCGCCTAGAAACAGGAAAATTCTTTATGAAAACTTAAGGAAAGGAAGATCTACCACCCCTCTCCCGTGTAATTCCCGTCCCCAACTCCACGTACTGAAATCGAATGTAAGTTGGACAAAGTGTAACTCTCCTCACTTTTTTAAAACTTAACCCCCAGAAAATGGCTCCCTGACAAACAATTTGTAGAACGCGCAGTGTGAGGTATTATAAGAGAGAGAGAGTTGTGACATCAACCGCTGTTTGTAAATCCATTGCTCCCAAATCTTTAAGATACCAACACACTTTCTTCTAAAATGCTAGTTGTCATGGTAATAGGCACGGTGTAACATTTTGTGCTGATTTGAGAGTTAGAGACCAATAAATAGACATATTTTGCAGATTTACTTTCAAAAGGTTCACTTGTGTTTATTGTTTGTAGCCATCTTCATGGGCACGTGGTCGCCCAGCATCTTCTTTAGACTCGTAGCTGACGGACTCTATAACACGGTAGTGTTACAAATTTTAGTAAGAACTTAATTTAAGATTTAAAAACATTTAAAATTCATTAGTTACAATAAGATTGCAAAAACAACATAAGTCTCATTAGACGTTCAAGCACTGACCAAACATAATAACCTTCCGATCTCAGGCCAGCGAATGAGTGCCGTAATTAATCACCTCTAGTGGTCGGCAAACGCGTCAATTAAATTGCAAGCAGAGGACAGAGCAACAGCAGATATATATAGAAAGATTTAATTGATTATCTCTTGGTGTCATGTATTAGTATTTAATAAGCACTTCGCTAGTTCAGGAAAATGACCAGTTCCGGTTCGGTCAAAATTAAATATTAAGAATCAAAGAACCGGGCAAATCACACTATTTAAATCGAAGGTCTAGAATCAGTATTTCTAATAATTAGGTAAATGTTGAATCAAAAATGTCCATCCTTGACGTGAGATGTGAACCACCTGTCGCCCTAATTTTGTTATAAAAATGCAGCATTTTGCCGCATTCGGTGTGTTCGGCAAGTGTTCGGCAAGTGTTCGGTAAATGTTCTGCGAGTCGGGAAAGTAGTAGCATAGGAAGGAGTAACTGAGGGAGAGACGTTGTGGTCACATCTTCAACTTGATGTAGTCCGTGTGCGCAGAATAAAATTCCTTTTAGAGGAAAAAGAGAGTTGTTTATAACTTTTCGGTGACGCGCTTTTATCACACGTAAAAGCCCCCGTCACAACTCTTTGAATTTAAAATATCACCTCTATTTTGCAATAAAAAGGTTCGCGCGTAAATAATTTTCAGGTTTAGAAAAGCAATTTGTCCAATTTCAATTGTAAAAAAACCTTGACAAATCCAAATCTTCCCCGTATTGATATATTCTGGCCGAGAAGCCTGTAAACCAGTTTACTTCATTGGCATTTCCATTTTTCACTTAACGGACTGTAACTCATAATGTGATATGAAAAGCTTTTTGATGCGCAAATTCTGATTAGATGATGTTAAAAAAGATTATCTCATCTGCTGTTGCGAGGGAAAGGAAAAAAATTAATGAAGTCAAATTAACACACAGCTGGTCTACAGAACTCGATTGGACCGTTCTGGAGTAAAATGCCGAACGCCAAGCGTCTGTCTGGTTATTAAGGTCAATCATAACGGTCATACTGTAGAAGGGTGGTTGAGCTATCCAGTGCCGTTCTAATAACTAATTAAAACGACACCCGTTGATTTAAAATTGTCCCAATATCAAAGGGGGAGGGGGCTACCTACACACTGGTTGATACGTTTGGTTATTACTCAGTTTCTATGGTGATTATATATATTTCAATGGTGTCATATGTTTGAGAGAAATGATAATTGATAGGTCTCTATACACTCTGCTCACTGACCGAAGAACGCAAGGTCTCTTATTCTGAAACTCCTGGCGGTATAGTAATGTGAGCTTTTATCGTTGTTTTATAGGGGAGAATATTAATTGTCATACTGCACATTTTCAATAATACATTAGGGCCTAGAGCTTAGAAAATGCTTAGCTTGAAGATGAGGCAGGGCTGCAGTATACTAACCGTTAATATTCACGCAGGTGACTACATTTACCTGTTTAAATTACTATATCTAAAGCAAAAAAGGCTCATATTTTCTCACGTCAGTCATTTTACTCATTGTTAAGATAGTAAAATGAGACGCCCCTTCTCATTTTCTTTTTCAATAAACTCCTCAATGTTTAATTATGATCATTTTCCTGGAATACTTGACAGTTTCCATTTTATCATCAAGGAATATGCTGTTCAAAACCGATGTCAAAAATAAGATTATAATCCTGTTTTCCAGTTCTAAATGTGTGAAATTTACCGACAAGACTTCAAGTCTCTTTATCTCTATTACAAAAGTCATCCAGTAATTAAACCTCAAAAACGGCTAAATGAATCCAAATTCTGTGAACCGTTCTGGATAAGGTGTATATTGGCGAATAACTGGAAAGTATTAAAAATTTCCAGAAAAATTACATTTTTGCTGCACTCGGGTGCCGTCCAGTTCTCAATGTGTGCTTTAAATAACTATTCATAGTTGAACGAGCCGTTAGAAGGACAGCTCCCCCTGTGATGAAGACAGCATTAATTTCCCAAACCTGTCAGTAGCACAGTACAGATGTCATCATTAATAGGCTAATATTAATTTCCTAGAATGAGTGAAGATATTTGAAAGCTACAATGACTTCCAGCGGAGCAAATTCCATGGAAATTATCCACGCGTTAATCACCTTGCAGCCTTAAAGGTTCACCTTCTCCCGTATCGCTGGGTTTTGATAGACTCTGGCAAGCGAGATACATTTTACACAACGGTTGAAGCATATAATATCATTTGGAAGGAAGTTATCGTCACTAATGAGGGTTTTGTGGAACTGGCTTTGAAATACTTGTTTATGAGTTTGGTTTTTGCGCGCGCTGGAATAGCTTTGGAAATTTGATGACGCTTTACTTTACCATCGCTAGTTCACATGCATATGGCGGCGCTGGAAGGCTTTAGTGGAATCGCTGCTCACAATGTCTCTCTCATTCACGACTGCGATTCCCTTGGTTCAAACCGGAGGATTTTCATCATCGGCGTCGGTCTCTCAGCGCTTGTCTGCATCTTGGGGATCGTCTGCAACATTCTTGTCATGGTGGTCTTCTGGTCGGAGAAACCGTTACGATCCACGTCGTACCTACTCCTGTGGGTGGCGTTCGCTGACAACATTTCTCTTCTCCACAACCTTTTATTGTACGTTATCCCCTCTTTTCATCCATTCACTGGAATAGCTGAGGATTATTTCTGGGTGTCCTCCAAAATCTCGCTACACACTTGGGCGATTGGTTCTATCGCCAACAGCCTCGGGATCTACTTGGTCATCTTCGTCAGCTTGGACCGGTACGTGGCCGTCTGCAAACCCGTGAAATCCAAGGAGTTCTGCACCATACAGAAATGGCGTCCGAGGGTCCTTGGGTTGGTCATCGCCTGTATTCTGTACAACTCTCCTCGATTCTTCGATGCGACGACAATAGGTTACAATAACTGCAGTAACTCCAGTACCACCCATGCCGTGTGCTTCGTCTACGATGTGAAGGAAGGCTGGGAACTGTACAACCTGGTGTACCGATTCTACTTACAGTCGTTGACTTTCAATGTGTTTCCAATCGTGATTCTGGTGTTTTTTAATGTCTCTCTTATCTGCTTCCTTCGAAGACGGGCGGGGAGACTTCCAAAACGTTCCTCCGGAAACGGGAAGCGGAATAAAGCGAAGGAGAAAAACGTTGAGATCACCATTGTTGTGATCGTCATCGTGTCTCTGATGATCATGACGGCATTGCCGTCGGTTGCTTACCTCGTTTTTAACATTTTCCGGGCAAATTTACCCCCGGACGTGCTCATGTTCGAACGCTACTTTCGACCCACGGCAAACGCTTTCTTTTTATTGAATTCAGCTTTGAACTTCTTTGTCTATGGGCTGTTCGGCAGTCATTTTCGACAGCGTTTGAAAGTTTTACTGTGTCGTTGCTGCCCCAGACAACAGTGGAACAAAGCTCTGTTACAGGAGTCTTCGTCAAATGCCGGGTTGAGGAATATGGAAGAAGATACCTAACCTTCTCATCGCCGGTCATGCAGAAGCAGATTAGTACAGAGATGTGTTTTAACGTCGCTGGTTGGCGTTCAGTGACTAGGGACGGTCTTTGACCAAGTCAATATGCACTTTGACGGCTGATTTGGCAAATCTCACTGATCATGAAATATGTTTAATTTTACTATATTGTTATCCACGGACTCCAGCTATGTTCTAGGTTAATGAATGTTCCTATCTCGTTGGGTAATGTATATATATATAAACATGGGTGGTAATAGACAAACCCCTCCCTCCATAAGGGGAATGCTGGTTACTTCTAAGCATTGAGAAACGTGGAGATTAGGTGTAGATATAGAAGTTCCTCAATATGATTTGTTGGCAATGTATGAAAATAATAGACTTTTTGAGTCGCAAACCTCGGCAGCTGCGGGGTTTTCCCCATAATTTGTTACCCGATGAACGAACCATTTACAGAACAGAATACATTTCAACAGTTCTTAGGGAAAACACAGGAATTCATTTGACATTTTGCCCCTGAAACTAATTGCCTATTTACGTTGCGACTCGCAAAGAAGAGTTTGTTTGGTATCGTCGAAACCGCACGATTTTAATTAACAATACTGGTCGGTTTTTGTGGTAATATGGTTTCTAGAGCAGCACCACTCACTGGAAGAATACATCGACTGCAGCTTTTTATTAAATGTTCAATTTCCCCCAGCTGTCACGAGATGAACTGATAATGAATATGGTGTACTTCCACCTTATTAACTTGTATGTATTTTATCAAAGTACCTTTTAACGTGCAGATCTATCATCTGATGTACTTACACAGCGCGCGGACCACACATCAGCAATGCTTGTTGTCCGGCAGCGTTTATTTTCTTTGTAAATGTTGAAACATTGGTGCCGCCTCCACTTTTACTCTCTCTCTCTCTCTCTCTGTGTGTGTGTGTGTGTGTGTGTCGTTCTTTTCATGGGATTAGTAAATTTGCTATAAGAGAACTCATGCTAACATTCGATGCATTTTTAAAAATAGATTTAGTTAGATCAGTAGTATTAATAGGCATGTGATTACTGAAAAGCGTGTTATTGTTTGGCGACGTCACTGCGCTTATTAACTAAATAAGCAACAATAACCAAGGCGTTTTATATTTATATATTGCTGGAGATCCATCTAATGTTTTTTTTTTTAATGTTGATCTTGTTGAAACTTTGAAGTTGTTCGCACTCACATTCTCAGCAGTACATCACCATCTCTAGATCTAATGTCAGTATATTACCACCCAGGTTTCACCTTTAAGGACATCGGTTTGGCGTTCTGGGTAGCCACTTCTCTCCTGATTACAAGTGACAGCACGCACACGCCCCACTAGTAAGAAATTGGCCCAAAAACACCCGAACATGTTGGCCAACATATCACCCTTTAAGGTTAGTGTGTATTGTTTGATACTGACGGACAGACTGGTATTGTANTAGTTTGATATTTTGGTGTCTCTTTTGAAAATAATTTTAAACGAAATTAAATTAAATTTGCTAGTTATTAGTAGAATACATATCTGAGACGTAATTATTTTGGCAGGATACACGACAGCACGTGATAACGAGGAATGCGAGCAGACGACTTTTTCAACTTATCACACCACACAACAAGTAAGAGGTATTATAGCTGGATGCAATTGGGCTCACCTAACACATTTCTGTTACACATTGCTGGAGGGTTCAGCTTGAATTGATGTCGCCTAGAAACAGGAAAATTCTTTATGAAAACTTAAGGAAAGGAAGATCTACCACCCCTCTCCCGTGTAATTCCCGTCCCCAACTCCACGTACTGAAATCGAATGTAAGTTGGACAAAGTGTAACTCTCCTCACTTTTTTAAAACTTAACCCCCAGAAAATGGCTCCCTGACAAACAATTTGTAGAGCGCGCAGTGTGAGGTATTATAAGAGAGAGAGAGTTGTGACATCAACCGCTGTTTGTAAATCCATTGCTCCCAAATCTTTAAGATACCACTTTCTTCTAAAATGCTAGTTGTCATGGTAATAGGCACGGTGTAACATTTTGTGCTGATTTGAGAGTTAGAGACCAATAAATAGACATATTTTGCAGATTTACTTTCAAAAGGTTCACTTGTGTTTATTGTTTGGAGCCATCTTCATGGGCACGTGGTCGTAGCTGACGGACTCTTTGAATTTAAAATATCACCTCTATTTTGCAATAAAAAGGTTCGCGCGTAAATAATTTTCAGGTTTAGAAAAGCAATTTGTCCAATTTCAATTGTAAAAAAACCTTGACAAATCCAAATCTTCCCCGTATTGATATATTCTGGCCGAGAAGCCTGTAAACCAGTTTACTTCATTGGCATTTCCATTTTTCACTTAACGGACTGTAACTCATAATGTGATATGAAAAGCTTTTTGATGCGCAAATTCTGATTAGATGATGTTAAAAAAGATTATCTCATCTGCTGTTGCGAGGGAAAGGAAAAAAATTAATGAAGTCAAATTAACACACAGCTGGTCTTCAGAACTCGATTGGACCGTTCTGGAGTAAAATGCCGAACGCCAAGCGTCTGTCTGGTTATTAAGGTCAATCATGACGGTCATACTGTAGAAGGGTGGTTGAGCTATCCAGTGCCGTTCTAATAACTAATTAAAACGACACCCGTTGATTTAAAATTGTCCCCAATATCAAAGGGGGGGGGGGGGGGCTACCTACACACTGGTTGATACGTTTGGTTATTACTCAGTTTCTATGGTGACTATATATATTTCATTTGTGTTATATGTTTGAGAGAAATGATAATTGATAGGTCTCTATACACTCTGCTCACTGACCGAAGAACGCAAGGTCTCTCATTCCGAAACTCCTGGCGGTATAGTAATGTGAGCTTATGGGCTTTTATCGGTGTTTTATAGGGAAGAATATTAATTGTCATACTGCACATTTTCAATAATACATTAGGGCCTAGAGATTAGAAAATGCTTGATTTGAAGATGAGGCAGGGCTACAGTATACTAACCGTTTATATTATTCACACAGGTGACTATATTTACCTGTTTACTTTACTATATCTAAAGCAAAAAAGGCTCATATTTTCTCACGTCAGTCATTTTACTCATTGTTAAGATAGTAAAATGAGACGCCCCTTCTCATTTTCTTTTTCAATAAACTCCTCAGTGTTTAATTATGATAATTTTCCTGGAATACTTGACAGTTTCCATTTTATACCCTAGGAATACGCTGTTCAAAACCGATGTCAAAAATAAGATTATAATCCCGTTTTCGTGTTCTTAATGTGTGAAATTTACCGACAAGACTAAGTCTCTTTATCTCTATTACAAAAGTCATCCAATAATTAAACCTCAAAAACGGCTAAATGAATCCAAATTCTGTGAACCGTTCTGGATAAGGTGTATATTGGCGAATAACTGGAAAGTATTAAAAATTTCCAGGAAAATTACATTTTTGCTGCACTCGGGTGCCGTCCAGTTCTCAATGTGTGCCTTAAATAACTATTCATAGTTGAATGAGCCGTTAGAAGGACAGCTCCCCCTGTGAATAAGACAGCATTAATTTCCCAAACCTGTCAGTAGCTTAGTACAGATGTCATCATTAATAGGCTAATATTAATTTCCTAGAATGAGTGAAGATATTTGAAAGCTACAATGACTTCCAGCGGAGCAAATTCCATGGAAATTATCCACGCGTTAATCACCTTGCAGCCTTTAAGGTTCACCTTCTCCCGTATCGCTGGGTTTTGTTAGACTCTGGCAAGCGAGATACATTTTACACAACAGTTGAAGCATATAATATCATTTGGAAGGAAGTTATCGTCACTAATGAGGGTTTTGTGGAACTGGCTTTGAAATACTTGTTTATGAGTTTGGTTTTTGCGCGCGCTGGAATAGCTTTGGAAATTTGATGACGCTTTACTTTACCAGCGTTAGTTCACATGCATATGGCGGCGCTGGAAGGCTTCAGTGGAATCGCTGCTCACAATGTCTCTCTCATTCACGACTGCGATTCCTTGGGTTCAAACCGGAGGATTTTCATCATCGGCGTCGGTCTCTCAGCGCTTGTCTGCATCTTGGGGATCGTCTGCAACATTCTTGTCATGGTGGTCTTCTGGTCGGAGAAACCGTTACGATCCACGTCGTACTTACTCCTGTGGGTGGCGTTCGCTGACAACATTTCTCTTCTCCACAACCTTTTACTGTACGTTATCCCCTCTTTTCATCCATTCACTGGAATAGCTGAGGATTATTTCTGGGTTTCCTCGAAAATCTCGCTACACACTTGGGCGATTGGTTCTATCGCCAACAGCCTCGGGATCTACTTGGTCATCTTCGTCAGCTTGGACCGGTACGTGGCCGTCTGCAAACCCGTAAAGTCCAAGGAGTTCTGTACCATCCAGAAATGGCGTCCGAGGGTTCTTGGGTTGGTCGTCGCCTGTATTCTGTACAACTCTCCTCGATTCTTCGATGCGACGACAATAGGTTACAATAACTGCAGTAACTCCAGCACCACCCACGCCGTGTGCTTCGTCTACGATGTGAAGGAAGGCTGGGAACTGTACAACCTGGTGTACCGATTCTACTTACAGTCGTTGACTTTCAACGTGTTTCCAATCGTGATTCTGGTGTTTTTTAATGTCTCTCTTATCTGCTTCCTTCGAAGACGGGCGGGGAGACTTCCAAAACGTTCCTCCGGAAACGGGAAGCGGAATAAAGCGAAGGAGAAAAACGTTGAGATCACCATTGTTGTGATTGTCATCGTGTCTCTGATGATCATGACGGCACTGCCGTCGGTTGCTTACCTCGTTTTTAACATTTTCCGGGCAAATTTACCCCCGGACGTGCTCATGTTCGAACGCTACTTTCGACCTACGGCAAACGCTTTCTTTTTATTGAATTCAGCTTTGAACTTCTTTGTCTATGGGCTGTTCGGCAGTCATTTTCGACAGCGCTTGAAAGTTTTACTGTGTCGTTGCTGCCCCAGACAACAGTGGAACAAAGCTCTGTTACAGGAGTCTTCGTCAAATGCCGGGTTGAGGAATATGGAAGAAGATACCTAACCTTCTCATCGCCGGTCATGCAGAAGCAGATTAGTACAGAGATGTGTTTTAACGTCGCTGGTTGGCGCTCAGTGACTAGGGACGGTCTTTGACCAAGTCAATATGCACTTTGACGGCTGATTTGGCAAATCTCACTGATCATGAAATATGTTTAATTTTACTATATTGTTATCCACGGACTCCAGCTATGTTCTAGGTTAATGAATGTTCCTATCTCGTTGGGTAATGTATATATATAAACATGGGTGGTGATAGACTACCCCCCCCCCCCCTCCATAAGGGGAATGCTGGTTACTTCTAAGCATTGAGAAGTGTGGAGATTAGGTGTAGATATAGAAAGTTCCTTAATATGATTTGTTGACAATGTATGAAAATAATACACTTTTTGAGTCGCAAACCTCGGCAGCTGCGGGGTTTTCCCCATAATTTGTTACCCGGTGAACGAACCATTTACAGAACAGAAGACATTTCAACAGTTCTTAGCGAAAACACAGGAATTCATTTGACATTTTGCCCCTGAAACTAATTGCCTATTTACGTTGCGACTCGCAAAGAAGAGTTTGTTTGGTATCGTCGAAACCGCACGATTTTAATTAACAATACTGGTCGGTTTTTGTGGTAATATGGTTTCTAGAGCAGCACCACTCACTGGAAGAATACATCGACTGCAGCTTTTTATTAAATGTTCAATTTCCCCCAGCTGTCACGAGATGAACTGATAATGAATATGGTGTACTTCCACCTTATTAACTTGTATGTATTTTATCAAAGTACCTTTTAGCGTGCAGATCTATCATCTGATGTACTTACACAGCGCGCGGACCGCACATCAGCAATGTTTGTTGTCCGGCAGCGTTTATTTTCTTTGTAAAGGTTAAAACATTGGTGCCGCCTCCACTTTTACTCTCTCTCTCTCTCTCTCTCTCTCTCTCTCTCTGTGTGTGTGTGTGTGTGTGTGTGTGTGTGTGTGTGTCGTTCTTTTCATGGGATTAGTAAATTTGCTATAAGAGAACTCATGCTAACATTCGATGTATTTTTAAAAATCGATTTAGTTAGATCAGTAGTATTAATAGGCATGTGATTACTGAAAAGCGTGTTATTGTTTGGCGACGTCACTGTGCTTATTAACTAAATAAGCAACAATAACCAAGGCATTTTATATTTATATATTGCTGGAGTTGCATCTAATGCATCTTATGTTTTTTCTTTAATGTTGATCTTGTTGAAACTTTGAAGTTGTTCGCACTCACATTCTTAGCAGTACATCACCATCTCTAGATCTAATGTCAGTATATTACCACCCAGGTTTCACCTTTAAGGACATCGGTTTGGCGTTCTGGGTAGCCACTTCTCTCCTGATTACACGTGACAGCACGCACACGCCCCACTAGTAAGTAATTGGCCAATAACACCGGAACATGTTGGCCAACATATCACCCTTTAAGGTTAGTGTGTATTGTTTGATACTGACGGACAGACTCTGGTATTGGATGGGCGAATGAAATATTATAGGTTTTAAACTTGTGGGATTAATGATATTTGATATAGTTTAAGATGCGCACTAAAAACATTATCTTATCACCTACGCATTAAGTGTTCAACAAAATCAATTATTTTGGACTTCACAGTCAGTGACTTTAAAATACAAGGTAAATGAAAAGACAAGAACTCTCGCTTCGAAGCCTTTATACATCGAATAAATTACAAAGCATCTCCAATTACAAGTTTCATCGTAAATATTTCAACAGTGTACACATCTCTCTGCCTACCATCGTATAGAAAAGTTAACTTGACCTTAATTGAGGCTTGTTCCAGCTTGTTCTACATATCAGATGAGCATTTCATTGTCACAACATAAATGTTTAAATATACACCAAATACAACAGCTATTTGACTGACAGCCGCTGATGTAGCGTGACATTAGTTCCTTCCACATGAACGCAAATGATTTTCAAGGAGCTAGAAAACATTTAATTGGACTGTATCTCCAAAATAACATGTGGAACATAATGCACATGTATGTAAGTCAATAATACTATGTTTTGCCCCTCAAACTTATATACTTTGTCAGCCAGGTGAGAATGGCATTTTCATTTGTTTTCATCCATCGTATATTGGATTCAATAATAGCTATACTGCTCTCCACAGCCTTCTGTGCCACGCCGGCTGGAGGGTACCTCTTATATAAATCTTTTAACTGAAACGAAAGAAAAAGAAAATAAAAAGCTAGTACTGTATTGAATGCAAGTCATATTAAATTAGCAGTGTGCGTGTGTGCGTACGCGCGTGTACATGTCCCTCGTACAACAGGTAAACATGAGCGGTGAAACTGGCCTCTTTGGTTCTCCCGCACCTACGTGAAAACCGAGCCTCAAAAATCATTTTGAGATATTGTGAGCGACCTCTATAGGCCTGTTGATTTACAACAGAATGTTAGAAAAATTAAAATAAATAATTAAATAAATTGATGGACTTCGTAATAAATTGGCTTTTATTTCAGCAGACTGAGACACGTGAATACTCACCATCTGTAGATCAAACTCATTGCTGACTGTATGTGTGGTTTCATATGTGATATCTCGCAGAGAAAACGTGTCCAACTGGAATCTAAAGAAAGAAACGAATTTATTGAGCGATTTTTCCGTACATCTGAATGCACATAAATGCTAAATTGAAATAGGGAATCTTACTTCTATGTATTCATTAGGTTCATTCATTTCATACGCAAAATTTAAAGAGTGTAAAGAGGTTAGGACATACTGCTTTGAAATGTGCTAAAACTTTGTGGATATTGAGTGGCTAATCATCTTCAACACTTGTACCTACAACACGTAAATCTTGTGTACCTTTCATTTAGTTGTTGCCAATGCTGCATAAAAAATTTCAAAGAAATCGTCCTCCCGAGCGACGTGTGTTTGAAGTAACTGAAAACTTCTTTCACGTTCTGAGGGCGGATCTTGGCTTCGTCCATTGTCCAGCGTAAATACCTTATGGGAGACAAATAATAATAATAATAATAATAATAATACTGCGCCCATTAAAACCGTATTCATATTAGTCCCATGTTTAATTTAAAGATTAAAACTTAAATTTGTACAGCAAAACTTCAAAAATAATTAATTACAGATTCTTATATAAAAAACATCACGAAAATATGGCGCTGGTAAAAAGATGCAGCAGGTCTGTTTTGAAGCTAATTCTTAACTGTAGATGATACTGTAATGCTAATATTCACATGGGTTTAACATACTTGACGATCGAACTTTAAAGATTTCCAGGTTTTTTCATTTCTCGTCTACTTTTATCATATCGAATCAGGCATAAAATATAAACGACTAAGCAATAAGTTAAGAAGGCAGCTGAAAATCTTGTCTAAATTAATGTTACTCCATACCGCCATAGTAGCCACGGTTTCTGGGAATAAGCGAGCGCCTGCATTAATTCCGAGGATTGCGAGGGCACGTTTGTCGTCTGCGACACGTTCCAAAGAAAGTCCCAGTCATTCTCGCCCCCCTCGTAAATGGCGGCTGAGAAGATGATGAGGGCGTAGTCAGCGGGCATGCTGTGGAACAATTAAGAAATTAAACAAAAATTTATAATAAAAAGCATATGCATAATACATTAAGCAAAGATGAACATCTCCATTTTCTTTGACAGCAGATGCATCATATGAGACGCACCAAACTGAAAATTCATAATCAGGGACAAAAAATAACATTCTGACGTTCCTTTTTTTAAATAGTAAATATCACTAGAGGTGATCATTTAAAATGTTGGTATGGCCTCCCGTTCGTACCTGATGCGGTACTTCCTGAACTGATCGTACAGCGTTCTCGTGTATTCTAACGCCTCTGGCAGCTGTAGGCGCACGGCGGCGTGAAGAATTGCTCGACGAAGATACCTGAAGATCAAAATCGTATTAAAACATACTTAGAAAAGGACAACTGTATTTCATTATTTATTTATTTATTTATTTATTTATTTATTTTTAATTAATTAATTAATTAATTAATTAATTTATATGCATATACATTTTTAGAACTATTCTTGCAGTTCAACCATGAATGCGTGACGTTTTCGCCTCTATCGCAATCCGCAGCGAGGCACCTCTGTTGAAATTTCAGATTCTGGTACTTTAAAAACGGAAATGTACACGTATGTTCGGAACAGCAATAAGAATTAACTCTAAGATATTTATCCGACTTAAGCACTAACGAAATTTTTTTATTATGTAACGGCTTTAAAGGTTTTTTTAAAAAAAGTAATTTAAATGTTTAGAAAAATAAATTTTAAGAGAAATAAAACTGCCATGTCCGCTTTCGTCTTTAGCTACCTTTGTGGCAGGGGTCCTCCCGTGGTAGCACCAATGTTCAGCGTCTTGTAAATATCTGACACCAGATCCCGGAGATAAGTCTGGAGACGACAGATATAACAGGCAGTCAGTATAAAGCTCACTCGACCAACAAAAGTAAGAAACATCGTTAATTTGAATAATAATAAAATAACCATACGAGCTAAGGTAAATAATTTAACAAAATATTGATGGATAATGCACTCACTATTCGTTACTTTTTATTTATATACACTGAAGATTTCCCCTCTAAATTACATAGTTTATAATGATTGAAAAACGATTTCATGTTTCCGATCTTTTTCATTAACTAGGTCAAAATCTGATCAACTCACACCCATTCATTAAAATATTTCGCTAGATTTAGTGAAATAATTTTGAACACGCAAGTACTAAAGCTGACAGCGAGAGGTGAGAGGCACCCCGATTGGAATTATAAATGAACTCTTTCCTACCCAAAAGTGGCATTGGATCGATTCAGATGTTACACGATCCCAGTAATTTCTTTTTATTTCATTTATTTATTGAACTTTATATATTGAGGGTACATGGTTAATTTAAAATCTTAACTTCTCCGTAGTCCTTATTTCTTTGAGGACTTTTTCCCTTTTGTTTAAGACCCGTACAAATTATCAAAGAGATACCCCCTGGGCCTTAGTATAGTGTACTCATTGACCCCTCTTGTCTTCAAGAACGCACAACCTCCCGGGGACGTGGCCTACCTTAAGCATCCCGTAGGCGTCTGAGTTCGAGAGCATGACTTTGAGATACTCCATAGTGAGCAGGAAAGCGTTCCAGGGCACGTACTCTGTCTCTCTCTTCAGGTAGGAGGAGATGTTTAACGCCACTCCATAGTTCAGCAAACCTGCCCTGGAAGAAGTTTATGTCCCCAACACGATACATTTAGACGAAAGAATTAGACAGGGTTCCCATACCAAGATCGATCTAACAGGATAGATCCATCTCCAACGGGTTTCTCGCTAAATTCTTTAAGCTTAAGCGACTTAGATATCTGGCACGCCTTTTGAAGCTGAGAAACGATAATTAATTACCCCCTAGCAGCTTCAGTAGGCATGACAGATTTCTGAGCCGCTTAAGTTAATTGCAATTCAGCGAGAATCCCCTTAGAGATAGATCGATCCACAGTTAGTGCGATAGGGTCTGGAAATGGTCCTTTAGAGAGGAGTAACTTGTGTTCATTGAGGCTCAGTCTTATCTAAGCCTCTAGTATTTAATCAATAGTTGTTACCTAGTTTTGTTCATTTTTGTTTTCACAATCTAGTGATTACTCAATAAACAAGCAAAAAGAAATAAATAACATATTGAATTGTTTGACTTGCGGATCAAGGGGTTCCACACAAGCGGATGAGGGGAATTAAAAAGAAAAAAATAATAATAAAGAAAGAAATCTAAAAAAATATGTTTGGTGAAATTCTTAAGAATGCTAATTACGAGATCGGTCCTTTCTCCCTTTTTTTCCTAAGGACTCCACGAGGAGTTGTAAACACTGAACATTCTAGACAAGTCGAGAGCTCGAAGAAATGAAAAAAGTCCAAGTAAGAAAGATGAATTTATTGTCTCCTACCTTCCCAGTACGAGAGCGTCGTGGATAAAACCTGCTCGGTTAGATGCCGAAAAAGCCTGCAAAAGTTTGAAAACATATTTTGAAAAACCGACTCACTTGTTATCTTTGATAAATACATTTGGCAACATTTAATGCACAACAAAAATTAATGAAAAAACAAGAAAATATTATAAATAGATGGGGGCTCCATTTTAGACAAATACTGATTAGACAAAACTAAATATCTACAATAAAGCATTCGTATCTATACCTTTTACATTTCAGGGTTGCATCCATTCTAAGCTTAATGGTGTTTCTTTGATTAGCATTCTACAAACTTAATACTTTAAAAAACAAAATTTTCATGAGTGTATTCCCCCCAACCGTCTCCTTTAATTTACCGTGTGGTCCCGCCTCAGCTGTTCCAACAGCCGCTCCCACATGCCGTCATCGTAGTTCACCATGTAGAATCCGGTGTAGTTCACGTTGCCGACCATCAATCCGGAGTGATGATCCGGGACTTCAAAATCCACTGTAACAAAGAACGGATTGAGTTTACACATAGACAAGGGGTGAAATGGGATTAACTATTACGGTTGGGTAGGGTTACACTTTCGACAGAGTCCCATACCTGACTTTTCCTTGAGCCACAACAAGTGCGAGTCCTGGATATAGTTCTGTGTTGTATATGTAAATGGGATGTTCCACATATATCTGAAAGAGAGAGAAATAAACAAAACACGCCTCACTATCGGTAAAAATGTAATTTTGATTTAGATAATGTTCGGAGAGTTCTGAAGCAATCTTTGCATTGTTTCAACACTTCAACAATCATAAATTTTTATATACAAAACACGTCTTCAAAAGTGTTACCAAAGAAAGCGCAGAATAGTCACTTCAACAAACGCGCTATTGGCCCTTTAAGACTTCCAAATATCAATTCATTGTCAGGCAATATTTGGTAATATCTTACTTGTATGGGTTGGTGCTGGTTGTGTTGCTTTCTTCAGGCATCAACAAAAATCTCTCCTGAGTGAGACGGTAGGTGTTGCCGGTCACTTTTGACAGAGTGACCACAGGAAAGTTCATCTGCCGCGTCCAGGTGTCCATCGCCTCACCGACGTCGTATTTATTACTGACCACCTGAGGCAACGAGAAAGATGAAATTTTAAAGAAAAACAGTAAAAAGAGTAAAATAAAACATCCCAATAGCGCTAATACAGACCTGCAAACATGGTTACAAGGAGTTTTTTGTTTAAAACTATTTTTAGAGAATAATTCTTATTTTTTGCGGTGCTACAAAGTAAATCCTCCTGCTCGCACCTGATTAACGACGTAGAAACCAGATGTAAATACTTGAACAATTTTCTTCAAAAACAACGAACTAATACGAAAATCTTCACTAACTCCTAGTTTGCACTTCGTCAAGTACAATTCATGTTGCATGGGTAGCGTTTGGCAATAGTTGCAGCAGCTTCTGGCAAATCTTTTACACCTTAATTCGTTGGAATCATTTAACCAGGGGCACTCGCAAGTGCAGGCCAAGTCACTTGAAATAGCTCGGCGTTAAAGAAGTATTGATTAGAATCCCCAGTTAATCGGAAAGAATTTCTTGTTATTTTGTTGCCAAGCATATCTCTGTATCCTGTTGCCCTCGTCCAATTGAGTACGCTACCCATGTGAAGTGCACTTGTTCTGAGGGACGCCTAACTTCACCCAGCCTTTCAAAGCAGCGCGTTCTAAATTTCAAAGACACTGTAAATTTTGAGGAATTTGATACTAACACGTTCACTTCATCAACAGAAACAAACTCAATATTAAAGAGTTAGGCAAAATATTGGTTCAAAAGACTTTGTTTAATGCATTTTCCATTGTTTTCCTTAATATCGAACGCCCACCTCTCTTTATAGAGTCATTTAAAACGTGACACCCGAACGAGTTTTGTTGGCGATTAAAAATCTTTCGGACTAAACACAATTCATTTACTGCATCAAACCTAAATGATTGGTGTCACAATTCTGTGTTATATATATATATATATATATATATATAAAGAGAGAGAGAGAGAGAGAGAGAGAGAGAGAGAGAGAGAGAGAGGTGGTATCCCGGCCATTGCCTCCATTACCTCAGTGAACACGCTCCACAGTTCCGACATTTCAGCATTTCTAAACTTGTACTTCCTGACATATCTCTGAAACCAAAGGGCAGACGATATATAGTGGAACAAATTATTGATACAATGAAGTCACATTCCCTAACACATCTATGAGATGGAAGATTGAACGGACATGTATGTTAATAAATGAGGTCATGATTTACTTCCATTTTGACACAATCGTGTTATTTTATGACGCATCTTTGAAGGAAAAAATTCCAAGACGGTTATTGGAACTAATACGACATAACGTCGTCATTAGCTTACATTTTCTGACATAATTCTCTTAGCTTTGCCAATAGCAGGAAAATATGCATCAGTCTCACACTTTTGGCAAAGAAAACGACCTAACGGCTGCAATAGGCAGAGGAAGTTGCGATGGTAACGTAAAAAGTAGAGGAAATCATCGAATCAACCAGTACTTAACATTTATGAAATTTCCTTCTTGATGATTTGTTTTAGATAATCGATTTCCTAATTTATGTAGAAGTACATGAGTGTGAGCAAGATAAATTGAAATGTGTGTAAGGCTTATTGGACATACTTCCCGGACTGATGCTTCCGGACGTGTGGTAAAAAAGCCGTTATTTCGGCATATTTACATGTAGTCGTGTCTTGAAAACGTGCACAATAACTATTATCGTGGTAAAGAGCGGGTGTCTACAATGTCCAATGTTCTTTAGAAAAAAAGATATAAACGCGCTCGATCCCAAATAAATTTGGGTGTCAAGCAGCCTATGACTGCGTGCACGAGGGCGCGTGGACGTGCACGTGCCAGTCGTTGCTTATTGTCATATATACGTTGCGAGGGAGCGTGACTCTGTGCTGGGACCCGGGCATGTTTAAATATCTTAACCTTTACAGCAAAAACTGATCACGTCCGGATCTTGTTCTACAAAAGCCAAGGGACCCAATCATATAGACATAATTAGTTGAACTTGTACTATGGTTCAATGACTTTTCGTGTTTCTTGACACGTAATGCAGAGTATTCATAGTTATGGGTCATACCTATCGTTTGGATGTTTATTGGAAACTAACTACAACAACAATAATGAAATATCGGTTGAACAAAACAATTAGACATATACAGACATATAATAACAATAAGGTTATTGAAAACAAAATTTTCTCACCGTTGTAAGCATATAATGTGATCCAACTATGAAGCTGATAAACATTTTTGCTCAATAAGAAGTATAAGCTGTCCACAAGTTTGATCGTATCTAATTATCACATACTATGTCACCTTTTCATTGCTTATTTCATAAGCTTTTGCAGATATTGGAACAAGTCTTTAATATTACAGGTGAGTGACATTACATTACATGGCGAAGTACTCAATCTTCTATTCACAGACAGATCAATTAATTTTGGTAGAGAATTGCTATGGGTATTGTTCTCTATTCCTGAATGAACTCGCGACAAAGTACAAAGATAAAGATGAGTTCTTACCTGCAATCCATTTTGGAAATCCTTCCATCCTAAAAGACCTCGCAGTAAACGCAGTACGGCCATACCCTAGACACGGATAGAAACATGGACTTTGATATGTTTTCACAGATATATTTTACATTATTTTACCGTCAATGTAATGTTGGCGCAATCTTTGAAATTTGGCCAATCAAAAATATGATTAGTTCGTTCTATTCATTTCGCTGTTGTATTGATATTTAGGTATTGTTATTATGCTTAAGCGAAAAATCGGAATCGTTTTCGAAGTTCGCACGTCAATATTTTCTTTTAAGAACATATTTAAGCATAAAGCAAAATAAAACGCATTATAATAGAAATTATCGACGAAAAACACAGAACTAACTTTATCGTAGGAGATGTGGTCAAAGAATTGGGGTATGTCATCCGGATCCTCAATCCTGGAAGAAACCGGATGTGACGTAGGGACTGAGTCCCGGATCATGACGGGGAAAATGTCATCGACTACTTGTAAATCAAACTGAAAAATATGAGCAATTATCTATGAATTATGACAGAAAGTCGTCATACTCCCCAATATGAATTGAAAACAATACATTAATATCTAATTTCAACATACTGATAAGTATTTTAAAACATCTTTCAAGGGACGCGTCATTCAAGTACCATGTAACTACAAGCTTCAAAAGTTTGCTTTAGATTAAACTGAACAACCGACTGTAATTTAAGTGTAGATTTGCAAAGATAATATGCTAAACACAAATTATACAATGAAATCAAACCAAAGATGATAAGCATCTAATAATTCGTTTTAGATTTTGTTGTCCAACAACTAATCCTGTGCTTACAACTTTCCAATCCGGAAACACGTGGTCTAACACGAAGTACATGAGCGTGCTGGCGAACCCCTCGTTAAGCCAAAGGTCATCCCACCACTTCATGGTCGCCATATTGCCAAACCACTAGAAACAGAAAACAGAAGTGGAAGGGACGAAATTTAAATTTAAATTTAAATTATATATTAAAAAAAAAAAATTGTCTCATTGAACGTTCACTTACTGTTCTCAATATGTCCTAGAACATAATATTTTTCTCTTTTAATGAAAAATGTTCCTAATCTGTTCTAGGACATTCTGAAGGACTTCCCAAAAACAGTACTCAAACTGTTAAATTTATTACAGAACAACATTAGAACCGAAAAAAATACACAAAATGTTCTAGTTCTTAAATGAGACAAATTTTCGCAGGGGAAACAATCGTTTTCACTCGAGGCACGATGAAACGTCAGCCAAACTTCCCTGGGGTCCTTAAATGTATTCTCTGATTAACCTTTCATTTGTGGTGTGTCTCGAAGTTTACAACATGAGAGAGAGTGTGACTCGGCGTCATCCGGTATGTCAAAGCCAGAAAATATCAGCACGCTCAGTAGGCAACAAAAGCGTCTTTTTAACAGAGTCATTGATCTTCATTAGTTTGTTGCCAAGAGTACATTACGCATTGATGGTAATAGGGTTTAAAAATGGTCTTATTCAACACGCCGTCTTTACTTGTATGTTATCATTGTAATTCTAATATTTGGCATCTTTTGCCAAACTTTAAGAATATTATCACAAAATAGTTTTTGAGCGTTATACGGACACCCACGCAATGTCTGGCCAACGATCTTAATTCACACATAAAGAAACCAAATCATTCGCACATTATCAGCTTCTGTTATTTAATAGATCACAATAACGGTATGTGTTAAATGGAAAGAAATATTTTGGTCTTGCTGGCTCATCACTGACCAGAAGGTGTTATTGCTTGTTATTGTGAATGCTGATTCCAGGGCCCGCATCTGAGGCATTCTGGGTACTTTGCTGCCCAAGCAACTCCGACAGATCCAAAGACAACCCTATCCAGTATTTAGAAGGGTCTGCTGGTTGGCCTATACACAAGTTCAGAAGTGTCTCTATCCGTTATTTCAAGGAAGATCTGCTGGTTGGCACTGAATTAGTTTCAGAAGTGGTCCTATCCGTTATTTCAAGGGGGGTCTGCTAGTTGGCATTAAACCATCCGTACCATGTACACAATATGAACAAAAATATTTTACAATTTCTATAAATTTAGTCCTAAATTTTATGTTGCACAATCCTATCCTTGCATAGTAGCAGTGGGTTTAGTTAAGGGTAGCATGCCATATATAGTGTCAAAGTTTTTTCATTCAAAAGATCAGCTGAGCAGCCTACACTACTTACGTCATAATGCTGCAAAACGGTATTTATTTTATCTAAAAGGTGAGGTGTACATTTTATCGACAAAAAAAAAATAATAAAAAAACTGACATTAGGTTAAACCTTCATGGTTATCAACCTAGTGGTGGTTTTTAACTTTGAAATAAAGAGTCCTATCAAAAAACGTGCATACATGTACAGTCTTGTTCTTCACAGGTATCTAAATCATCCGCGAATTATTTTGCGATTTCCTTCAAACGGCTAGCCAGTACTTTTACAATGCTTTCTAAATAATAATAATGCGGGTTAAAGGCCGATTCAGCGCCGTGACAAAATCCAGGTAAGAAGCTCCCAATTCAAGTTTTTTATTTAATAGCCAACCCAGCCGCTGCATATATGACGTTGGGAAATCTCATCTTCACTCGGCAGCTTTACTATTCAAGCTACCTCTTTATTTCCTCAACCTCTATTTGCAGGATGGCAGGCTAGAGGACAAAATGAGATATTTTAACACGGTATTTGGTATCATCGGGCCAAGGCTTAAATCAACCACGTCACATTAGGAGGCAAGCCTTCTACCATTGTCACTACCCAGACGGTATATCTTATATTATCAATTTTGTGGGAATACTTCTAGTTCAGAAAGTATCTACTGGTAAAATCTTACACAATGTATAATGCCCAATAAAATGGCTCATTAGTACCTTACTCGATAGCTTTCCAAACATACACCAGTCAATGATACGCTTGAAAAGCAAGATATGTGCCGGCAGTCCCGCCAAAAAAGCCAAGTGCAAAAACAAAATACATTCCCTATGCTATAAATCTTATGAAATCTCTCCCGATACTTGTTCTGAAGGCAAGCCCCATAGAATAGATGATATATAAGAACTCCTGTTTCTCTGTTTGACCTCGCGGCTAAGCCAAAGAATGCGATATGGTTTATATTGTGTTGATAATGTGGGAAAGATGAGGGGGAAATTTGTAGGTCTTCTTTGCTAAAGCCAATTTTATCACTTAAACGCTTTCACGGCTTCAGATTTAACACACCTGGGGGTTAAAATTATAAATAACGGGAAACGAATCCAAGACCCATGCTTTGTCATTTTGAGAATAAATGGTTTGTTGTAAAGACAGATTTTATGGAATTTAGTTGAGAACTTTTGAGACTCTCCCTTGGGCCTATTCTTTCAAACTGAATGGTGAAAAAACGCTATTCACATCCAATCATGTTTTATGTATATCAAAACAAAGGATATTTTGGGAATTAGCTATAAAAACGTTGGGAAATAAATATCTAGAGGCTTCTTATTAAGTTCGAATAACCTGGCCATTGAAAAGCGAACAATTGCAGTGTGCGCTTTGAAATGTGTCTGAAAAGGATGTTCTTTTAAGCGATCCTGCGCTAGATTTGACTGCTGTATTCCGACGGGAAGTTAATTTGCTCCCTGCGGATGCATTATGTTATTTTCTTATTCACTGAAAGAAGGCAGTAATTTGTTATTTCTTAGCGCGTTCAGTTCGTGCGATTTTGCTTGTTATTTCATTTTGGGTCATCGCCTCATCTGAATGCCATGCCTCCAACCATCATCCAGATGTTCGGAAAATTCTATTGATAGATAAAGAAAACTAGAACCCTGACGTATGCAGCCTTAATTCAATATAATAAAACCATAAGCACAAGTTGGTATACGCATAAAATTAGGTGAATTTTTCATCATAATTCGTTATATAAGCGTGAACATGTCAACAAAACCGTGAAAAATGTATTTCATGCTTTTTTTTTTTTCTTGGACACGTCTCCCTGCTTGAGAAGCCGGGCCAATATATACCTACGGTATGAGCGACTTCATGTGCCATGACGAGAGCAATCCAGTACTTGGAGGCCACAGAAGAGTCGGTCGGGTCGAAGAGGAGCGCCGTCTCGCGGTAAAGGACACATCCCCAGTTCTCCATGGCTCCTGCACTGAAGTCAGGGACTGCCACGTGGTCTTAAATCATGGAAAAAACAAAATATACGAAAAGGAAAATACATGTAATACACTTAAATTTAAACAAACAAATTATCATAGCTCACACGTTTGAAAGGGACATTATATTCATTACATACTAAGTCATCCGGTCTTTGTTCGAAGTTGATATAGTAAATAATAATATACTGTATACGCATGCCATTTAAAGAATCTGGCTACTTATCTAACATACGTAAAAAAGTTGTATGGTTTAAGGTATTCTATCAAATGTATTCCCACAAAATCTCTTTTTCCATGAAGTGATTGCAATTTTCTCCTAGTCAAGAACAAATTGCTCAACGCGTCCCTGCACTTGGATTCGATGATTTATACTTTTTAATCACATAATTAAGTTCTAAATGTTTCCATTACCGTTTAGTCTGCCATGTCTTCCAGAACATTTCGGAAGGAAATATCGATAATCATGCACTTTTATTAAAGGGGGTTTTATCGTAAAAGGTCTGAATTGGAAAAGATAAGTGGCTTTGGGGGATATGTAGATAGAAGACAAGACTCTGGGACAGTTTCAAATGTGGATGGGGGCCTTTAACTGAAGAAGTGCAACCTTGAACAACCTGGAGATCCTGCATGGTTGACATATTTATTCATCCGTGTTTTGTATTACCAAACGCTTTTCTTGGTTAAGAGAAATGGGTCAGTCTGGGGCCGGTGTTTTTAAGCAATTAAGCCCAAAATTGAAATCTACTACTGTTGAATAAAACCCGTGTTTTCTTGCCCTAAAACAGCCACAGCTCGTCATATTGCATAACCGGCTTTTGGATTAAAGTGGATTAATAATTCAATCTAAAAGTTTAGACCAATTTTCAATCTAAAATCATTTTGCAAAGCCGGTTCCTGGTTGGTTCCCCGCCCCCCCCCCCTTCTTCTTTTTTAGTAGTGCTTAACTCAGGTCTGATTTATTGCCGAATTACATACATTCCTGTAACAGAGCCCTCGTTACGATATCCTACACATTACGTGATGGGTATGTTAAGTTGTTCCTGCTGATTTATCATAGGTTGTATAACCCAGTACGTGATAACAGCACTGAAACTATATTCCACTACACAAAGATCAAAGGGATTTCGTTCCGTGTATCAGATATGTGTCAAGATTGGTCAAGTAGTTAGGTGTGTACTTTGAAATGCTCTTCCTCTTACTGTTACAGACACTAGCTCTCTTCATGCTGTAGACTTTTGTATTTTTGTGTTAACAGTGTGAAGACATAGCTACGTCCTTTGCCTAATACCAATCCTCTTCAAACAGAGTTCTTGGTTCTAATCAAACCTGCCAGACGCAACTTTCGATATAAAAAGGTGTCTTGCTATCCAGGGAATGCATTATTCGTTGAATTAACCATATAGTGACTGATTTGCGGTGGCCCACAAGTGCACTCCAAATTCCAAACGACACTCCCAATTCTAAACCTCACACCGAATACTTAAACTTCACTCTCAATTCTTAAACCTCACTCCGAATTCGTAAACCCCACTCCGAATTCGTAAACCTCACTCCAAATTGAAAAAGCTCACTCCGAATTCGTAAACCTCACTCCGAATTGAAAAAGCTCACTCCGAATTCGCAAACCTCACTCCGAATTCGTAAACCTCACTCCGAATTCAAAAAGCTCACTCCGAATTCGTAAACCTCACTCCGAATTNATAAGGTCAAATATACCGTCAACTGGTTAGCACAGGTTTTATACCACTGACAAATTGACCAATAGATGAGTCGAAAAAATGTAAAATGCTGGCCTGCCATGTGTAGACGAAGTGTTTTTACTAACAAAGAATGATTTGTTCCTGATACCATCTAATAAAGATATCTGCACTGTCACACCTCAGTAGTGAAAAGTGAAGACAGATGGTCGGTATAGGCTGAAGGATTTTAACAATTAAGATTTTGTACAATTTAGCAGATATTGTTAGAATCCATTCAATGGGTAAGGGTCTCTGAAATGTTCCTACAGATGAACATGAAACTTAACTGCATTGTATATTCCAATACCGGCTTTTATGAGAAGATTCATAAGAAATAGTGTAACCCAAAGTCATCGAAAGCAACGTATATTTTTATTTTGTTTATTTGCATTTTTCGAATTGTAAGCATGAACACACCTACCGCCCAACGACTGTAATTGTTAAAAACGTTAAACATTACAAAAAGAATTCTACTTTTGTCGATCTTTAGCTCAGAAGTTTACAACACATGTACGTTTCAACATAATTAGTTTGCCAAATTGCCAAGCTATTCAAATAAAAAAGCAGAGACATGGGATTTAATTGCAAAGCGTTTCACGTGTCCAATCAGACGAACTGTTAACTTGCTTCCTGGCAGAAGAAGCATATGAAGTGGTGCTTCAAGAAAAAGAGATCAAGTGCACTTCTCAGTGAGGTTTGGAGTCGAGCTTTTCAGTTGAAACTGGATGAGTTCTAAGTGCCAGGGTGTACCTACAAATAACCGTTTTCCTGCCCCGGGAAGACATGTACACTGAAGTGCACTGGTACATGTGCTGGGACAGGTAGTGACATCTATGGTCCAGCGCAGTAGCATTTGTCATAAGATCTAATATTATAAAGGCATTGCCCCCATTCCCTTCATGCTTTATAGATAATTGTGATTGATTCTCTCGATTTCAATGGCTAATTTGAATAATGGGGCATATTTTCAGAATTTCACAAGTTTTTTCACTTTTATCTCATGGTATTAACGCTCTTTCGTCAGAAAAGGGAGAGGGAGGTTCAAAATCACAGGTAGAAATATAAACAGTTGGGAAAGTTTATGATATATGTGTTTGGGACATCCTACAGTAAAGTTCATTACAAAATGAGCAAGTGCGTGAAAGCGAACACTCATAAACAGATTTTCTTCAAGTAAAACCAAGCCACCGACTAACCACAAAATGACCGCAGTATGTCGCTAGGGTCTCTCACCTGCCTTTGGGACTTCTTCCGGTATCCCGAAGTAATCAGAAAAGAACTGGTATGCTTCCTTGGCAAACTCTAGGGCAAAGGCGGTCTGTTCGTATTTATCTGGTCGTGACCAAATACGGATCTGAAATAATACCGAAGAAATGTTCACGTTCATGACGGAATACCAAACAGAAAAACAGTTTTTATATTCTCTCTCAAATTGTAACATGACGCTTTATTCGCAGACACAATCATGGTGTTCATTGAGTTCTGCGTTTCCAATGCCGGCATATTTTTGAAGTAATTCAAATGGGATTCATTCAGAGGGATTAACACGTATCTCACCCTGAGTCCGCTGGGTAACTGAGTCTCTCTGTACGTGAAATCCGCCACAACGAACGCCAGTAAATACGTGGACATAGTGGGCGTGGTCTCAAATTCATCCTCTATCCACCCGTCCGGCAAGGTGGTCTGGACCCGGAGGGGCATGTTGGAAATTGCTTTATAGTCTAGAAAAAAATACGCAAGAGGTTTTATGTATGAGATAATACATCGTCACCCGAGTGTTATTTGGCACATATCGCAAGATAGTGGCAGTGAATTATTTGACACACATATCCAGACGAAATTACTCGCATTTCACTGAAAAAAAGCCCTAAAAGCCAATAAAGCGTATATCGCCACGGTCACATAGCTTCTCTTTCATGTATTACTCCATTATAATATATCCAAGGCCCCAAGGCTTAAAGACGGGGAATGACAGGCGACATGCTGGTAGCCTGTTTGCTCGCATTCAGAGGTGTATGAATATTACCGAGCTATGACACAGTATAGGATTTACTATCGTGAGCTTGGTTTTGTTCCCACGCGTGGCATATTGTTGAAGTATCCCTGGACTGAGACAGAGTCGTTCTCAACACACATTTTCAACAAAGATAAATATGATCGTATGTATAGTCAGTCCTTAGAGTCCTAAATATGACGCGAATGCACCGGAGGGGGGGGGGCGTGCACGTGGGGGGGGGGGGGGGCGTGCTTGTGCTAGTTTCTGTTTGAAGGTACTGATTGATTCCAACATTTGTGAACGTATATGACCTTAACCTACCTCCGAGGTTGAATGGAAATAGTATATGGATTTTATATCCCACCTGAGGTAAGCGTTCGTAGCCCCAAGGCCCTAACCTTTTGCTGCATTATCGTCTAATGGCAATTTACCGAATGAAAAGTTGTCTTAAAAACAAAAACACCTCGCACCAACTTAATAGCGCTGAATAGATTCTGTTAAGATAACATGTAATACGGAGAAATTTCTGTAATATTAGTGATGTTTGATGTAGTAACTTTCATAATAAACTTTGTTACATTTCTCCTGGGGTTTCCGTTCTCACGTAAATCCAAACGTCTGTGATTTCACCAATTATGGCAAAAACGGAAAGAAGCAAATTATGAAGCGGCACAATTAGTTTTAGCAAACTATAAACAGACTTGTAGTTCATTGATTCGGAAGTGTAAGTCATGCTTTCCTAATACCACACTATATGATACTGAGCATTTTATTTTTGTTTTTAATTTTCACATCATAACCCGCTGTGGTATTGATTCGGAAACCAATACGTCGTCTATAAAGACAAACGTTTCCCATTACATCCTCCCTGTGGCTGTTGAGGTTACACAAACCGTAATTCCTCACAAAATGAACTCACTGTAGGCAGTACAAGAAAACTACCAGAAAATGCACAAACGCAATCTGTAAAACGTTTCATCTTTTCTGTCCCCTGGCGCTGGCCGACTTCCAACTTCTTGGCAAAAAAATTGAAAGCAATTCACAAAAATGTTTCATATCTTTGATTCAACTGAGCACTAAACCGTTCAGGGGCGGTCCTAGCACAGAAGAAACGGTTGTTTATCCTTCAGACGGGATATGGCGTCTGACAGTGGTCCATGAAAATAATAACTTGGTAAGAGGTTGGTGGTGATGAATTCTGTCCCGATTCTCCATACAAATGCAATTGTTCAAATCGGGTTTGGCATCTTGGTCTACAAATTGGACAGCAGTATATTACCATAACAACATGACTTGAAGACAGCTTTTTATCTATGCTATCATGAAGTAATAAACGGTTGGTAAGAACATTGAGGTATTGGGAGGGGCAGTTTATAAAAAGTTATCAGCGGTGGATGCTCCAACAAAGGCAAACTGGCGCGTGTTGGAATTCTACCAATTGCCTTTTTTTAAATCTCGCTACGCGAGTTGAATTTTTGCGTTGTTCTACACTTCATTTCTCAGGTAATCTTTGTGATAGTTGACATTTATACAGCTGATATCAGTTTGCTTTTTAGGTATCTTTTTTCTGCTTGAACAAGCACCTACTAAAACTAATATCGAAGTTCGGCTTTAGATGACGTTTCTAGATTATCAATGGAAATAAACATGCTTTTTGGGTTTTCCTTCTCACTGGCATCATGTCAACAGACACTGTTTTATAACCGGTATTTTTATCCTATTTGAAGATGTTTTGTTCCTTTGAACTTTAAATTGAAACCAACGCACGCAACAAATGAAATTCTAAACAATAGCAAAATGTCAGCTCTGTCTCGCTGGTGTAACTGTTACTTATAAAATGAAAATGCAAGGTCCACAGACAAAATGACAAACTTGTAAATATTTTACCTAGATTTCAATGATGCTCGGCTCCGGTAAATCACGAAGTTTAAAACAAATTAAATCGCGCTATCAGTGACGCATTCACAGAGTGGGCCATAATTATTTAAAGATGTATCTATCAATAACAAAACTGCTCTTGTATATTTTAAAGATAATTTGCAGTAAACAATACGCTGAGAAAGCAACCACTCCACTTGAGTAGACGCGACATTCTGGACGTCCACGCGACATCGGGAGCGTTCCCTAGAATGTGCAATAACCCATTATCTCACCTTGAGTGTGCTGAATCGTGACCGTAAAATTCGCCTTCATGTCCGGCTCGTCAAAGCAGGGAAATATTTTTCTTGCATCAACAGCTTGTAACTGGGAGACGGCGATATATCTGAAATCAATCAGCATCATTTTAAATGAGTGGATTTAAAGACGTGATTTAGTTTTTTAAGGCAACGAAGTTAAGGTTTGCGATGTGCTACGTACATCATTAAATCATTTTAATGATTTTAATCATTTTATTAAAATAATCTGTTTAATTAAGACAGGTTGAGTAAAGACAATTACACCCAAGAAATTCACTGTTATTGGCGGGAACAAATCAGGTTTTCCCTATTTGGTCCTGTTTACAATTATCTAGTTGTATAATATCAAATTTCCTAAACAGTTTTCTTTTGTGTTGTTTAAACGGAATTGTTGAACACATAATCTGATTGCGTGTAAAACACATCTCAACAATTCAAAAATTTCAGCGATGCGGCGTAGTTATTTTTGTAAAATGGAACCTATTTAGTGAATTCGATAGTTGAAACGGTAACGGTGAAATAAAAAAAAATATTTGGAGCAGAATCGGCAAACATGAACAACAAAATATGCCCAAGAATGTATAGCAAAGGAATGGCTTAGGTTATAAATCTAAGCACTCATTCCCAATGAAAATATTGTTCTACAGTACATAGCTCGATCCAACTCTGCAGAGGCTCTCGCTAAATGCAATCAGATAACAGATTAACACACCTACTCCTGGTGGTGAGTATATACAGAAAAGTTGATGATTATTCTAGTACGTTGAAAACAAAAGGGGGAGTGTTGATCTGTTAAATCAAGCCAGAGTCCCAGCGGAGTGGGATCGATCTACGTAGAACTATAGTTTCATTGGGAATGGACCCTAAGGGATATTTACTCTTCTCTCAGCTGTCCAAATGACATATGAAATACGATGTATGGAAATTCACTTAATGCATGCTCCCAGCAGGTGGCTGTTCTCTCTACTTAGGGGTCATCACTTCACCGTGCCCTCGTCAGCCTTCTCCGTCCTCGCGCTCACCACTTGGGTGTTATTGTGAACGCTAAGTAAGTGGTCATAACTACCTGCTATCAATCTCTACTGAAAGGTGTCCGGAGACAGAAAGTGCAGGGTGAAAGTGCACTGGCCGGTCAGCGCGCGTGAAGCTATTAATCACTCTCTCCAGGTGTGAAAGCGACAGGTGAAAGGGCCAGGAAGTGATGGCACACGGTACAGGGATTTTCAATAGAATTGCACAACCCTAGAAACACATACTCTTCTTGGCAATGTGCTCAGAAAATAGATTAAGATTGGACTGGTTAATTTTCATTTTATTCTTTCATTTGCTTGTTTTAGTGTCACGGGTAACATTATATTAAACCAGTCTTAAACCAGAGCTTCTGTCTAAAAATGTATAAATTTAAAAATGTATATTATGTTAATCAGAAAAAATTAACTCTCGAGGATAAATTGGTTTATACTGTAAGAGAATAAAACGAAAGGAAAGTTATTGCCTGCAGATCAATTTTGAGAGATTTTTGAAATACAAGGCGTGAAGATAAGACATTACAGTGGCATTGAGACAGGCACCTCGTGAGTTTTCACTCTTACGAGGCAATTTTAACTGACAGGGTCATTGGGCGGCTAAGACAGTAACTTCAATAAATCGATACATAGAGGCTCCCAGTAGCGACATCTTATCAGGTTTCTTCTCGTAAAAGTCATCCAAAAACTCACCAGCAATCGACTTCTACTTGTACTTAACTGGACGGTGACGTCAGCAGGTTTTCTGAGGAACGATGTTCGTCAAAACTCAAAATTAAAGGGGGGGGGGAGAGAATGTTTGCTCTGCAAGGGTTTTATATTTCTTACTCGAGCAGAAGAAAGTTACTGCACATATTCAGTATCTTCTTGTCAGTTATCTTTGAACAACCAAGATAGAAATAGCGATATCGATAAATCAAACGTTTATAGTTCCTTGCTAACGGAGGTGCCTCAAACGAAAAATATATGGTTTTCGTTACCGTTCTATCTGAAGAATTTAAATTGCCCACTTGGGGTTAAGAATAAGGCATTTCGAACAGGAGAAATTAGTTTCAAAAGTTCGCCTACGGCCATCTATTATCAGTTTTATCTGCGTAGTAACAACGCACGCACTGGGGTGCCAAAATAGAAAAGAAAAAAAAAACTCACCAAGACTCTTAAACGATTATGTTAGAAATGCTCAACGTTTATGATGCGAAATGTCATTAAGCCCAGCGTTCTGAAGAACGTCATTCATAGGACGATAGCTACATGTTAAGAGATTACCGTTCTCCCAGTACCCTTTCAATGATAATGAACGCGTCGGACGAATTCAGAATTAACAAAAGAAAACGTCAGCAGACGAAAACGCCAAAGAGACATAATGTGCTTTCAATGAGTTGAAGATGTGAGAAGAATGCCACGGGAACGCTAGACAGGTTTTTATTTGATAACCCGGTTTCTTCTGGAGTTAAGAGTTTTATTTGTCGCCGTCAAAGAGCCATTTCAAAGACGCTTTTGAAATGACGTTTGTGTACAATTATTGATTCCTTTTGCGTAATTACAACGACGAAGAGAGGGACATTTCTATTTAGTTTGTATGAACATTTGGATGTTGTAAGGGCATTTAGCGAGTATGCATGCCAAGTGCGTAGACGTCATTTGACTGATTGGTTTGTGAGAAAATCAAGTTTCATTCGGTATTTATTATTTGTCACTGGGGTAAACGTCAAGGAAATTCGAGGGTCACAGCACCTGTGTGCGCGTAATAATATTCCATACATCTGACCCTGATATGTACTTTTAGATGCATTCCTTAAGCTGGGTGGGTGAGGGGGGGGGGAGACAGGGGAGAGGGGTCTTATAGAACGCTAGCAGGGTCGTTTTATTGAATGAGATTTTTTAATATATCAGCGTAAAACTACTTAACTTCTTAAAATGAAATCAAAGTGTTTTCCTAATAAAAAATTCTAATGTTTAGAACGAATAGCTTTTTTGTGGATTTCTGTCTTCACTCCGCTACCAGTAGATTGGGGTTCCACCCCTGTGTAGGAGACGCTCTTGCCCCGGGCAGTGTGTATTGCGATACGGCATCAAATGTAACGGTTCGCATTGCGGTGTACTTGTACCTTATTTTGTGAATGGTATTTCTTCTGTTGAATAACGCCTTTATAACAGCCAACAAACATGAGCGTACAAGTTTCGCAATGCGTTTCAATGCCCGAGTAAAATAACTGCTAAATTTAATCGATAGTAATTTCATGAACTCGGCTCTTATGCAACAAATAATCAAAAACAGACGACAGCGCCAGGAATGTGCAGGTAAACTAAGTTCGCGAGGGAACGGGCCATGAAATAATTCTTAAGGAGTGGAGAGAGACGAGCACGCGTTAAACATAGGGCATCATAGAAATTAAACGTCTTCTATCTTCTCTCCGATAAAAGCACATTTAAGATAAAAAGGCCAACGAGGACCCTAAACTCGGTAATGGGAAAGAACACAGGTAAACAACTTCGTAGGTGGGGGTCAGATTTTAAACATACCTTACTTCACCCGCTGCAGTTTTATACAAGCTCCTGTACAACCCTCTCAGATCATCGCTCAATGGACCGGTGAATTCCCCGAAATAAATCGTACATTCCTGCCCTGCCAACAATGCCTTTTCCACCTGTAGCACCAGCAAATTATTCTCATCTGCATGGAAATGTTGTAGGATGTTGATGTGAGTTTTTACTCCGTTTCTGTCTCTAGTCGTCACGTGCACCGCTCGGCTACTTATATTGAGCAGATTACTGTGGAGTATGATAAAGTTGGTCGAGTTTTTTATTTTCGTGTTAATTTCCACTGACCCGTTGAAAATGAACGTGTCTAGGTCCACTCGTAGTCGGAGTGTGTAATGGTAAGGAATAATGTTCCGAGGTAACCTTATGGTATCCCAGGGTTGTGGGGGGCCAGAATTCTTGGCTGTCACGGCACCAGAGACGCTGTCACCGTCTGGATATTGAGACGCATTGGATGCAGAGGCAGGTCTGCCCCCGTATCCGCACCCTGCCCGCCTTCCCAACAGTCCGGCCAACAAACCCGTGGATATGACCACGACAGCGCCTGCCACGATGAGTAGAAGTATGTGTAAGCGACTGACGTAGCAGCCATGCTTTTGCCAACTACGCTTCGGTCGCACAACCTTAACGTCCTTGTCGTTATGAGTGAGCTTCGCGTCCACGTTGTTTTCTGTGTGATTGTTGTCATTGAGCATTCGCTCTCTCGAGAAATCTTTGAGGTCCGTCATTGTTTTTTATTTATTTAATCACACGATCCCCCTTTTATTCCGCTGCACGCTCATTGTGATGACAAGGTTCCATTGCGTAGGTGAAGGAGTCGTAAATCGTGTCTTCCTCCAGAGCTCTGTCTGATGGCTTGCTACCCGGTGTGAGAACGCTGTGAGAATGCAGGTTACGGGTCTCTACACCTGAGTGTAGAGAGGCAATCAGCCGTCACCACCTCGCGCGGATATGAGGTCAACTACTGAATGCACGTCCTTCGCTCACACCACTGACTTAGTCAGCTACTGTGTGCGCAGAGGCAGCTCGGCTTTTCCAATGATCACAGAAAGTTAACTGAAATTTATAGCAGGGAAAAATATGTACACATCGAAATTTTAGCTGCCCGGAGTATGGGCTGAACGCTGCTATACTGATGTTAATCTCAGCTGACGTCAAGCGTAAAAGGGTCTTTATCGGCGCCTTCATGCACGAGAAATTACGTTGCACACAATAAGTAGACAAGCACAAGATATTGTATCGGCTTGGTGTTCTGGGCACACACATCAGCGATAATAATGCCAACACTTTGGTCAATTACCTCTGGAATTATTCTGGTATTAATGCGCTACGCCTCATTGAAGACGCTTAACGAGCTGTTCAGGAAACGCAAGCTTGCTGTTCGTTTTCTAGAAACACTCGGAGTGTAGACGCTGTATGGGTGCATTCGCTGTCCGCTGGTAGACTAGATATTATTTCAACATTGACGTAATCGTAACAGTAGATCTTCATCAGCTTGTAACTCTTCTACACTTTCTAGATGAACTATTTGATATACATCTGAGGTATTTGATATTAAGGAAATGTACTGTAAATATAATATCCGGACCACAAAACCGTCACTGACCTCTTCGGTTCAAGTGACTGTCACCAAGTAGTCACATACTTTTTTAATTAGTTAATGATAAATCAAAAGCACACATTTAAATAAATCTGAGTGTTAGAGGTGAAATTAGGATTTTCTTCTGCCAAACTGTTATTGGTTGGAAGTTATAAAAGAAGTTATAATATGAAGTTATGAAAGAAGAAGGAAATTCCGGTCGTTTTTCAAAATTTATCAAGAGCAGACATTTGACTGTAGTGCGTTAAATAGATGGGCAGCATTTCCGGAAATGTATCGAAATCACGCATTTTGAATTCACTCGAGCTATTTCAAGGAAATATATCGCCGTCTTTATCTATAACTGGGATCTTCAGTACTGGTGTAAGATTTTGATGTCATTCCGGCAGTGAAGAAAGGGTACATATTACCTGTAAGATGTCCAATAGGATAACAGACGGATCATTAAATTTGAGGTATTAAATGTACTGAACGCAGAATCCCCTGGAACGCTGCCAATGGCGATTTATCAAAGGGGTCTCTCGGGGTTTGAGTTGTTAAATCGTTACATTTTCTAGAATTGTCTGAAATTTATGTCTCAGAAGTATGTCGCAACCTTTTGAGTTATCACGAGCTCTTTTAAAAAATCATTTCCCCGTGAAAATGCCAAGTGACGTAGGCCTATGTAATCGTTAACTTAGCTTAGACCAGGCGACTAAAGAAAGGGTTTAGAATTTATTTCTACTGAGAACTCAACATAATCATTTATGTGCAAGTATATCTTTAAACCAAGAGGTACTTTCTGTAGTTTTTAACTTTGTTTTCCGTTACTGTGTCTTTACTTTCGATAAACATTTGCTAAATTCACCGGTGTAGTTTTTATTTCATTTTTTATTTCATTTTTTTTTTATTGTTAAAGGTAGCCATTCGGATATTCCCAGAAAACCTTTATATAAGATGTGTAAAATGAATTATAATCATTCTGCAACACAACTCCCTTCTTTCATAAGTAAGGCTCTTGCTGTTTCATCAAGAAGAAACATAATACAGGCGTTTAACAAAGTTTCAATAAAAGCAACGGTGTGCAAAATATACTCTTATTTATCCTGTATAGATACATTATATGTCGTATATTGAAATTCGAGTGGAAAACCGATCGCGACTTTCAAATGCTAATCTGAATACCGTTAACTTGACAGTGGGGCCGCTATATCACTGCCTCACGCACGTAAGACATGGCGATGGAGAGGAAAGACGTCAAACAGGGGCTTTGTCCATCAATCGATTATAGGACGCGGGCCTTCATTGTGTCCTATATGTAATATGAAAGATCGACAAGGGCAACCAGCTAGCTCGGACACTTGCCTGGTCAACCAACTATTGGTCGGTCACCCGCTTTGTCAACCGGCTAGCTCGGACGTAAGCGGCCATTATAATTAGCTTTAGACTGGGTTCCCATAGATTTAGATCGATCTATCCGGATCGATCTAACTCCTTGGGCAGGCCCGTAGCCAGCAATTTCAAAAGGTTCTGAAAAAGTGGACCTTTTACCATGAAACCTTCATGTGCCTAGATAAATTTTTACCCAGAGGAGACCTTTTCCCAACAAAAGGGGGGTTCTTTTGAACCCCCCCCCCCCGAACCCCCCTGGCAGTACCCCCTTACAGTTTTGGTAGGCGGGACAGACATTTAAGCATGTTAAGCTGACACCAATCTAGTGAGACTCCCCAGGGGGATAGATCGATCTACATATATATATATGGGAATGGGGTCTATGAGAATAGTAAGTGAATAGTGGCGGATTTAGAAGGGGTGTCGGGCGGGGGGGGGGTTAATGACCCCCCTCGATTTCTGAAAAAAATCACACCATTGGTCCCCTATTAAAATTTTGACCAGCTGCATCAAATTTTTAAACCGTACCAAATGGCACCGTTCGCCCTTCAGAGGTCCCCGAACCCCACGCCAAGAGGGGGGGGGGGGGGGGGGGGGTCGGCTTCGCATCTGCGGACCCCCCTTTAAATAATCCTGGATCCGCCCCCGTTTAAGACAGCTTACTCATTACCGTATATGTATTTGTAAATTATAAAGAAAGATTCATCCTCGAAAAGTCCATGAAGGTCAGACCTAAGAAATGAGACATCAACCACATCATAAAAACTTTAAGATAACAATGACACATCATTTAGGGATAAATAATTTGATTTATAGCAGCCGCTACTAATAATTATATTCCTTTACCCAAATCTGAGACGATTGGAACAATACTAGAAATTTGATAAAAATGCAAAAAAAAAAACATTAAAACAGATAAAATATTAATTTAATTCAAAGCTGTAATGGATGCTTAAAAACATATGCAAAGTTTTACAAGCCCTGGGATATGTGTTTCTCGCTTATTAGCTAATAATAGAAATACTGATTTATAAATCTTGACGGTACCGTATATAACAATGGAAAAATGTCAAAATGATTAACCGACATTTACACAATTGGAGCTCTAACTGGGACCCATTCTGGTCGAAGGTTTTATGTGAAAACAAATACTCGAATTGCCCTGTTCATTACCCCCACTTACGATAGTTGAGGAATTTACATTTTCTACATTTGTTTGCACAAAGTTGATATTGATATTTTTTTGTTCCATTTAAACATCTTTTCCGGTTAACATAAATACTTCTCTTCTACAGAAATCGTAGAGTAGTCACCGTGAGACATCAGAGTCCAGCTTACGTTCAGTACAGGTAAATCCTGACTGCTGGTACCCCACCTCTAAACTCAACATCCCAGGGGCGGATCCAGGATTATTGGAAGGGGGTCCGAGCATGCGAAGCCGACCCTTCCCCCCACCCTGGCATGGGGTTCGGGGGCCGCTGAAGGGCCCCAAAATTTTGGGTCTTTTAGAGGGAGAAAGGTGCCATTTGGTACGGTTTTGAACTATGATTCATCTAGCCAAAATTCTAATTTCAAGAGGGGAATGATTGTGCGTTTTATCTTTTCAGAAATCGAAGGAGGGGGAGGGTCAGGAACCCCCTTACATCCCCCCCCCCCTCAATCCGCCACTGCGTCCCCTTTATAGATCCCCTGAAAGGGTTTCTGACACACCCCTAGATTATAGGAGGGTGCCATCTCTTCGTATTTAAAAGATACCAGATAAGCAACTCCACAGATAAATAGATATTTTATTTATTCTGAATTGTGAACAGAAGCACATAAGTTAAAGAATTTTTTTCTTTTTTACAATATCTGTAATTCAAGCAGTCAAAACAAAATACGTGCTATTTAAAAGGATAATATTACGATAGATTGTATCTCAGAATACACTGATATGACTGAGGTTTCTAAAAACTTCATATATATATCGCCAGAGATCAACTTTTCCTTGTCATATGGCGACAGAGAGAGAGGGTGAACGTATTAAGTTATTTAATACCCCTTCTGTTGTGTAGCATTTGGCTTAGTTCACTGTAACAAAAGTCAGTCCTTTATTCAACCATTATTTATATATAATCTTTATATCAGGGCTTTTTCAGGCCACATCTTTTTATTTCTTTTGACATATTGACAGTTAAGAACTGTCAAGGCTGACGCACATCATTGTTATCAACAATTCCAATTTGTTGAGCGTTTTGCCTTGGCCGCGTGCCGAGCGCTATGCGCAGTGGTCTCCGTGTAGCGTTTGCCGAGGTTAACTGTCGCTCACCATAACATATCTCTTCCGTAGAGATATCCCAGCGGAGACGCACAACGACCATAAGCATCATTCATAAAGACAAATTATCTCAAATTTCAAGGAACTGCTCTCCACTGGGATCTGCTTATCTCCGGTGTTTCGTGCGTCTATAAAATAAAACGAATTAGAAGAAAAGAGAGTGAAATTTAGACGGGTGTGGAAACTATCGATGTGTAGCAGACAGATAGAAGAGGGCGAGTCAAATGAAAGAAAAAAATTCAGGGACCACGAGCAAAGACGGTAGCAGCATGTTCGACCATAAAATTATATAATATTCAGAGAGAAAAGAGAGGTGATTGTATTCAAATCGGGTAATACTGAAGATAAAACATGCTAGTATGATCCTCCCTCTGGCGCCGTGACTGACATTCTGATACCAGCCTTAAAGGACAAGCTCGTGATTCAGACCTTCTGCTGGGAATTCTAAAAGACTTTAAGTGATACTTAGAAGTCATGACGAGCATAAAATTCCCTACCAAACCAAAATGGACAAAAAACAAGAAGACGAGACGCCGTGATCCTCGCCAGGTGTAACTCGGCTCATGCGTCCCTGACTGTCCGCGGGGGAAGTTATTACCTGGAAACCCTGGCTGCATATGAACACAGAGAAGAGAACGCAAGAAAATTTTGCGGTCTCTAATGTTGATCTGTGTTTTTTTTTTTTTTTTTTTTTGGTCATGGAACTTGAACGTTTATTTCGTATTCATTGTTGTAGTTGAGCAGTATTCCAGCTGCTGCAACACAATGCTCTTCCTATTACATGTATAAAGGCGCACTCAATGTATGGATGCCAAAGTAAATTACACTCCTAATTACACTCCTAAACTTCCTTTCCCCCTCTCTGCCCCTCCCCACTTCTCTTTAAACGAAGAACCTATATACGGGAAACAACGTAACACACCGGTAGACCTACATCCCTGATTGCCACTGAAATATCAGCGCGATACCATTCCTAAAATAGTTCAAATAAATTATGTTAGGAACATAAAAAAACTCTGATACGCGCATAACATATATTTGATAAAGCTCTCAGGACTGGACTCGGTGCAGACTGCGGTGACAGAATGCGTCTACAGCTTCTCTGTCGCATCTAACTCTGCACAGGACATAAAGCATACAGATTTGTTTATATAATATCCTTCTCCTTTGATCACCTTAATCAAAATATAAATTTGCTGATGAAGGGTGATGTTTTGGTAATATCTGAAACTCAGAGACCCCGTGACGGACCTTCGAACATCCCTCCCCCCTCCGGCTATGGGCCTGCTCAAGTGACTCCACAGGTAATAATGATTGATGGGAAGATAGATTACAGTGTATCCAAGCTGGCACATTATGTTAAGCACAAGCTTATCTTCCACATGGTATGTACCCAGTTGTTCTACAGTGCTGGTCTTTTTTCCCCCGATTTCAACCTCTACTATATGCTGAGTGCTTAGCAAGGAGACAGCAGGTACCATCTTACGCGGCTTAGATGTCCTGCATGCCTACTGAAGCTACCAAACAATCGTTTTAACTATTAAAATTACCCCCTTGCAGCTTCAGTAGGCGTGTCAAATATCTAAGCCACTTCAGTTGATTGCAATTTAGTAACTGTAAGAATCCCCTAGGAGTCAATCTTCAGTTAGTATAATAGCGTCTGGGAATGGTCCCTTAGAATATCAACATACACCAGGGTCTGTAAATATTATTCTTGGTTTTGTCTTTTCTCAATAACAAGTTCATTATAGCCAGTCTCAGGGTCCATGACATCCTTGAACTCCAGTTCCATACACTCTCCAAGCACAATCTCTGCAGTGGTATGAACAATTAGGTCACCAATCACATGACCACCGATCACATGACCAGTGACATCAGAGAGGCTGATGTGGAGATGCGGGTGCAGGTGGTCACTGTCTCCTCTGAGGGTCCCAACCAATGACACTATCTCAAAATTCTCATTAAAGGTTTTTATCTACAAAAAAGATAGTACTAGTATCTTTATCCCAGAAAGGCTAAATACCCTGCAAGTTAATTGTAAGCACAAGACATATACCCTGGTATTATATAATGACAGTGAGACAAGTACAAATCTCAATGACATGTGTCATGTATTCAGTACAAGAGATATATTTGCACATGGACAAATTACACTTTTGTCTATGATTTGCTTGAAAGAAATGATTTCTGCAGCTTTGCCAATCACCAAAGCTGTCTCCACATTTGTTATACCTCCTCCTTGCCTACATCTTTGTTTGTCGCCATTCTGAGTGTGGCTTTCCTTACACTCCCCACACACGTCATGACGAAGACTGCCTTCAGTCCGCTCCTCTGAACAAACTGCACTAACGCTGACCTGATTTCCTGCCCAGGGGTAAGACGCAGGGCATAGCTCCTGGTGGAACTACAGAATACCTGAAGAGGGGGACATCAATATATTAATACACACATAGAGTTTATATTGGGAATGAATTACACCATTCACTTAAGGGCCCCTGTAGGCCTACTTTTCATGTTCACCTGGAGAAAACCTGAGGAGTTCATTAATGTACTAAGACCCATCATCAAGTAGGCCTATGTTATTTTATATTGCTGGCTCATAGGCCTTATTGGTTGGCACTCAAAACTAATTTAAGCCTACCTGGGCAACATTTTTGTCCTCATCAGCCGTTTCTGTCATTTTTGCACCTAAAAAACGACACCTTAGCGTGTAATCATATAAAATATGTACTTCAAAGATTTATATACATTTGTTTTCACTATAGAAATAATTATCCTACTAGGCCCTATTAGGCCAATGCAACCTATTAAACCTAGACCTACCTACCCATAGCAGGCCCACAATGTAGGCCTCTTTCTAGTTCAGTTTTAAGATTTAAAATGAAAGCAAAACCATCATTTATCTAATTCTTCACAAACCATATAAAGATATGACATCATAACCATTTGACTGTTGATTGCAGGTATAAATAATTATGAATTTTGAGGAAGATTTCACTCACATTAGGTAAAAAACAGTTCAGTATGCGACTCTGAAAACTGCAACCACTGCCCACCGATGCAAACAGATGGTAAATTCCTACACAATTTTCCTAATGTTATATCTCTCCCCATTTATTCATTTATTTTCATTTTGGCTTCATCTTCATTTCTCTTAGATTAAATGTAAAATGTTTCAGTTAAATGGAATCTCTCTGAAATATCTAATAGATATATCTGTGTATTGAAAAATTACGATGCAATGAAAAATATTGAAAACATGAAAATGAATAGGCCCCCCTAAGACTTATTCACATTCATTCATATTTCGCGCCCTGATGAGTGACAGAAAATTTTAATGCTTAAATATGCATTGAAAAGAGGTAAGAGATTGTGTGTTATTTATCTTCGTTACTTTTCTCTTTTTAAAAAAAATGGCGTTTTTTTAAACCTCTGCTCTGGATTAATAATAGGGCCTACTTTCTTTTGTTTTATTTAAAGTCATGTTTTACGTTCTAGATATTAAAGCTAGTGGCACTAGTCGAGGGAGAAATGAACCGTAGGCCTACAACTGATCATGGCGTTCTCATTTTTCCTCATGCCTGTCTTGGGCTCATTTCCAATGTGCAGCGTTTTGCCGATATAAACAGTGGTGTATTCTTCAAACCCACACCACGTTGATCAACTACAAATTAAAACTCGCATTTTGTTCGATGTGCTTTATTATAAACTTATTCAAGATATATCCTTTTAATAGAACAAATAAATTGTTAATTATTACATCCAAATGTCGGACACTCATGGTTCACAGACTGCTTACATTACAATCCTTGTTATGATTTAGAGGGGGTCAGGGGGGTCCTGACCCGCCCTTCGGTTTTTGAAAAATATATCACACCAATATTCCCCTTTTGAATAGCTAAATCAGAGGGCACTGTTTGCTCTCCATATTAAACACCAAACTATTTTCGGAGCCCTTGAGTAGGCCCCTAACCCCACACCAAACCCAAGGCCTGTCATTCCGCCCCCCCCCCCCGCCCCCCACTTCAAATAATCCTGGATCTGCCCCTGTAAATACCGACACCTCTCTAGGTTATACATAAATATGCATAGCAGAGAAATTAAAGTGTATTCTAAACAAATACTAACACTCCGAGTAATACTGATTGCATATGCCATATTTACCTGTCAGATTATTTGACATGGTGGATAATACTGTACATGCGCATCATGGGGATTGAGGTGGGGTGCATTATCAAACACAAGTCTTAAGCGCAGTTAAGGGGCTGGTCCTGTCCATTTCTTAATCCCAATGTATACCAGAAAAATGCAAATCCTATGTCAATATTTTCTAAACTACTATTCCCCCAATTAAACTCTGCTTTGAAATATTTGCAATCACAGTTTAAAGTAATGAAATTAAAGGATCTACTCTTTTTTCTGTATATATTACAAACACAATAGACTTACCAGAGATAAGACACTTTCGAGGTCCGCAATTATCACAAGTTTCAGCTAATACCAAAGAAAAATTCCGTCCCGCAAAATTTGTTCAAGATAGACGACAATAGACTATAATTCAAATAACTAGGTAACAAGATCTTCGGTGTCCACTGTATACATAAAATGAACAAAACGATAAAAATGAATTATTTCTAATAACAAATGTGAGAATATATGTGTAAAATTATATAAACCGTTACCCCAATATTAAATTGTAAATTGCTCTTGGTAATATGCAAATTCTGACGTTATATCTTTTACAGTCCCAAATTTTTCTATTACATAACTTTTGTACAATGCAATGTAGAAGTAATTGATACCTGAATGCAGTAACAAATAATCTTGTTAAACAGAACATTTCAAAGCAATACATATGAAAACTGTTTCTTTTTCTTTGTTTTATCGCAAATGCATATTTTTAAAATAAAAATACTAATATTTAAGAATTCAACCGCAAAAAAGTATGTATCAAAAACGTGAGCTTCCCGGTACATTCTATCACATCAGAATTACATTTTGACTATGGAAATATATTTCTGTCCTAGTTATGATTGTCAATTGTCTAATGATGAATTTCATAGAAGATGGTAAAAATGACGTTTCTATATAATTTTACCAGATTCAGTAAATACATCACAATTAGGCCCCCTACCTGGAATGGTTTTCCCAAATATCCTTTAAATGGAATCTTTTTAAAAAATTTTAACAGAAAGAGCTTTGTTACATTTCTATAAAATGTTGACAACTAATATTATTTTATTTATAGAATGTTAGAGCCATACGAAATAATCAACATAAAAACCTAAATCTGTAAGTATTAAGTACGCCAAATAATGAAAATATTTGCAATGTTCAAATGATAACATTACTGCCAAGTTGGTATTTTACACAAATCTTTCCTCAACTTTTAAAATTATTGGCTTTTCAGGTTTCATTGGATTTGACTTGGAGAGCACCAGAGGAACCTGTGTCTCCGCACACGTCTTCAGCGTGAAGTTCTGCAGGACCTTCACGAGGATAATCTTCATCTCGAGCAGGGCCAGGCGCATACCAATACAGTTGCGGGGCCCCATACCGAAGGGCATGTACCAGTAGGGGTTGCGTTTTGCTTTCTCCTCTGGCGTGAATCGCTCTGGGTCGAACTTCTCAGGGTCCGGGTACTTTTCAGGATCCATGTGGATGGCGTAGATCGGAATTACCACGGCTGTCCCCTTGGGTATGAATAAGCCGTTCACGGTGGTGTCTTGGTTGGCCACACGGTCTACACGAATGCCAACAGGATAAAGCCTCATCGACTCATTCAGAACCTGCTCCAGATAGCCCAACTTTGACACAGTGTCGTAAGTGGGTTCGGCACCTTGCAGCACATCATCAACCTCCTGTATTAGTCGCTGCTGTATCTCAGGATGGGTGGCCAGGAGATAGGTTGTGAATCCTAAAGTGTCATTTGCAGTTCCAAAACCTGCAATGAAGAAAATCATCCCGTTGCCCGCAATTTCTTCCGTGGTCAGGGCTTTTTTCTTCCATTTTGCCACCTCTTTCTCGTCATCACCCAGATCAGACGTGGACATGGTGTGCGCAGTCAACATCAACTGCAGAAAATCGTTGTAGTGTCCTTCCTGGGCTTGCTTTCTCACATCCAGAAGAGCTTTAGTCGTTTCTCCAAAGTAATGGAATGAGCTCAATACCCCACGGAATCCAGGAACGTGCCGAAGGATGGGTGCCAGCTTTTTTATCAAGCGAGGTGCAAAAAAGAGGAGGAGAACGGCAGGATCTGAAAGATTGATATCATTAGCTTTTTCTGCATTTTTTACAAAAGGGTGGTTAGGGTTGTTCAGCGAGTCAACCTCGACTCCAAAGGCTGTAGCACATATCACGTCCATTGTATAACAACCCCAGATTTTGTTGTCAAAACTCTCTCCAGCTTTGGCTTTCTTCTTCAAGTTTTCAATCAGGGTGTTAGCGCACTTAAGAATCATTGCCTCCATGTGTCGAAGCTTCCCGGAACTGAACGTTGGAGTCAACGTACTTCGCATCTAGAACGACAAAATAGAACATTTCAGACCTTTTTTTTTTTTTTTTTTTTTTTTTTTTTTTTTTTTTTTTTGTAAAGGGAGTCAAAACATTTTTAGAGGAAATTCTATAACTGATCATCCAACTTGAAATTGGTTTTATGAGTTTTAAATATTGATCTTTCTTAATAATTATTTTAATCTTACATATTTTGGTAATTGCGTTTTTAGAAGGCCTAGCTATTTGTTCTCATGTAAAGCCTACTGAACATTTTAAATTGGTTCAAACGTTTTAGTCTTTAAATAAGCATATTATTATAAGTTTTGGCACAAGCTATGCGGTCCATAAATATGTTCATATATAGGTCTACATGTCATAACATGTTATTCAGGCATAACCCCGCCCCCCTGAGCGTGACGCAAAGTAAACACTGAAATCAAGGAGTGTGCAATAAGTAGGTCAAATTATGCAAACGGCGATTACTAGGGGCGCATTCCCATAGATATTAGATAGATCTATCCCCGTGGGGAGTCTCACTAGATTACTGTCAGATAATTCGGCTTAAATGTCCGTCCCACCTACTACAAGCTGTAAGGGGGTAATTAACTTTAGTGCCCGCTCGGCTGACAGCTATTTAGTGTGAACCCCCAGGGAGTTAGGTCGATCTAGTTGGATCGATCTAATCTCTGGGAATGGGGACTCAGACTAACCTTTAATACTATATTATATAAATATACATGGGCGGTCTTAAAAGTATTTTAAGAAAATGAGTGAGACAAGGGCTCACCTGTTTCCACGGTTCACCTCTTACTGCAAAGACCGACTTGTCCACTGGCGATATTTGCGTGTCCGGATCTGCATTCCTGTCCGTGAAGACGCTGGCCTGTTTTACCATCACCTCCTTTAACATTTCCGGGTCTGTGATCATAATATCCCCCAGAATGTTAAGGAATATCCCTGAAGACAAGGCGGCCGTCTTACCGTAGGTCCTAGTGACATGTAGATCGAAGTCACAAAGACCGTATTTTATCATGTCCACTATATGTCCAAGCAGTGGGTAAAGGGGTTGGTCCTGGGAGGCCAAACTTGCGCCTGTTGTCCCAGCTGTAGTGTAAGTAGATGATGGTCAGAACGGCTACAACCAACACAACGACTACCCATGAAGGCAGGAAGAAGAAATCCATGCTGTCTGGATCTGCTGTACACAGGCAATATGACCGATTGTCTAAACTTAATCTTATTTCAGCGCAACACAAATATTGGACCGAAAACTGCAGCCTGTGTGTTTATTTAGGATCTCAACAGCACAGGTGTCAAAGGTATGCGCATGTGTAGTGACATTAACTCGTCAAGGGGTCGCTAGTAGTCTCACGCAAAGTGATCTCTGTGACATCAGAGGATAATATGCAGCGGTGCAGAAAGAGTCAGAGGCATCTCATTAAAGAACTTTAACAGTTTAAAAGTGGTCTTAACTGAAAGACCAAAATAAATTAATAAGAATATATAATTGTTTTAATTGATGTTTATTTTTAATCGTTCCATCCACGCATCTTATTTTTAAAAATTAACTTTTGGTATCGTCCACTCCTGGTACGTTATTTTTCAGTACTTTATTTTTTCGTCACGGTGTCCAGTGTCCTGTACGAGAGAGAGAGATCTCTATTATACAGGGTCCAGGGCTCATTGGTTTGAACAGGTAAACCGCGTCCCTTATTTTCGGTGTANTTTTAAATCGTTCCATCCACGCATATTATTTTTAAAAATTAACTTTTGGTATCGTCCACTCCTAGCTGGTACGTTATTTTTCAGTACTTTATTTTTCGTCACGATGTCCAGTGTCCTGTGCGAGAGAGAGGCCTCTAGCTATTATACAGGGTCCGGTGCTCATTGATTTGAACAGGTAAACCGCGTCCCTTATTTTCGGCGTATTTTGGCCCACTGACCAGGGGCCGACCCAGGATTATTTGAAGTGTGTGTGTGTGTGTGTGTGTGTGTTTGTGTGTGTGTGTGTGTGTGTGTGTGTGTGTGGGCGGGGGAGGGGGGGTAGGTCAAACACAAACAAACTTGATCAGCCTTCATCTACGAGTCGCACTGCCCATGCGCAACCGTTTGACGCCTGTGCTGTTGAGATCCTATTGTGTTAAAATAAACACACAAACAGACCTTCAGTGCAATATGTGGGTTGCGCTGAAAAAGGATTAAGGCAATCGGCCATATTTCCCGTGTATTAACAGGTCCAGAGAGCATGGATTTCTTCTTCCTGCCTTCGTGGGTAGTTGTTGTGTTGGTTGTAGCCGTCCTGACCATCATCTACCTACACTACAGCTGGGACAACAGGCGTAAGTTTGGCCTCCCAGGACCAACCCCTTTACCCCTGCTGGGGCATATGGTAGACCTGATGAAAAACGGTCTTTGTGACTTCGATCTAAATGTCACTAAGACCTATGGTAACACGGTCGCCCTGTCTTCGGGGATGTTTTTTAACTTCCTTGGGGATATTATGATCACAGACCCGGAAATGTTAAAGGAGGTGATGGTGAAACAGGCCAGCGTCTTCACTGACAGGAATACAGATCCGGACATAGAAATATCGCCAGTGGACAAGTCGGTCTTTGCAGTTAGAGGTGAACAGTGGAAACAGGTAGGGAAAGCGAGTCCTTGAGGGCATTCAAATCAGCGGTCAAATATCAGATACACGCATCAAATATGGCGACCCACCAAAAAATTTGCCGCTTAATTCCCGATTAGACACTGAATAGATTCCCCGCGGGGATTACGCAATTGCATACCACTGGGTCGGCCATATTTGTTGCGCGAATATGTTAGTCTGCTGATCTGACTGCGCTCCTTGTTTCACTCATCTTTTTAAGTCTTTAGAGAAAACCTATATATATATATATATATATATATATATATATATGGGTAAGTCTTCATAGTCTTAGTACATGTAATCGCCGTTTGCATAATTTGGCCCACTTATTGCACACTCCTTGATTGCAGTGTTTACTTTGCGTCACGCTCAAGGGGGAGGGGTTATCAACATGTTATGACATGCACATATTAACATATGTAGGGACCGCATATTGTGCTTAAACTCAATTACAAAGACATGTGAAAATTAAAAAAAAATATTAAGAAAGGTTAATATTCTAGATGAAAACAGCCCAGGGCCCCGTAACACGAAAGCATCGCGCACTGCGACCGCGTTACGAGGCCCAGTTCTCTTAAAATATGTTTTGACTCCCTTTGTAGCTAAAAACAAACGGTCTGAAATGGTCTTTTTTCACGTTTTAGATGCGAAGTACGTTGACTCCAACGTTCAGTTCCGGGAAGCTTCGACACATGGAGGCAATGATTCTTAAGTGCGCCAACACCCTGATTGAAAACTTGAAGAAGAAAGCCAAAGCTGGAGAGAGCTTCGACAATAAAATCTGGGGCTGGTTCACAATGGACGTGATATGCACTACAGCTTTTGGAGTCGAGGTTGACTCGCTGAACAACCCTAACCACCCCTTCGTAAAAAATGCAGAAAAAGCTAATAATATCAGTTTGGCAGATCCTGTCGTCTTCCTCATGTTTTTTGCACCTCGCTTGGTAAAAAAGCTGTCACCCATTCTTCGGCACGTTCCTGGATTCCGTGGGGTATTAGGCTCATTCCAATTTTTTGGGGAAACCACAAAAGCTCTTCTGGATGTGAGAAAGCAAGCCCAGGAAGGACACTACAACGATTTTCTGCAGTTGATGTTGACTGCGCACACCATGTCCACGTCTGATCTGGGTGATGACGAGAAAGAGGTGGCAAAATGGAAGAAAAAGGCCCTGACGACGGACGAAATTGCAGGCAACGGGATAATTTTCTTCATTGCAGGTTTTGGAACTGCAAATGACACTTTAGGGTTCACAACCTATCTCCTAGCCACCCATCCTGAGATACAGCAGCGACTAATACAGGAGATTGATGATGTGCTGCAAGGTGCCGAACCCACTTACGACACTGTGTCAAAGCTGGGCTATCTGGAGCAGGTTCTGAATGAGTCGATGAGGCTTTATCCTGTTGGCATTCGTGTAGACCGTGTGGCCAACCAAGACACCACCGTGAACGGCTTATTCATACCCAAGGGGACAGCCGTGGCAATTCCGATCTACGCCATCCACATGGATCCTGAAAAGTACCCGGACCCTGAGAAGTTCGACCCAGAGCGATTCACGCCAGAGGAGAAAGCAAAACGCAACCCCTACTGGTACATGCCCTTCGGTGTGGGGCCCCGCAACTGTATTGGTATGCGCTTGGCCCTGCTCGAGATGAAGATTATCATTGTGAAGGTCCTGCAGAACTTCACGTTGAAGACGTGTGCGGAGACACAGGTTCCTCTGGTGCTCTCCAAGTCAAATCCAATGAAACCTGAAAAGCCAATAATTTTAAAAGTTGAGGAAAGATTTGTGTAAAATACCGCCTTGGCAGTAATGTCATCATTTGGACATTGCAAATATTTTCATTATTTGGCTTATACATTTAAACCAAGGATTATATGTTGATTTTAATTTTTCCTTCTGAGTTCAGTATTCTATAAATAAATAGTAATAGGCCTAGTTGTAAATTTTTATATAAAAGTGACAAAGCTTTTTCTGATACAAAGACAAGTTAAAAGGATTCTATTTAAAGGATCTGTGAAAAACTGTTTCAGGTAATTATGACGTATTTTGCTGGATTTGGTGAACTAATATGGAAAGGTCATTTTTACCAAGTTCTACTTTATTCATCAAAATACTAATGACAATCATAGTCTAACTTAGATAGATATTTTCATAATCATAATGTTTTTCTGTGATATAATGTAAAATCGTGTTTTTGTACTTTTTTGGTTGAATTCTTAAATTTTAGTATTTTCATTTTTTAAAAAATATGCATTTGTGATAAAACAAAGAAAAAGAAAGTTTTCATAGGTATTGCTATGTTCTGTTTAACAAGATTATGTGTTATTGCACTCGGCTATCAATTACTTTCACAGTGCATTGTCGAGTTTATTATACAAGTATTACGTCAGTATTGCCAAAGAAGTAACATATTAATTTCCTAGCTTTGGTAATTTGCATGTAACCAAGAGTGATATACATGTAACCAAGAGTGATATACATGTAACCAAGAGTGATATACATGTAACCAAGAGTGATATACATGTAACCAAGAGTGATATGTATGTAAAGGTTTATATAATTTTACATATATATTCTCACTTTTGTTATCAAAAGTAATTCATTTAAGACTTTTTGTTATTTTGTTCATTTAATGTATACAGTGGATTCCTGTTCACCCCGGTCCCGTTAATTCCATGATCAAACAGAAGGTTGTTGATTACAGTACAATTTATCTGATTTAATTGATTAATTACAAAACAACTTCGTGATAGAACAAGGAGTAAAGTGTGCTGTTTGGCTAACGGCCAACGTTATATAAAAACCACTTCGTTCAAACCCCCGTATTTTTGCTTTTCCAAGGCCACTTCGTTGCATTCGCGAGAGTGTATTGTCGGTATACATTGTAAAGCAGTGGCAGATATCTGGGGAGAGTGGGGTTAGTCCCTGAAAAAGGCACAGAAGCCAAAGGTCAGGCGCTATTATTATAGATGATCTTTATAGAATCGTTTAAATAACAATCAAATTTATTTATTACGTAAAATCAACACGGTCTATCTGAAATAAAACAGTTTGCACACACGCTTAAAGCGTACAGTCACAGGACCCATTTTGGACGGCGACCCACGTTGCGCACTTCCCTTAATTCCCGTGTACTCATAATTTGAAACGTGCTACACAGATATAATTTTTATATCACACAAGTATGTTATTGTTTTTAAAACCTCATACATGCTTCGGCGTGGAAATGAAATTAGAGAGGTGTGAAAATTAGATGGTTGCCCAGTCCCATTCGATAGTGCCAGCTCAGATAGAAATTTAGATTTCGAATTTAACTTTCACTTTCTGTCTACCACCTTGCTTCTTACAAAGCAGTGTTTGAGGTGAACATGGATACAAAAGTTCTGAATATAACGAAAATAAGGCGAACGTTTTATTTTGAAACGAGCACCAGCTGATTTTCAATTTTGTTGGTCATATACATATACCGGTATGGCCATTTCCATGCTTGGAACACATGCGGACATGGAACAGCCATTCCACGAAAAGGGGTACAATTCCAAAACAAGAAATGCAGCGATATGAACTTTGCAAAACTGGAAAACTTTTTATATTATTTTGATGAAGAGGTATTCAGAGAGTAGTAGAAGAATTTTAACCCACACCATTACTGTATTTAAAGAAATATGCACGTGTAAACATGGTACAGTATTTTTTTTCGTTACGGAGGTTAGGTAACATCTAAATTAGGTTATATTTCAATCATGCCAAAGGTCACAGGCTCCATATTTGATTCAATTATTAAGAATTTGTATGTATTCAAAATATTATTGCCCATTTAAGATTTCTCTTCAATTATAGAAAATGCGGTGCAAACACATTGGTAATAAGTGGCTCGTTTTCTATAAATACAAAGGCTGAGATATTCCAATTTAAATATTTTATTAATCGTTGGGGACAGACTTGCTTTTTTATCATACTATTTGTTTATGAACAAAGTGCTATCAATCTATTATGATNTTTTCGTGGAATGGCTGGGAAGCGGTTGAGAATCGGAGTATAGCAAAGGATATTTTCATTACAACTGGTGAGTTTAAAAAAAATATTTTTATACTTTTAAGTATAAAAAATACAAAATATAAAAATACAAAATGCAAAATGCTAAATTTAACTAGAAAATTGAATTTACGGAAAGTAAATCAGCGAGCATTAAATTGTTTATAATCGTTAGTAGGCCTATACCTTTATAAAACCGTAGTCGTTGCCGCTATTTTGAAAGCCTACATGTTCGCTGCGCTTTCCGCCTTTTGAATGACTAGAAATTACCTGGTTTTTCGTACCTAAACAAAAATATATGTCATAGTAATTCTTGTTGCTATCAGTGAAATCATCCGAGGGTGTTTGACTAGAAATGGCGCATGTACGGGTACATGAGTGACTAAGAAAATGGAATATCAACTGGTGAAAACATCGCGCTAAGCATGTTTGCAAACTGTCTTATTTAAGATAAAACATGTTTTTCTTGTTTATTAAATAAATAAATAAATAAATAAATAAATAAATAAGATTGAAAAGTTATCCCTTAAGATCAATTTCAATTGGTATTAAACTATCCCCCATAAAATTTAACCGCCACTTACAAGGCACACCGACATCAAAAATGAATAAATACATGTACACTGTCGTGAATGCAAATGACCAGGCCTTCAAAAAAGAAAAAAAGGGGGGCTTTAAACGGAGTGTTTTATTATTACGCGAGTCTATTAAACAATAAACATTGTACCTTTTATTATTTAAAAGTTGTTTTGTGATAAATAAAATAAATCGGGTGAATTGCGCTGTAATTTACACCTTTCTATTTGACCAAGGAAGTAGACAAGATTTTATAGTGAGTACACATACAAAGCTGTCTGCATAACTGGTCATATTACGCATGCGCAGACTTTGTCCTTTACCCTCTGACCTTCGACCTTTCCTGGTCTGTGTCAACTTCCTGGTTGCGGTCTCAGATAGTGAGACCCTGATCAAAATGCCCCAGGTTACAGGAAGGACAAACCACAACGTGGAAGTCAAGTGACGGAAAGTAGAAGTCTATCTGTGTTTAAGGTATCCAGTGGAATCATCAACAATCAACACTCAAGAGTCTACCGGTCCTTGTAAGTTGTTATAACAATCTACTGTTAGTACTAGTAGGCCCTACCTGTGAATTTAAATAATCACATGTACAAACACATACATGCAATGTTGAGAGATAGTGCAGCAAATCGTTAAACTTTACAAAAACCCTTGACAGATTGCTTGATATTTCATGTCATATAATATAACATTGTCGCTATCGTTTGAATTTAAATAAGGAGTAGAATTTTACTTTTTGATAAGTAATATTATACATGTATTTTAATATGGTAATACCCCCTGTACAGTATGTTATATCATTATTATTATTATGATTAGATTTTCATGCAATTGTATTTTCTTGGCAGGATAAGTGCGTAAAAAGCACTTTGTTATCTTCTTACAATTTTAGGCAACTATGGCAGACTTGCAAGAAGATTGGACAGCATATGAAAAACTCCAGCAGTGTCTATTAGAACACAGGGAACTACTGGTCAAAACAGTGGATGTTAAGAAGTTCTTTGCGCCTCTTCGTAGCCGCATGGTATTAACCTATGACGATCAGGAAGAGATCTCAAATCAACTGCTTAATACTACCTCTGCAGGTAGAGCAGGTAGGTACTGGTATACCTTACAATGATCTAAAATAGCACCTTCTCAGGTAGGGCAGGTACACCTTAATGTGTCAACTCCTTAGGTAAGGCAGGTAGGTACTGTACAGTGTATTAGTACCTTGGTACTAGGAAAGTGTGAGAAACCAAAATTTAATCTTCTCAGATTAAATAAAGTTTACATGTAAATGACTTTGGGAGGGGGGGATAGCACAGAAATTCATGCATTAAAACTCCTACCATTACAAACAGTCCTGACTGCTAACACATGAATTTTTATTTTATTTTATTTTTTATTTTATTATTATTATTTTTTTTTTTTTTTGGGGGGGGGGTATGATATTAAAAATCTAGTACCATTAGTTAAAAGAATACATACAAAATATATAAAAAGATTGCTGTTCATATCTCTCAAATATGTCCTATCCATATATTTATGCAATGCCGAAGAGATGACCAGGCAGCTGTCTATATTAAAAGATAGAAAAGAGGTCAATTGAGTATGTATGGTAGATAACCTTGCTTTGCTGACTCCTATTTCTGTANCTCTCTCTCTCTCTATATATATATATATATATATATAGCCACTCATAACAGCAGTGAAATAATAGCTGCTATATTTACACAACCATACACCAGAAAACTACTATATTAAACTATATCCAAGTACCTGAGGTTTGCAGCTTGAGTAAGGTTGAAATTATATATGGTGTACTTATCAGTGTTAAAATATGTTTAAATGTATTAAAATATGCTGTTGTTAGAGTGAATAATTGAACAAATAAAGGGATAATGCATTATTGGTGAGTGGGATTACAGTGTGTTTTCTATGTTTCAGAATACATAGACAGCATGGTGACAAGTAGAAACACCTTCTTCATCGAGGAGATTAGCGGAGTCCTCATGCGTGCTATGCAAGAGAACAAAGAGAACAAGAACAACAAGGCAGAAATGGACAAAATGAAGAGACTGGTTGATAAATTACAACAAGCATCAGATCGCTTGGAGGTATTTGGGAGAATTACAGTCTAGTCAAGTTTGTTGATTGACAGAATTTTAATGTTTTTATTGTTTTATTTATTGTTTCTTGTGTCTCCTGGCTGTTCATGGTAGTATGAAACCCTCTGTTCATATATTTTATTATTACTGTTCCAACTTAATACAAATTAAGCATAGTACACTCAAACTTTGAATTACAATAATTTGTTGCTTAAACAATCTGTGCATATTTTTTCAGCAGAAATCATATTAATATTTTGAATTATTCTTGATTGTTGGACCTTTTATTTGCAGCAAGAAAACAGTCAACTTCAGACAAAATTGGCAGATTACAATAAACTGAAACTGGATGTTCAGCATTTACTGCATGAAAAGAATAATCTTCTACAAATTAATGGTAAGCTGTGGTTGTCATTTTCTTTGTTTGCTAACATTGTACATTGCATGTATCATAAAATGTGTTTTGGATATTGCACTAAGGATTATGATGGATTTTATATTGTGTTAGGTGTGACGCTGTGTTAGGTGTAATACAGTGTGGTATGTGCAGCACAATGTGTTAGGTGTGACACAATGTGTAAGGTGTGACACAATGTGTTAGGTGTGACACTGTGTTAGGTGTAATACAGTGTGGTATGTGCGGCACAATGTGTTAAGTGTGACACAATGTGTTAGGTGTGACACAAAGTGTAAGGTGTGACACAATGTGTTAAGTATGTGTTAAGTACCATATATAACAGTTGGTTGTTATTCTTCAGCGGAAACCAGTAGAATGTGTCTTACATATTCTCAAGAAAGTAAGAGGATGGAAGACAGATGTCGCCAGGCCATGATTGAAAGAGACAAAGCTGTAAGACAGTGTCGGCAGTATGAGCTGCGCATTGAACAGTGCGAAGGTAGATTATTTTTTTAATTGGAGCATGCACAGAGATGTAGATATGGAAGAGGTTGTTCTCATGGTTATTGCACTGTTGAAAGAAATTGCCATAGATACAAGTTAATCTCTGCTTTGTGTAGTTCAGTTAGTGCAGAACTGAAAGCTTCCCAATGCTGTGGTATGATATTTACAGTCGTTATAGTTGAACTGTCTGTGTTTTGGTTACTTTCAGAGGAAGGAGATATTTGGTACCAAATTGATAGTTTTATATTTCAGGTCAGTACAAGCAGGCTAACCGTTTAACACAGGTTCTTCAGGATCAGCTGGACAAGGAAAGCAAAGAGAGGCTGGATGAGATAAAGATAGAAAATGATGGGTTAAGGAGACAGTTGGACCAGATGAAAAGACAGGTATGGCCACATTCATAACCAGAGTTGATACATGGACTAACAGTTCTTCGGTTCAAAAGTGGCTGACCCACTTGAAAGCTTACAGTGTAATTTCTGCGAGGAATCTATTCAGTTTCTTATAAAACAAACCCTCAAGTGGGTTTTAAAATGACTGGGTTTGTTATAAATTTTAAAAAGTAGAGTAGGTGTAGAATAGATCTGTGAATTTAACAAGATCGTCTCAGTGTATTTACGGGGCTCACCAACATATAATGTACAGGTCATGCACAGCGTGGCTCCGTCCGTCTCCGAGAACTACAGCCCAATGGAGATGGAGCTGGAGATCCTTCGTGAGCAGGTGCGAGATCTGGAACAAGCCAACGAAACATACGGACAGGAGCTAATGACAGCAAGACAGGCACAACATGATGCTGCTAAAGACAAACTCAAAGTAAGAAATATGCTTGATATGACAATATTGATATTATTTATTCCTAGTAGAAGATTCTTCAACTATTAAAAGTACTTACTTGTAATGTGAGTGCTTGTTTCTGAAACATGCTTGTTCTTGGATCTGATATTTATAGGATGGAGTATTAAGGCACTGTTACTCACCATATGAAAACACAATAACATTTTATTGGAAGGTAAACTTTGATATTGATCTTTATTTCAGTTATGTGAGGAGAATGACAAGTATTTGATCAAAGTGAATCAGCTGCTGAAGGAAGTGGACCAGACCAAGCAGCAGCGGGAAGAGTACTGGGGCCAGCTCCAGCAGATTAGGGCAGAAAGGGATGAGGTAGGGATAAGTTCACTGTGACATGACAGGGCAGAGAGGGATGAGGTAGGGATAAGTCCACTGTGACATGACAGGGCAGAGTNATCTATCTATCTATCTATCTATCTATCTATCTATCTATCTATCTATCTATATAGCCACTCATAACAGCAGTGAAATAATAGCTGCTATATTTACACAACCAGACACCAGAAAACTACTATATTAAACTATATCCATATAAGTATCTATAAGTACCTGAGGTTTGCAGCTTGAGTAAGGTTGAAATTATATATGGTGTACTTATCAGTGTTAAAATATGTTTAAATGTATTAAAATATGCTGTTGTTAGAGTGAATAATTGAACAAATAAAGGGATAATGCATTATTGGTGAGTGGGATTTCAGTGTGTTTTCTATGTTTCAGAATACATAGACAGTATGGTGACAAGTAGAAACACCTTCTTCATCGAGGAAATTAGCGGAGTCCTCATGCGTGCTATGCAAGAGAACAAAGAGAACAAGAACAACAAGGCAGAAATGGACAAAATGAAGAGGCTGGTTGATAAATTACAACAAGCATCAGATCGCTTGGAGGTATCTTGGAGAATTAAAGTCTAGTCAAGTTTGTTGATTGGCAGAATTTTAATGTTTTTATTGTTTTATTTATTGTTTCTTGTGTCTCCTAGCTGTTCATGGGAGTATGAAATCCTCTGTTCATATATTTTATTATTACTGTTCCAACTTAATACAAATTAAGAATAGTACACTTAAACTTTGAATTACAATAATTTGTTACTTAAACAATCTGTGCATATTTTTTCAGCAGAAATCATATCAATATTTTGAACTATTCTTGATGCATGGACCTTTTATTTGCAGCAAGAGAACAGTCAACTTCAGACAAAATTGGCAGATTACAATAAACTGAAACTGGATGTTCAGCATTTACTGCATGAAAAGAACAATCTTCTACAAATCAATGGTAAGCTGTGGTTGTTTGGTGGTAACGTTGTACATTGTTTGTATCGTTAAATGTATTTTATATATTAAGATGTTGTACTAAGGATTTTATATTGTGTTAGGTGTGACATGATGTGTTAGGTGTGATACAATGTGTTAAGTATGTGTTAAGTACCATATATAACAGTTAGTTGTTATTCTTCAGCGGAAACCAGTAGAATGTGTCTGACATATTCTCAAGAAAGTAAGAGGATGGAAGATAGATGTCGCCAGGCCATGATTGAAAGAGACAAAGCTGTAAGACAGTGTCGGCAGTATGAGCTGCGCATTGAACAATGTGAAGGTAGATTATTTTTGGCTATGTTTAATTGGAGCATGCACAGAGATGTAGATATGGAAATGGTTATTCTCATTGTTATTAAACATTTGTAAGAAATTGCCATAGATACTAGTTAATCTCTGTTATCTGTTGTTTAATTAGTACAGAACTGAAAGCTTCCCTATGCTGTGGTATGAAATAAACAGCTGTTATAATTGAACTGTCTGTGTTTTGGTTACTTTAAGAGGAAGGAGATATTTGGTACCAAAATTATAGTGTTTTTTTTTTTCAGGCCAGTACAAGCAGGCTAACCGTTTGACACAGGTTCTTCAGGATCAGCTGGACAAGGAAAGCAAAGAGAGGCTGGACGAGATAAAGATAGAAAACGATGGGTTAAGGAGACAGTTGGACCAGATGAAAAGACAGGTATGGCCACATTCATATTTAGAGTTGATCCATGGACTAACAGTTCTTCGGTTCAAAAGTGGCTGACCCACTTGAAAGCTTACAGTGTAATTTCTGCGAGGAATCTATTCAGTTTCTTATAAAACAAACCCTGAAGTGGGTTTTAAAATGACTGGGTTTGTTATAAATTTTAAAAAGTAGAGTAGGTGTAGAATAGATCTGTGAATATAACAAGATCATCTCAGTGTATTTACTGGGCTCACCATCATATAATGTACAGGTCATGCACAGCGTGGCTCCGTCAGTCTCCGAGAACTACAGCCCAATGGAGATGGAGCTGGAGATCCTTCGTGAGCAGGTGCGCGATCTGGAACAAGCCAATGAAACATACGGACAGGAGCTAATGACAGCAAGACAGGCACAACATGATGCTGCTAAAGACAAACTCAAAGTAAGAAATGTCTGATATGAAAACATTTATATTATTTATTCCCAGTAGATGATTCTTTCAACTGTTAAAATTATTTACTTGTAATATGAGTGCTTGTTTCTGAAACATGCTTGTTCATGGATCTGTTATTTGTAGGATGGAGTATTAAGGCACTGTTACTCACCATATGAAAACACAATAACATCTTTATTTCAGTTATGTGAGGAGAATGACAAGTATTTGATCAAAGTGAATCAGCTGCTGAAGGAAGTGGACCAGACCAAGCAGCAGCGGGAGGAGTACTGGGGCCAGCTCCAGCAGATTAGGGCAGAGAGGGATGAGGTAGGGATAGGTCCACTGTGACATGACAGGGCAGAGAGGGATGAGGTAGGGATAAGTCCACTGTGACATGACAGGGCAGAGAGAGAGGGATGAGGTAGGGATAGGTCCACTGTGACATGACAGGGCAGAGAGAAGTGAGGTAGGGATAGATCCATTGTGGCCTCCTCCTGTTTTCCTTAATCAGTAACAATGGTTAATCATGATTCCATTTGGAATTCATGTATGTTTCGAAATTGAAAAAGAAAATTTTTACATTTTTGGTAAATGATGATGGTTAATTCCTTTACAGATTGCAAGGCAGCGTGACTTGGCCCAGTCTCAGTGTAAAGACAGGACTAATGACAGGGACCGCGTACTACAAGAAAAGTATGACATTGAAAAAGAGAAGGAGGATCTCTGTTCTCAGCTGCATCGCCTTGAGGCACAGTGCTCGTCTCTGAAAGCCATGATGAAGGAAGCAAGGCGATCTGGAAGTTTCTCTGGGGTAATGGAGGTTTCAGTGTAATGGAAACAGTTGTTTGGAGATATTTGATAATTTTTTTGTCTATATTCAGAATGTCAGTCAGTTGAGAGTTATCTCTTGCTGGTGTGGTTCCAGCCATGGGACCCCGTGAACTCTATAACTGACAATCATGGTGAGGTAAAGACAGACCAGAGACCAGTTTTTGATATGTTGCAGCTTTATTGCTGTGCTTACAGTATTTTAACTGGTAAAATTCAGAATTCTGATGTAAAATATGCTTCATTAGATTCTGAAATGTCTTTTTTTTTTCATCAGAGTGACCTTTCAGTACGAACATCTTTTGAGAGCTCCAGATCTGATGACTTTGCTGATAATCTCAGTGGAAGCTCATACGGCACAACTCATAGTCATGTAAGTGTGTTAGGTATGACAGCTAGTGTGCTTCTAATATATGTAGGCGGGAGAGTGTGTTAGATGTGACAGTGTGTTAGGTGTGACAGCTAGTGTGCTTCTAATATATGTAGGCGGGAGAGTGTGTTAGATGTGACAGTGTGTTAGGTGTGACAGCTAGTGTGTTACCAGTACATGTAGGTGTGACAATGTGTTTTCTGCTGTTTTTGTTGTATAATCTGTCCAATACAAGACATATAGAATTAAGGGTTAAAACTTGTGAATCTGAAAACAACCTGAAGGCTATCTCTAAGGGTTTTCATGTTAAGATACTGCCTTGTCTGACACCGTGGCTAGAAACATAAGGCTCAGAATAAAAAAGAATTTAAGTCAGAATATAGTGGAAACCCATTAAGTGCGCAATAAGTTGAATCATGTGAAATTGTACAGTTGATCTTGGTTGTTTGGAAAAATTGTACCATTGTGCTATTGTTAGTGAGATTTTTTGGGATAATTTTCTTGCCAACTAATACAAATCAATTTTGCTGTTATACAATGTTATTTCTAATCCCCACTCCTAGCCCTGAATTTGGTTTATTTGGTTTAAATGGTTGCAATGCATTTTCATATTTCAGAGAAATCGGACCCTAAATTTGAAACATCACAAAATAATAAATACAAAACCTGGCAAGAAAGCCATGGTGACTTCCCCGCCTGCTCCAGAGGTTGCTACTTTTAAATCAGACCCTTTCAAGGATTTCCCTTTAGGTAAGCAAGCGTCACCAGGCTTATGGATGTTTCTGGGTCATTAATTGATTGAGAAATAATTTTATTGATAGACTTGACTCCTTTGAGTTGACAACCCCCCTCCATCTTTGATATTTTTACATGTCAAAAGACTGAAAGAAAAGGAACCTGCCATTGTCAAAATTGGAGTTCTTAATGACATGGCATAAAAAAGATAAAAGAAATGATAGTTTAGGTTTATCATTTGGCATTTAGCTTGTCTTTCTGTTTTATTTTAGCACCAACAAGTTGTGATCGTACACAACGTTTCTGTCGAAACTTACAGCGAACAGACAGCACAACAGTTCAGGTATGTAATTCGTATACATTTCAGTTGTATTACTCTAATGTCGTCAGATGCAGTAAGGAATTTGTCTTAAACAATGGTTGTACCGGTATTTGGATTAGTTAAAAATACTCACATGTATATATTCTCATTTGTTGACAAATCTAGTACCCCATTCCCAGAGATTAGATCGATCTACTTTAGAACTCCCTGGGGGTTCACGCTAGATAGGTGTCAGCCGAGCGGGCACAAAAGTTAATTACCCCCTTATAGCTTGTAGTAGGCGGACGGACATTTAGGCCGGATTATCTGACAGTAATCTAGTGAGACTCCCCACGGGGATAGATCGATCTAAAAGCTCTGGGAATACGCCCTAATAAATGTTATGCTTGCAAATGTTATATGTGTCTTACTGTATATTAAATGCATTTTATATTTTAGCCCTCAAATTCCATTAAGGATAAACATCACTGGGTAGAGCCCTGTACACTCTCCGTTATCCAGCGCTCAGACCTGGAGACAGCTGGCGCCACCTATACTTCTGACAGTACAGAGATTACTAGTGGCTCCACCTATACAGAAGACCAATGCAGTGTTGTTGAGAATGTGTTCAAGAAAGAAAAGGTTTGTTAAATAGATTTGTTATCATTTTGAGATGTTAATGAGTAATGTTCTTATTCAAACTGTCTGTGGCCTGTCTTTTATTTCAGTTATGATTTAAGCTGTATTGTCAGGAAAAAAACATAATACAGATACTTAAAGTATCTCTTTGTAGAGGGCTGGGAATACCTTCTACATCCCTTTTTAGTTTAAGAATGAGATGTGTATTTATAGCCCAGAATTTAGAATGAAGCACCATTTATGGATTTCATGTTATTGTTATTGGTCTTATTTTATAAGCATTATTTTTAATGCTCCCTGCAAATAAACTTACCCCAGTATATCTGAGCAGTTGTAAACAGATTCAGGTTTGTGTACATCATCTATGATAATTGATGAGTTCTGTTTCCTCAGCTGTTCTCTAGGCTGGAGATTGAAGATACAGGCAAACCTGTGGAGCATGATGACAGGACAGCCAGGAAAGCTGGAGGTCTGTATACGTCATTGTCTAAATAGTCATGTGAAATACAGGGTGTCAGTCACATACCTGTGTCGTATTTTATTGCGTCCACTTTGACTGCTTGAGAAGTGCTGAATGTTGGACTATATTCTACCCCTCCCTGCCTCCCCCCCCCCCCAACCCATGAGCCTCAGTGCAATTACTGATGTTATGTGAGGCAATATTCAGCAGGCAACTGGTGACTTTGTTCAGTCATTTTGGAAATGTTCTGCCTAATATTGTGTCACATACTGTTAGTAATTGAAACAAGGCACACAAGCAATATTGTACAGTATGTAGAAATGAGGCTTGAAGTATTGCCAAAATATTTTTTTTTATTTTAAGCTAGGTTACATGTAAACCAACATTGACATGATATATTTGCCTACAGTGCCATTCTACACGTACATGTACAGTATATATCCTTACTAGGTGACTGCATAACTAATTATATCAAGGTTGATATTAGATGTACTTGTAGATTTACAATATATATATATATATATATATATATATATATATCCTTACTAAGTGACTGCATAATAATAATATCAAGGTTGATATTAGATGTACTTGTAGTTCTACAATATATGTATTAAGATTACATGTGTTTTCATATATTCAGGAGACTCAGAGGGGGCACCACTGTCAGGACAAGAGGAGAACCAAAAGACACCATTTTACAAATCTGCAGGATTTGGTACTGCAGGGTTACCCCAGCTGAACAGGTAATATCTGTAACAGGGATTAACATCCATACGAAGACTGTTGTATGCTCTTAAACTTGGGTTTTATGAGTTGGATACATATGCAGTGTTGTACGTTTTAGATCATCTGTATAGGGCAGCCTATGCGAAGTCTGCAATCTACATGCTTCGGTATTTCTTTGTAATTGAGGGCCTTACTTACCAGGCCCATAGCCAGCAATTTCAATAGGGGGGTTCTTTTTCTGAAAAAGTGGACCTTTTTCCATAAAAACTTCATGTACATAGATCAAATTTTACCCAGAGTGGACCTTTTCCCAGCAAAAGGGGCGGTTCTTTCAAACCCCCTGAACCCCCCCTGGCTACGGGCCTGCTTACCTTGTTCATTAAGCTTTCTTTCTTTTTTTTATTTAATCTTTTAATTATCAGAATAGAAGTTAATATATATTACACTGAACATTTGCCAATAACATTATTTTAAAAAAAATTTTTCCCAGCATTCCATCGTTCCCGTCATCAACTGAGACCATGTCCGCGGAGCAGCTGCAGACAGAGTGCGAGATCAATGGTGGCAACTACACTGGAATCTTCATCACCCACGTCACCAAACAGACACTGCAGGATTTGAAAGACAAGCAGCTGCTGGCTGTGAGTAGACGACTGTCTTCAGCTCTGTGTCTGTGTAGATGCCTGTGATAGGCTGGATTTGCGGTATAAAATGAATATTATACTAAAACTACAATTATGATATTGATATTTATATTACAATCTTATAAAATGCATTTTTTCTAGGTCATTGCTTCTTTTTTCCCAATACAACCACTAAATTTCATCAGGCCGTTTTGTTGGATGGGATTTAGGCAGGAGGAATGTTTTGATTTGATCTGGGTTCTTTGCAATTTCTGAAAGTGAGTCAACTTTAGACCCAAAAAGGTTTTTTTTAAGAAAAAGGACCCACTTTGAAATAACTGGCTTCAGGCCTTATCGTAATTATTACCTTCCTAACACGTAACATGTTGGACAGTGTTTAAGCTAAGATTCCTGCACGGTTTTTGTACCTCCAGGTGAGTTGGACTGACTCCAGTGGATGCAGCCAGCACTGTGAGATGGGAGAGCAGACGTTGACACAGTCTAAACAAACTCTGCAGCAACTCCAGGGAGAGGTTCAAATCACCGTGCAGGGAAACGCAGCAGGTCAGTTTCATCACTTCTTCATTTTTACTGCACACTTAAATATCAAGTTTTTTTAATTGAAGAAATTTCTTTGATTTCATATTCTTAGTTTTTTATGTTGCATGCATATTGTCCTTGTTTTATTTAGGTTTTCAAGTTTTGCAAGAACTTTTGTCAAGAGGTAAAAACGGAGATGCTTTTTTCATTAGGTAAATTATTAAATAATGAAGTTTCAGCATTTTTGCTTAAAATTAGTCTCTGCCATGTAGATATTTACCTAGTACTTTGTAGGTTAATTTACTTTAAAAAATGAACTGGCTATACATATATTTTTATGTACAGACACAGATGTGTCTGTACATATAGCCATCATCTGCGTCTGTCGTCGCCGTCGTCGCCGTGCACTTTTACCGATAACATGATAAGTGGAAAACCGTTTTTTCTTTTGGCTTGAAACTTACAGAAATGATGAATATTCANTTTTCGTAAGGGAGGTATGTAATTCGTATACATTTCAGTTGTATTACTCTAATGTCGTCAGATGCAGTAAGGAATTTGTCTTAAACAATGGTTGTACCGGTATTGGGATTAGTTAAAAATACTCACATGTATATATTCTCATTTGTTGACAAATCTAAGACCCCATTCCCAGAGATTAGATCGATCTACTTTAGAACTCCCTGGGGGTTCACGCTAGATAGGTGTCAGCCGAGCGGGCACAAAAGTTAATTACCCCCTTATAGCTTGTAGTAGGCGGGACAGACATTTAAGCCGGATTATCTGACAGTAATCTAGTGAGACTCCCCACGGGGATAGATCGATCTAAAAGCTCTGGGAATACGCCCTAATAAATATTATGCTTGCAAATGTTATATGTGTCTTACTGTATATTAAATGCATTTTATATTTTAGCCCTCAAATTCCATTAAGGATAAACATCACTGGGTAGAGCCCTGTACACTCTCCGTTATCCAGCGCTCAGACCTGGAGACAGCTGGCGCCACCTATACTTCTGACAGTACAGAGATAACTAGTGGCTCCACCTATACAGAAGACCAATGCAGTGTTGTTGAGAATGTGTTCAAGAAAGAAAAGGTTTGTTAAATAGATTTGTTGTCATTTTGAGATGTTAATGAGTCATGTTCTTATTCAAACTGTCTGTGGCCTGTCTTTTATTTCAGTTATGATTTAAGCTGTATTGTCAGGAAAAAAACATAATACAGATACTTAAAGTATCTCTTTGTAGAGGGCTGGGAATACCTTCTACATCCCTTTTTAGTTTAAGACAGAGATGTGTATTTATAGCCCAGAATTTAGAATGAAGCACCATTTATGGATTTCATGTTATTGTTATTGGTCTTATTTTGTAAGTATTATTTGTAATTCACCCTGCAAATAAACTGACCCCAGTACTGAGTATATCTGAGCAGCTGTAAACAGATATTCAGGTTTGTATATATACATCATCTATGATAATTGATGAGTTCTGTTTCCTCAGCTGTTCTCTAGGCTGGAGTTTGAAGATACAGGCAAACCTGTGGAACATGATGACAGGACAGCCAGGAAGGCTGGAGGTCTGTATACTTTATCGTCTAAGTGACTGCATAATAATAATATCAAGGTTGATATTAGATGTACTTGTAGTTCTACAATATATGTATATATCCTTACTAAGTGACTGCATAATAATTATATCAAAGTTGATATTAGATGTACTTTTAGATTTACAATATATGTATATATCCTTACTAAGTGACTGCATAATAATTATATCAAGGTTGATATTAGATGTACTTTTAGATTTACAATATATATATATATCGTTACTAAGTGACTGCATAATAATAATATCAAGGTTGATATTAGATGTACTTGTAGTTCTACAATATATGTATTAAGATAACATATGTGTTTTCATATATTCAGGAGACTCAGAGGGGGTGCCACTGTCAGGACAAGAGGAGAACCAAAAGACACCATTTTACAAATCTGCAGGATTTGGTACTGCAGGGTTACCCCAGCTGAACAGGTAATATCTGTAACAGGGATTAACATCCATACGAAGACTGTTGTATGCTCTTAAACTTGGGTTTTATGAGTTGGATACATATGCAGTGTTGTATGTTTTAGATCATCTGTATAGGGCAGCCTATGCGAAGTCACCAACAATCTACATGCTTCGGTATTTCTTTGTAATTGAGGGTCTTACTTACCTTGTTCATTAAGCTTTCTTTCTTTTTTTTTATTTAATCTTTTAATTATCAGAATAGAAGTTAATATATATTACACTGAACATTTGCCAATAACATTATTTTTAAAAAATTTTTTTTCCAGCATTCCATCGTTCCCGTCATCAACTGAGACCATGTCCGCGGAGCAGCTGCAGACAGAGTGCGAGATCAATGGTGGCAACTACACTGGAATCTTCATCACCCACGTCACCAAACAGACACTGCAGGATTTGAAAGACAAGCAGCTGCTGGCTGTGAGTATATAGACAACTGTTTTCAGGTCATATTCTGTGTAGACACCTGTGATAGGCTGCATTTATGTTATAAAATGAATATAATACTAAAACTACAATTATGATAAAGATATTTATATTACAATCTTATAAAATGCATTTTTTTTCTAGGTCATTATGTCTTTCTTTCCAATACAACTGTATAACCACTAAATTTTGTCAGGCTGTTTTTGTGGATGGGGTTCTGGTAGGAGGGTTGTTTTGTTTTGATCTGGGTTCTTTGCAATTCTGAAAATAAGTCGACTTAAGAGCCAAAAAGTTTTTTTTTAAGAAAAAGGACCCACTTTGAAATAACTGATTCAGCCCTGTTCATAAGCAGAAATCTCCTAACATGAAACATGTAGGACAGTGTTATATTTAAGCTGTAAGTTTGTTAAAGGTCACTTTTTTTAAAGATAAAGATAAAGAAGGCACTTTGAAATATTAGCTTCAGGCCTTATCATAATTATTACCTTCCTAACGCGTAACATGTTGGACAGTGTTTAAGCTAGGATTCCTGCAAGTTTTTTGTACCTCCAGGTGAGTTGGACTGACTCCAGTGGCTGCAGCCAGCACTGTGAGATGAGAGAGCAGACGTTGACACATGCTAAACAAACTCTGCAGCAACTCCAGGGAGAGGTTCAAATCACCGTGCAGGGAAACGCAGCAGGTCAGTTTCATCACTTCTTCATTTTTACTGCACACTTAAATATCAAGTTTTTTTAATTGAAGAAATTTCTTTGATTTCATATTCTTAGTTTTTTATGTTGCATGCATATTGTCCTTGTTTTATTTAGGTTTTCAAGTTTTGCAAGAACTTTTGTCAAGAGGTAAAAACGGAGATGCTTTTTTCATTAGGTAAATTATTAAATAATGAAGTTTCAGCATTTTTGCTTAAAATTAGTCTCTGCCATGTAGATATTTACCTAGTACTTTGTAGGTTAATTTACTTTAAAAAATGAACTGGCTATACATATATTTTTTATGTGGCCATTCATAAAATCTTTATTTTTAATCAGTCTTTTCAGTACACTGTACAAATTATAAAACATCTGATATGTATATTGAAGAACAGCTTACATATATTGTCTTCTTTCTATCGGCACCAGAGACAGAAATTATTTGATCTTAAGATTTCATTTTATGCATGATTTCCACTGCTTATTTAGTATGTGCTAGCATTTTTAGCCAGTTATTGCTAGCCAAATCTATTAGATTTAAACAAAAAAGATTACAATTTAGTGTATATTTTTTCATACTGTGCTGCTTGAATGAATATTTTTTGACTTGGTTGAAAAAATTAATCTTGCCATTTAAACACAGTAACCTGTTTCTATGCAATAACATCACATAGGAAAGTTGCAAACTATAGAGCTATTCTGTTATTTACATCTAGTCTGCTTCATACTGCATCTGCTCTGCTTTTCTCAAAAGCACAAAATTGGGCAGTCAATGTTTTAATTTGTCATCTTTGTAATCTTTTATTTCTAATATATATGAAATGTTAAGATGCTTATTTTAGGGGAACAATTCTCTTTCTTGAAATATAGTAACTAAGAACTAACTATATATTGGCAGCATTGAAAATATTTACACTCTTTGGCAGTTTTCAGATGTAAATAATTAATTTTGTTACTATTTGCCAGCAGTTTAATATTCTGTCACGAGCCTCTTTATTTTTAAACTTAAAAAAATAACATTTTTTTAAAAGTTTTATCTCGTTAGACATTTTTTGCCATTTTAGATCCAAAAAACTTTGTACTATGATAGTGAGTAATATATTCATATTCTCTCGCTTCTCCTGCAGGACAAACTTATGTTTCCCAAGCCTCTCGTGTCACCTTGGTGATGTTCTCCATGTCAATAACACATGGCTCGGGGAGGGGCGAGATTGGAGAGCCACCGTCATACAGCCACACACTGGCTGCCATGTTAAAACTCTCGTCATCCCAGATATAAAGAGGTAGTGTATGGGTATGTCAATCAACATGAACAGTCACAGAAAAATGTTTACGTATTTAAGGAAAGAGATGCTGTGATATAAACACTAAAAATATAATAAATTTCAGATATTCAGATATATAACTTTAAAGATCCTTGAGCAACATTGCACATTGTACTTATTGAAAGGGAACAACCCCCTCCCAATTCTGCCCTTATTGAGGTGATGTGTTAGGAGAGATTGAATGGTTTGAAACAGATTAATAACCATATCACACTTTGTGAAAAGAGCACAGAACTACTGCCTAGGTATAAAGCTGGGGTAGCGCTAACACTCGCCAATTTAGCCAAAAGTTAAAACTGACTTAAATTGATTAGCAAAATAGTGTTGATTTGACTAATTTTAGTCAAATTTAAACCATTTGGAGAAAAAAGTGATGAAAAAGTATTAATTTGGCTAAACGAAAAACATTGCTAGCGCCACCCCAGTAAAGCATACTAGCCAAAATTCTATAATAGATTGTTGCAAGTTCAAGTTTAATACCGTGTCTTACCTAACAAAAAGTTGTAATATCACAGTCACTTTATCTCTCTTTAAACACTGTTTCCAGAGCTGTAGAAGAGTCGGAGAAAATGCAGTGTTCTCCATCACTGCATAACTACCCTGACATGCGGCGTTCTAAGCGCGACCAGGATTCTCAGATACGCCAGCTGCCCCCTAGATGTTTTATGGCTCCTTTCAATGCAGGGATCAGGGTGGCTAAGAGATTGACTGGATATCCAAGAGAAAGTAAGTACTGTACTTTTAAGTACCACATCTGGCTGAAGCCAGCTTATATCACTTTTTATTACTTGTATATATAGGTATGAGCATAATTAAATGAATATTATCCATATGCCAGTGTAATACTTACTGGTATTGAAGACCAGATGTTTTTTTTTATTTTAAAAGTTTTATCTTCCTATTTTGTGTGGAAGTTGGGTATGAAAGGGGCTGGAAATGTTAAAAAAGGAAATTTTTCATGGAAGGTCTTGGAAATGAGAAGGGTTTCCTTTCTCTTATTCTATTTTTTAAGTGAAATGAAATATAAGGTTGACTGTGGTATTGTTTTTGTCCCCTCTCTCTTGAGAAAGAAAGTGTGTACAAGCAATATAAATGCCAAATCAAACTTTAATTGTTGAAATAGGATTATATTTTCAAGATCAAAGCTGTTCATAATTATCTTTCAGACAAGTTTACCTGTGATTTCCACACATGGAATCCATACTCAGAAGTTCAGCCAGTCAAATGTGAGTAGAGAACAGCATTCTGCTGGTCTTTGTTAAATTAATTCTAATTAGTGTTCTTAAAAAATTTTACAGGGTTGTACAGAAAATTCTTTGTAGATATTTTCTACAGCAGTGTCTGAATTTCATTTTTTGGAATAATCATGCTACGCTTTGCAAATAATAATATCTTAAATGTATTAATTGTTTTTCTCAATTTCAGATTTAAAACCCAGGCCAGTAATGCTGATAGGACCGCCTGTGTTGATGGACCACTTGATCAAAAAAATTCTCTCGGGGAGGCAGCAATTTATTCACTGCAAACCAGGTAAATAGAAGGGCATGCCAGTAGTGCAGGACCATGACAGTTTAGTGTGCCAAGCATACATTGTGTAATCTCTATAGACGTATAAATTTACATTTGCCCCGTGTTGTTCCATGGTAATACTGGAACATGTATGTAACCATTCAACAAATCATTAATGCTACCTTTATGCCACATTTGGTAATGAATTTATACATTAATAACCTAGTATCTAATACAGGGGCATTATTATGTGTACAGCAAAAAATCAGCCACGATATGATAGTTACAATAATAGATTCTTCACAATTACAACAAATGTATGCACAATACTGTTTTGATGTTTAATTCCCTAAATAAGTTGTCTTCAGACTAAGACATATTGGGTAGAAAAATAATACGTTTTAACTTTTGTTTGAAGAAACTGTTGTTGTCTCTTTGACATGTGTGCATTGTTTGTATCTTCATTTCCCGGAATTTTAAAAATTGTGATACTTTCAGACCTGAAGATAGACAAATCTGTGGAGCAAGGTCATGCCAAGGTCGCCTCTCATCTTCTGAACCATGAGCTGGTCTGGTACAGTAAAGATAACAGTGGATATTCCTGCATAACTGTCAAAGCAATCAAAACAGCAATGGAAAATGTAGGACATATTTTGATATTTTAATTGATATATGTGTACAGTTTTATTCAAGTCCAGATGAATTTACATTATGATATTGCAACTTAATAACTTCTAGAAGTTTAATTGAACTGTATAAACAAGAGTGCTTTATTTATGCTCCGTTTTCCTCAAAATGTAAATTATAAGTTAAGGTGAAAATACACTACTGTAGTAATAGAATGTTTTGTGAAGTGAAGGTAAGATCACAGTGGTTTATTTTTCCCCAGAACCTTCACTCAGTCCACAGTTTCCCGTCTGTTTGCATCAAGAGAATGGTGGGGGCAAACATCCATCCCATAATTATAGTATTCAAACCATTGGATAGTCTGCCTGAAAGTTGGTAAGTCTTTATTTAAGCAGTAAAATTGCTCTTTTGAAAAATATTGAAAACATTTAGAGATACCAATTTAAGCAAATAATTAGTAGCAATTATCCTCAGATACTGGTAGTATTGGTTAGGAAATTATGTAGAAATAGCGTATATTTTCAAGTTTAGAGACAGTCAATCACCAAAACTGTTTTAAGAGGTCATTATATATTTGCAGGCAGAAGTTGTATGGAAATGAACAATCTACCATGAAGGATGACCTTACTAATCATGCTGCTGAATGGGAATTGATTGTAAAAGAGTTCTACTATGATGAATATGGTATGGTATTTGCTTTCTGTTAAACCTGGGATCCATTTTTGTCATGAAAACAACATGGTGAAGATTTGTTTAATGAAAAGAAAATTGTGAATGGTGAAATGGTTAAAACTTAATGTGTAGAACAAGATTTGCAACAATTACGCCATTTGCTCCAAGGCTGTGGCCACGTAGATGGCCATGTTACCGACTGACATGAAAGAACATGAACATAATAAAGTACATGAATGATTGACATATTTTATATGTTACCACTTGTTGAGATAACAAAATACAGAAGTAGTGATGGAATAAAAAGAAGTCCTGTTATCTGTAGTGCTGTAAGTTAAATGATTCAAAGAAACTGGTGCTCAGAAACTTACTTTGCTTCTACAATGGACATGACACAGTAAGAATATACAAAAACATTAAGAGGACATAAAATATTTTATCAAGGCTAGCTGCCAGTTTGTAATTCTTGATAAAATAATCCTCTGAGATCTGTCATAAGAAAAAAATTGTACATTTTCAATCATTTTGCTTTCAGTCTATGTGGACCTGGAGCAAGAGAAGGTGACAACCTTGAGTGATCTTGCAGACATGGTGAAAGTCAAGGTCACGGAGGCCCAGGAACACCTGTACTGGATTGTCAAAGAGGAACAGACGGCACTTGGCTATTAAAAAGAACAACAAAGATTTGTTCTTTGGTTTAATGACAACAGGACTGAAAGCATTTGTTCTTTGGTTTATTACAGGGCTGCAAAGATTCTTTGGTTTATGATAGGACTGCAAATATTTGTTCTTTGACTTAATGAACAGGACTGCAAAGATTTGTTCCCCAAGCTTCAGATCTGATTTGTGACAGTGTGCAATGAGGCTAGGGGACTAAGACCCCATTTAATATGGATGATCGGCGTACTTACTGATCTGTCAACTAATTGTGATTCCTGCTGGTCTCCTGCTGGTCGCTTTGAACTGTGGTCGGCCATATTTAGTCGGCGGATCAGTAAGTACATACTCAGATCATCCATTCTGAATGGGGCCTAAGACTCTCAAGATACACTCTACATATGGATACTGCCCTTTTGTTGCATTCACTAGAGATCATATTATAAGGTGGTAAAACTGCAATACCTAGCTCATCAGTTCAGATGCTTTTTCTTAATTTCAAGGCATTTACATTTCTTTAATTTGATATACTCTTCCAAAAGAAATCAATGTTCAGATGGCATTCTTATCGACTGTTATGCATTTTATATAAATTTATATTTAATTTTTAACATGTGGACTAACGGTATCTTGCTCAGCCATTTGTTTTAACAGAAATGGTCTTAAAATATTCCATATAGTCAATTATTTTAACATTTCTGTGTTATGTCAGCAGTAATGGATAAATCTGATAATGATAAGAAAACCACTTTTATAAAATTTATTCATGTTATACACACAAGTTTTGTTCATTATTACACCATCAAATAGACATTTCTTTGTCATAGGTATACATATACAACTATAATCAAAATGTAAGAAATAAGAAGCTGGAAACAATCTTATCAGTATGGTGATATAATTTTAAAGAATTGCAGATGTTGATCACATCATAAAGTACAATCAGCATCCATGGTGTACAGGTCAGCCGAGTTCAGGTTTGTAGTGTTCTACAGTTCTAAGTATGCTTTCATCTCCGTAATGTTCCATGTAAATTCACAGAGAACCATGTTTTGTTGTCAAGATGAAGGAACTGTATGTGGGCCTTGCCACAATAAAATGTGAAATAACTGCAATTCATTCTTGCAAATTTGCTGCATTATGGCTGCAAATTAGCAGCAGTAAAATTTTTCTTGTAAACTTTTCATTTTGCTAAGGGATGATCATTAATTTTCAAGGTATCCTTGCTAAACTCACTTATAGCCGCAAAAAAAATTTTTTTAATGCCTTTTTCCTTATTTGACCAATATCTACAGTGTATAAAGTGTATGTCTAAACAACCTTGCATTATCTCTTCATTGAATTATGAGGATATAAAAGAGGTAAAGAAAATTGGAAGATAAAAAGGGATAAAAATCCCACATACAGTCCCTTTCAAAAATGCATGAGGTATTCAACAAACAACCCAAAGTGTACATCAATATTTTACCCTATACTTGATCATAGTAACAATATTTTAAATATTTACATTTATATAGATTTGTATGAGAAAAGTTCAGAAATAAAATGTATTATACCAGTCAGATCTTATTTAAGTTAATGTCAGATCACTTGTTAAAATGTCAGATCACTTCTTTCTTACATGACCATTGGTTCTGCGGCAGTGGGGCTGATATTGTCTCTCTATCTACGTGTACAGTATTGTGCCATTTTATATAATGAGAAGATAGAAGTGTTCAAACATATTTGCTAAAACATAAATAAATGCCAGATCACACAGACTCTCAGAACAATTACATCAGTTCAAAGTAGAGATAAATTATTACTTGTATTTAGAGATGTGAGTGACCCTGGATCCATAATTTTCCTGCATTTAGTGATTGTACCAGCTAGAATTCTTCCAATACCCTTGAACAATTCTTAACAAAGTAGGTGCTGCTTTTCCAAAAAATAGACCTGTGACTTACATTAAGTCTTTAACAGTGGTGGGAGTAAATAACATACAATTTTATAATAAAGTAACAGCTGAATCAATTGTCCATGACTTTGCCAACGTTTACACATGGTGGATGTACTGGAGATTCCACTCCTCTTTACCTGCAGTACAAGATGGAGGTCATTGGGAAAAAAAGATCTTTGCACATGTAATTAACAAGCAATTAAAAAAAACTTATTTATTTAATTTTCAAAAAAAAAAAATTAGTTTATTTCAGCAATAAAAGAAGTCAACATCACAAGTTTCACAAGGACATTGCTAATGAAAAGTCGTAGCTCCAGTGAGTTTTAGGTTTTAGATGCTGATCCAATAAGCTCATCTAAAACCAAGATTCGGCACACAGACAGCTGGTACAATGTGACAACTAAGAAAGTGGCAATGATGCCTTCAAAATTGATTGTTTTGTTATTTTTTCGTAACAAATCCCATAAGCCATTTTATCTGTAGATATCTGTAGATATTTTTAATAAAGGTACATGGATATGGAAAAAAATTATTCAAATTAATCACAATATTTTAGAATGAAACTTTGTACCTAACACTGCTGTTAAAGCAACATAAAGAGCATGATTTTGATGTTGAACTCCTTTTATTGCCACCAAAACATGAAATAAACTATAAAACACCTGGTGGGATACCTACCAAGCTGCAGGTACATGGTTGTCTCTAAAATTACACACAGAACATTTCACTAAATTTTAAACTTATCACTGAAGTAACAAATCTAACCTTTCACTTAACAATCACTACAATCGATATATCCACCTAAAGACTATGGTCCATGTATGTGTATTTATCAAAGCTCGAAAACAATACTAAATAATGGTGTCAATTATATTATGCTTATACCTCAGAAACACCCATGACCCGCATGGAAACAATAAGGCTTATATGTTTATATGAATATACCAGCTAGATATATATATGTAACAAAAAGTGTATAATGTACATGTCCCAGCAACAGGAAACTAGAGAAATCTTGACAAATTTGTGCAGCTTTAAAATATCAAGAACAATGCATATTTAATGCTTCCGTTATTGGATAAGTTGTCTAAAAGGTAAGACAAAGCTTCTACAACAACAAGGTCAAAACATGACAATGTTATTTACAGTAGATTAAACATGAACAACAATATGTGGTAGCACAGTTGATTGACATTATCAAGTGATAAACTAAAATTGGAACTTTGTTCAGCATTTTTACATTATTGCAATGGTGGGAAGTTAGCAGCTGTAAAGTGATCCTACATATATATTGCACACGTTGATTAAGTTATGGAAGCAGACAACAACATGGTATCTAAGCAAAGTAGTTCTCTGCAAACTCTGCTATCCCTGTGATGTCACTTGACCTTAGGGACCATTCCCAGAGACGATCTTACTAACTTTGGATCGACTTTGGATTCTCACTAAATTGCTATCAACGTAAGCAGCTTAAATGGCTGTTACGCCTACTAAAGCTGTTAGGGGGTAATTAACTAATAGAGGCCGAGCGTGCATGAAAGTAAAGTACCCCCTAGCTGATTTGGTAGGCATGACAGACATTAAAGGTGCTTAACTTGATAGCAATTTAGCGTAAATCCCCATGGAGCTAGACCAATCCTGTTGGATCAATCTAGGCATGGGAACCCAGTCTTAGATGAAATAAAACACAACACGGCGGATCAACCTACAACACATTTCCCCCTGAATTTTAGAGTTTCTAAAACATTATGAAGGTAATCCCATCTTATGCACATCCAATAATAATAATAAAGGACATCAACAGTCTTATTTACAAATTTACCATTGTTATTTTCCATACAAAATCTGTTTGGTTACACATTTCGTCTTCACTACCTTGTCCAATAAAGTCAAGCTTGTTCAGTAAGAGGGCCAAGTCTGTCAAAGTAGCTGAAAGTGGTGAACTGACTGAAGTAGAAACCACAACTGAGACGGAATTAGGAGACGCAGTTTCATTAACTCCTTGTGCTTCTTTTTTATACTGAGGCCTTTCCCCACTTTCTCCTATCTAGCAGTTTTTGAAACGTTTCTCATCGGTATATCTTTATATGTTCATATAAATGAGATGCTGGGGATAAGTTGAGTGCAACCAAGCCATTAAAAGATCATTCCCAAAATCCAATACACTTTCAAATCACCAAGTTCCTCAAATCCACATTATTCAGTGAACTACAAAGCATACCTGGCAGAATGTTGCCTACGATGTGAACAACCAGATATTATGCTGAAAGAGCTGCAATGTAAAGTGAGGTCCGTGGGTTCAAAGGCTGGACATCTCATCTACCACAATTAACAACGGGCTCTGATCTCCTCCACTGGACAAGACCATTGCACTGCATCATCTCATCTAACGCAATCACTACACATCCAACACATCCCAGCTGGTATCCCATCACACTGTGTGTTGCCACAACAGGTGGCCCAGTAGACTGATCTACACACAGTCACTTAGTATTCCAAAACAACAGACCAACAGTTGCTGTCTCTCAACAGGCATCAGTTATGGCAGAGGATTGCTTCTCCTTTACATACATGTATAACAAGACATAAAAAAGAAATCATTCCATAATCAGGGAGTGAAATCCAGTAAACAGTCAATTTCTCTAACATGCAGTCAACACCCAGCTCTGTGAAGTTATCTTGAACTCTTATAGTCATCCCGTGACAGTAGTCTTAGGCAGACTTGACTGAATTCTATAGTCACTCCATGACATTAGTCCTAGGCAGACTTGACTGAACTCTATAGTCATCCCGTGACAGTAGTCCTAGGCAGACTTGACTGAACTCTATAGTCATCCTATGGCAGTAGTCTTAGGCAAACTTGACTGAACTCTATAGTCATCTTATGACAGTAGTCCTAGGCAGACTTGACTGAGTTCTATAGTCACTCCATGACATTAGTCCTACACAGACTTGACTGAACTCTAAAGTCATTCCATGACAGTAGTCCTAGGCAGACTTGACTGAATTCTATAGTCACTCCATGACATTAGTCCTACGCAGACTTGACTGAACTCTAAAGTCATCCCATGGTGGTAGTCCTAGGCAGACTTGACTGAACTCTAAAGTCATCCCATGGTGGTAGTCCTAGGCAGACTTGACTGAACTCTATAGTCATCCCATGGTGGTAGTCCTAGGCAGACTTGACTGAACTCTATAGTCATCTCGTGGTATTAGTATTAGGCAGACTCGATTAAACTCCAGTAAAGAACTTGTACCACACAACTTATGTGCATCACCTAAAATGTTAAGTTCCTGTTGATAAAAGGAAAGGTTTCTATGAGTCAAACTGCATCACTTACAGCTGGCAGCTCCAGCTAGTACAGCGACCAAATTTCATCAAATATCTTTGTCCACATGAGTAATGACTATCATGGAATAGTGACATATCTCCATATGATGCACTGGTATCTTTAGCGCACACTGCTTTCATGAAAGGTATGTCAAAAGAAAAACTGCATGGTATCTTCTACGATGGTGCCACAGTTACAGTATCTCACAGAATAGGAAGAACATTGGCCATATTCCTACAACAGACTGCAACTGGCTCCCACGTTTCAATTTCTCACTCCATAACATCTCATCCCGTGATGTAACATCAGTTTTCTAATAATTCTATGAATACAATTCTATATAATCACTACAGTCTGTTACATCATGTACAGAACTCCTGCATTTATCACATAACCACTTGTGATAGTCAGTCTCCACTTTTCTGGGCCCCAGGAAGCCTTTAAGTACTTCTAGCCAGCTGTTGAACATCATTCTTTGAAGTCCATCATGAAATCCTTTGTATCAAATTATCATGGGCAGCCTGTCTCTGCAGTAAATTTTACCAGTCCAATGTGACACTGTCATTTGTAGTCATCACAGTCCTTTACAGTCACCACAGTCCTGTGAAGTCATCATCAAACCCTATCTCATCCTTGTCATACAGTTATTGAAATTTTACATTGTATAATTCTATTTCCTCATATATTTCTATGTATTTATCCTATGTCTATTTTACCCTATAGACTCATTGCATCATATAGTCCTCTGCAGTCCTTCTCCAATCTTATGCAGTCATTCTCCAGTCCTACTATGCAATTATTCTCCAGTCCTCTGCAGTCATTCTAAAGTGCTATGCAGTCTCCCACGGTGCCACCACATTCATCTTACTGGGTACCGCCAGCGCCATGCAGGGGTTCTCCTCACTCTCCTCTGAGGAACCGTGGGCTGATGGTACCTCGAGTGTATCTTTAGAAGTCTGCCCTCCTCCTCCTCCACTGGGAGAATTGCACAGGTCCAGTTTTTCAATTCTTTTCGGTAACACTGTTCCTGAAGTTGTTCTGGAAAGTAAGAAGCAGTTTTATGAGGTATTCCTAAGCAGGATTCTGTGGAGGGTGCTCCTAGTGGAAAGTTAAACTAAGTGACATTAACTGAAATATGGACATCACATGCTTCATTCCCCCAGACTTATTTCTAGTCAAAATATTAAATACTGAAAAATAGCAAGCTACTCCATGTTGGTTAAATTTAATAATGTGTCAGTGCAACAAAATCAGACTTATACCTTTTGCTGTCTACACTACTCCTCTTTTTAGAGAGGTCACCTCTGAAATAGAACAAAAATAGGGATAAGCCCTAGCTGACTACAGATAAAACCAGAAAAGCACTCCGAGAGCGCAGACCTCCGCCAAGGCAGCAATTTTTGATTATTATTGATTAATTTTCCAGATCACTACCAAAATCTTATCATCTGTTGCTTGGCCCACTTCTAACAGTTCCTGAAAATTTAATCAACATCGGTCCAGAACTTTTTGAATTATGTTGATGACACACAAAAAAACAGGGGTGAAAACATAACCTCCTTGGCGGAGGTAACTTCACAAATGTGCCAAAATAGCTGTACATTTTGAAAGGTGGAATTTCCATTAAAACATCATTTTATTCAGATTTTCATAACATTCAGAAAAAAAAAAAAAAGCAGCCCTGGGACATTGGATGTGAAAGCCTGCTGTGATGTATAAGGTATACATTAGGACTGTTCCCTCTAAACCCATCTTACTAGCTGGAACCATCTAACTCTGAAAAGATTCTCGCTAAATGGCATTCAGTATTAGCGGCTTACATGTCTGGCCTACTCAAGGTGGTAGGGGGTAATTAACCATAGTCAATTTACTAAACTGTCTAGTTACCCCTAGGGGACATGCCAAACAACCATGCTGATTACACTGAGAGTACTGTAGAGAGAAGCCCCACAGAGTAAGTTTGATCCAGCTAGTGCGAAGGATTTATGGGAATGCAGTCACACTTGAGGTGAAGAAACACAGGTGTCTGCAGCGGGCACCATTGTGATACCAGAAAATACAGCGCGTGAGGAGTATGTTGTATCAAAACAATAATCATAATTTTTGTTTAGATACTTTCATCAGTTTGGTAGATGAGAGAGGGCAACAGCTCTTTTGTCATAAACTTAGCACTGTAGCTGCGGCACTGAAGGGGGGTGGGGGTGGCAGCTCCAAGGACTCTCGTTTAGTGACACCATGTCACCAGTGTCACTCTGAGACTGATGAAGATGTCCGATATCAGGTCAAAATATTTCACAGAAATGATTAGTAATTTATAAGTTTGTGACAAATGAGTTTTTCAATCATAATAACAGTTGATAATAGACTTGGTTTGGGGTTATATGGAAAAAGTTTGAAAAAAAAAATGCCTCAGTGGCCTTGCAACAAAGGGTGTGAAGGCCACATAAGTTGAAAAAAAAAAAAATGCCAAGGAAAAGCAGCTTTTCATGTCTGTGTTAGGTGCCAAAAGCTGTGGAGCTGGGCCAACAAAAGATAACCCACTAGTGTTAAAGGAGGTATTATAATATCAGGTCCATAGTTTAAACTGGAAACTGTCATCAGATGTGCAGTAATGTCCCTGTTAGGAACAATTAGAACACCTGTGAGAGGATGACCCTCAGTTTAGTATGGATATTAACCTGAGGGTGACAGTTAAAGTGTGTGTTACCAAAGCTGTGGGTGTGAAGGAGTGCTCTCCAACCTTACCCTGCCTCCAACCTTAACAACGTGTTCACTTTCTCTGTTGATAATTTCCATCTAGAACAATCAAGTTGAAAAACTGTACTTTCTCAAAAAGATATGATCTTAACAAGCAGCAGTCTGCTGTCAAATTATCATATCCCCAAAGGCTGTCTTATAATGTATATTTTTTTAAACATTTGTTTTGGAGTTCATTTATGCTTTTTACATTATAAAGATAAAGCAATTTCATTAAAAAAAGTTCACGACTTTCTGCAGGGGTGGACGGGAGCTGTCTTCTGGGTCTTCCAGAAGATGGTCAAAATTTTTCAAGTTTACATTGATGGGCATCTAATCCCCCCCACCCCCCCAGAAGATGGTCAAAATAAATGATGGAACAATAAAGATAACTTGGAAGACTGTCAGAAAATTTCTTTGGGATCCACTCCTGTTATAAATAGATATATAGAACCATTGTAATTTGTTATTTATTGGACTCTTATTATTTTTCCTTTTTGAGAAGGTACTCTCTGAGCTTATAACTTCCAATCTAGGAAGTTTCATTATTAATTCAAGTTCATGACTTTATTAATGACAGTTTATTACTGACACTTCCAAATAGCCTCAGCTACTGGCGGTTCCAATTCTGCCCACACTGACCTGAGTGAAGCCTGGTGGAGAGACTGAAGGTTCCCTGTGCTGTATGAGTGGTGACCTTTGACCCCTAATACTGGTGCTGCATCACTGGTAGAACTATCGCTGATCTCACTTCCCCTTCGCCTCACATACCCGGGACTGGGCTGGGGACTCTTCTTGGATTTGGTGCTTCCAAAGTTGAAAAATCTGCAAATTAACAAGTTTGTTTGGAATAGAAAGTTTAACAGCCATTAATAACCACACTACTCTCTTATACTAATGAAAAAGCCCAACTTTTCTCACAATCACATCATTTTTATTCCAGTGCCTGCATTTATCACATTCACACCAACCACAAAATGACACATCAATAAACGGATCACTTGCCTTCCTTTCCTTGCATTAGGTTGTAGAGCAGCAGTTTCTAGAAGATTCCGGTAATCTTCTGAACGCATGTAACGCTGATAGCTGTCTTTTTTCATTAGGAGGAAGATGTGACTTTGAGCTGCATCGAAGGTGAACCTAAATACGCAAATAACAGGTCTTGAATTAAAGAATTTGAATTAAAAATTTTTAAAAATAATGTGTTTGCTAATAGTTGGGTGTCACATTTGAGTTACAGCTCTGAAGATCTAACTTCACATCCCATTATTGTTGGAATCATGACATCTCAACATCTGGAAAGAATACATCTTTTATCTGCTGACATTAACTATGTTAGATATCAGATATTCCATAGAAATTTAGAACTTTGGAAAAGCAGAAAGCTCTTGATATACCTGTCTGGATTTTCTATAGCTTTCTGGGTTAACTCGTATGTCTTGCCGTCTACATTCACTTCATGGGGGGCTCCAGGAGCCAGAAATGCACTGAAACACAGTGAGGGAATAAATTAATTAAACATTTAATTTACAAAACAATTTGATATTTATACTTTGGTCCTTGCAAAATTCATCAAATTTATTTTGTCTTTATAAAATAGACTGCAATCTAATTATTTCCAGTCCTTTGACTATTTCACCCACAGAGGCGGATCCACAGATATTTTCTGACAGTTTTCCAAAGTATCTTTATTGATTCATTCTCCATTTTTGACCATCTTCAGAAAGAAGAAATAAGATACCCATCAGTGTAAGTTTAAAAAGCCCTGACCGTCCTCTGGAAGACCCCGTCGGCCCCTGACCTAATACTTTAATTCTTCTGTAATGTACTGTAATACAATCAAAGCATGGAGATTATCACTACCTAAAAACCAATCTAATCCAATCAAATCCAACTACATTAGCCACGATCACATTTATATCACTTTCCACTGAAGTAACTGATAGTGAACATGGCAGAACATCACCATGGTAACACTTCCAATTCTCCACATTGACCTATTGACCTTCAAAAACAACATAGCTCCATGGTAACAACACAGCTCCATAGGAACAACATAGCTCCATGTCCCTATCNTTGACAGCTCACACCAAGAAGACATTTCCAGCACCAGTTTATACACAGATAATCTGATCAACACACAGTTAATAAGGAAACTTGCTCAATCATGTGCCAGATTGGTATTCCAGGAAAACTGACTTTCTGAGAAATTTCAATTATCAGTCTGTTTGATAACAGGTTTGAAAGCAAGGTCTATTTCAGCTCTGCACTAACAAGTGCTGTCATTTCATAGTCTTCTAAATATGCCCCTGTGTATCATATATAGACAGAATCAGTCACTGTAGTTGACTCTCTTGCATTCTACCCTACAGTTTTATCAAGTCAATACAAAAAATAATTTAAATATACATGTATATTCAATGTCACGTGCATGATAAAAATCACTTAAGTCTTAAAAAAATCAGAAGAGGATCTCTATTTCCCTTCCTCTATGTTTTTAAAGACAGCCAGTGATGCTTACCTGTATATTGCCTGCACCCTTTCTGTTACCAGGGACTTTGGGAGGTATTTGATTTCTTCACACGCTAACCAAAAATGCAAGTTTTCCTGACTAAACTCCTTCTTCAGGAACTCTTCGAATTCTGCAATCCCCGTGGGATCTTTGAGGAGTTCTTCCAGGCTAAAGCCCCATCTCCGTATACGCAACTCAGATGGGGTGTCAACTCTACAAAAATAGGTCAAATTCTTATTATCTATGAACTTTTTCACCATTACCTACAGATTAAAAAAATTGGTCAGCTTTATGTTATTCATGAAGCAAACAATTTTTAATCCTTACCATATACCTGATTCTTATTATCAAATGCAAAGATAATTTAGATATTAGCTCTTCATTTCTAGAATGGAGCAAAATAAAGAATGTACTCTCTGTATTTTTTTTTCAAGGACACAATGTATAATTTTTCTCTTCATTTAAACAATAAAGTTGAAAGCTTCATTCCCCAAAACAATTCTAAAAAAAAAAAAAAAAAAAAAAAAAAAAAAAACTATTGTCATATTTTGTATTTGACCACCTCAAGTGGCTGCCCAGTACATCCCTGCACAGTAACTCTCCCCCATCATGTTATCATATGGATATGGTGGCCCATTGATGTGGGCTATATCATAACTTTACTGTACAGGAGTAATAACGTGGGAGGTAATGATGCTAAAGAGTGTTGATGTAGGGGAGTTACAATGTGGGAATGGTAACAGACAAGCTGAATCAAGCAGCCATTCCTGTAAACCAAGACTTAGGCTCTATTCCCATAGATTTTAGATCGATCTATCCCCGCGGGGAGTCTCATTAGATTACTTTCAGATAATCCGACTTAAATGTCCGTCCCGCCTACTACAAGCTGTAAGGGGATAATGAACTTTCGTGTCTGCCCGGCTGACAGCTATTTAGCGTGAACCCCCAGGGAGGAAGGTCGATCTAAAGTAGGTCGATCTAATCTATGGAAATGGGGTGTTAGACTGGGTTCCCATACCTTGATTGATCTAACAGGATCCATTCATCTCCAAGGGGTTTCTCATTTAATTGCTTTCAGCTTAAGCAGTTTAGATGTCTGGCACGCCTACTGAAGCTGCTAAACCATAATTAATTACCCCCTAGCAGCTTCAGTAGGCATGCCAGACATCTAAGCCGCTTCAATTGATAGCAATTTAGCGAGAATCCCCTTGGAGATAGAGCGATCCACAGTAAGTACGATAGGGTCTGGGAATGGTCCTGTGAACCAAGACTTACAGAGGCGTGTTCAGTTCCCACCACAGCGTGTCGTCAGACAGCCACGGATTGGACGGTGGGACCGCAGAGAGAAAAGGATCATGGGAGTAGTACTGCTCGCTGAACAGGAGAATGCTGGAATTAGCCAGAAAAACAAATCTCAGGCCTGGCTGGATTATATTATGAAGTCAACTTGGTCACTACATCTATAACATACATCTTTGCTAATTATATAATTTCTAAAACATTTTAAAAAACAAGACCCCATCTCCATCAGTGAACCTAAATTATTTCTTTTCCCATGCCATGGCCTTGCCTACTGCTTTGTTTACAACAATCATCTTATTAAATGGGTAGCAGGTCAAAAGTATGAAGATATTATTTGTGACAAGTACTTGGCAATGCAGCCAAGATTTGTTTTATCCATGTTTTATCCAGATTTGGGATTTGGAAGTGCTTTGAAAGCATCAGATGAATAATCGATAATATAATTTAATGACAAAAATGAAAAAAAATCAAGTCTGCTGCATTACCCATATGTCTACTTGTTTGTACATGGAAAAATTTTTTTTAAAAAGATAAAATCACTTAAGCTAACAATACATACCTCTCTGCAGCTTTTGATATTTTTAATCTTGGCCTTTTTTGTGACCTTTGTAGAAATGCAATCTAAAAATACAAAATTTTATATCACAAACCATCATTTAGAAGAACTACAGCTTCAGGCGGTAATCCTTGCAAATATACAGAATGTTTGAGTACATATTAAGAAAAGAATTGTTTAAATCATTCATTAGTTTTTACATCTTGCTTTTTGTCTTTATAACAGAAAACTTAATCATCAACTTTAATAAAAAAAAAAGAAAAGTGTTACTTGATGTCTGTTTACTCAATTTGTTATCACTGCTTTCTTTCACCACCAAAACCACCAAAATTGTTTCCCATAACCCACCTCGCGCTGACATGTTTCTACAGTCTTCTTCTTTAAGGTTGGTTTAATGTGTCTTGTCACAGCTTCATCCAGACAGCGTGTCTGACCAGGCTGAAAGAAAAAAAAAACTTAACTTTATTTTTTTAAAGGCCAATGCTGTTTGTTATAACCATCTGGTTTGTAAATGCTGCCTAGCAGGAACATCCCTTAGCAAAATGAAAAGTTTGCTGCAACGATTTTGCAGGAGTTTGCAAGAAAAAAATTATTGCTGCTAATTTGGAGCCATATTGCAGCAAATTTGCTACGAATTTGAAAGAAGGAATTGCAGTTTACAGCAATAATGCATGAGGAGTGATATTTTGCTACAGGATAACATACAGCTCTACACTGTTCATAATGTATACCTTGGACATGTCTTCTTGACATTACATACTTTCCTTTCTTTCTGTGATAAAAATAATGAATTGGGCCATACCAAACAGGTCATATCCCTGCTCTCTTAGCTTCTCACATGATACATAATACCTCAATGAAAAATCACAGAATCACACATCCATTCATTACACTGCATTTAACAGAGCCCCCAGCTTTTCATCTTTATGACATATTTGATCTACTGCCTGCTGATATTGACTGAACAGACGCAGTGATCAGTTTTTACTGATGGATGATGAATGTAATGTTTGCCACTGACTTGACTTTTTGACTTAGCTGTGAATATTAGTTTACTCACTCATATTACCTCTATTATGTGTTTGCTTATGACAGAATAATAAGGAAAAATTGGCCCTTTGCAACTTGTTTCTGTATCACTTTCTCTGTTGTTAGGTATATCTTATCTCTGGCTATGACCAGTAGTATGCAGAGACAGGAATGCCATTTGGTGAAAAAGTTAAACAAGACAGCACTGTTCTGAAATGTTTTTTTTTCCATTTTTAACAATTTTTAACATAAAACAAAATTAACAGTTTACTGCCATTTTTATATGATCAACTAAGAAAATTGATGAGATGGGTAAAATATCAATAGAGCAGTGTTAAATGTCCAATTTCTTTCATTCTGAGATTCTGAACATTGTGAATGATTGAATCTGACAAACTGCAATGATACGATTTTATTTCCATTTTTGAAACTTTATTACGCAATACACGATAACAAGTATACCATTATTTTTACAAAATCAACTAACAATGTTGTAAAGATGCAGGAAATGTCAAACAAACACTTTTACGTATCTTATTAATTAAATAATGAAACTGTTAACATGATCTGAGGAAATGTGAAAAAACAGCATGACTTCTAAAATAATGGCATGATTATGCTGATTTACGAACTCAACCTGCATTTTAGTAAGATCGATTACTCCTGTGAGTTTCATAACAACAGGCCTATCGGTTTTCCTTGAAATGTGTTTACAGTGATGCATATATGCTGAAAAGTGAAAAAACAGCATAACTTCTACATTAATGGCCCGATCATGCTGATTTTCGACCTTGACTTGCGTTTTATGAATATTCATCAGCTCTGTAAATATAAAGCCAAAAAGTAAAACTGCCTTCCACTTATTGTGTTTACAAGCAAAGTGCATGGCGCCGGCATCGGCGACGACAGATGCAGGTGATGGCAATATGTACAGACACATCTGTGTCTGTACATAAAAATATGGCGAGGGAACCCCAGGGCTGCCTAGGCCAATGTTATTTATGGCTTTCCAAAAGCTGGAAATCTGATGCTAGTCTGAAAAATCTCATCCCTTACTGAGGCCACTGAGAACGAACAACTTATACAAACTATTAGGATATCCCTGGCAGCTTATAAAACTTTTGGTTTAAATGTCCAAGTAACCACCAAGATACAACATATTCCATGAACTGACTCTCATAATTAGGATTTTCCAGAAGAGTATCCCATTGTTGTGCAAGACACTATCATCAAATCAGCATGGTCAATGTCAAGTCACAGCAGAATGGAATGATTGGCAAGTTTCACAGAATGCACCCAAGTACTCAATAATCATTGGCCAATTCCCTAAGCATATCACAGCTCTCTGCAATCATTGGTCAGTTCCCAAAGGGCACCATGAGTTCTAAATAATCATTGGTCAGTTCCCACGGGGCATTCAAATATTCAGCAATCAATACACCAATCATGTTAACAGATGAAGAGAACTAAACTGTCTGAAAATATTATTCCTAGAACTCAATTACTTGAGGTTTTATCTTAAAAGTGCAGCAGAACTAATGTGCTGTACAGAGACTGAAACTAAATCCATTCCAAGCCAGGTTTTTACTTCGTGGGAGTAGATATCTGCACCTCTAGAAATGCCCCCCCCCCCCCGACAACCCCTCCTTTATTTATCACTGAATCAAGGGGATATCGTCACTGGAGATGCAGGGATCAGTTCGCTTCTTGCTATCAAAACTATTATCATTTGTTTCTACGTTTAGTTGAATTAAGACAAAATTGTTCAAAAGTTCAAAATTGACTACAGCTAAACATTGCCACATTCAACTCACCAACACCCAAACCTTGTGAAGTGCTGTTGATCAATTAAGCCTCAATAATTGAACTAAATGGCCATCATATACCACTACAAATATGTGTCATATCTCAGGAAGTGACTTTACTTTTAAGCAAATTACTGTTATAAATTTCTCTAATGAGGCAGCCAATTCTACAGCAGACACCCCTTTCCCAGTCCCACCTTTACAACACCCCCTAAGGGTAGATCCCACCTTTCTACAGCAGCTCCCCAAGTCCCACATCCTTCCTTTCCACAGCAGCCACCCCCAGTTCCAACTTTACAGCAGATACCCTCTTCCCCTGTTCCACTTTTCTACAGCAGAGAACCCTTTGTCCCAACTTTCAACAGCAGAGAACCCACTGTCCGACCTTTCTACAACAGAGAACCCACTGTCCCACCTTTCTACAGCAGAGCACCCCTTATCCCACCTTTCTACAGCAGAGCACCCCTTGTTCCACCTTTCTACAGCAGACACCCTCCCCAAGCCCAGGTCCTAACTTTCTACAGCAGATACCCCTTGCCCCACCTTTCTACAGCAGACACCCCCCCTGTCCAACCTTGCTACAGCATACACCCACTCCCAGTCCTAGGTCCCACCTTTCTACAACAGACACCCCCTGTCCCACCTTTCTACAGCAGACAGCTCTCCCTATCCTACTTTTCTACGCAGAGCTCTCTCTGCCCCACCTTTCTACAACAGACACCCCCTATATACAGAAGACACCCCATTTCCCACCTTTCTACAGCAGACACCTCCCTGTCCCACCTTTCTACAGCAGACACCCCCCTGTCCCACCTTTCTACAGCAGACACCCCCTCCCAGTCCTGGGTCCCACCTTTCTGTAGCAGACACCCCCCTGTCCAACCTTGCTACAGAAGACACCCCCTGTCCCACCTTTCTATAGCAGACAGCTCTCCCTATCCCACCTTTCTACAGCAGAGCTCTTTCTGTCCCACCCTACTACAACACACACCCTCTATCTACAGAAGACACCTCCCTGTCCCACCTTTCTACAGCAGACACCCCCTCCCAGTCCTGGGTCCCACCTTTCTACACCAGACACCCCCTCCCAGTCCTGGGTCCCCATCATTTTACAGCAGACACCCCCTGTCCCACCTTTCTACAGCAGACAGCTCTCCAGGCCACTTTGAACACAAACATGGGCAGTCTTCTCAGAGCACCATCTCTGTACTATGTCTCCAGTTCTAGTTCTGCCAGTAACACAATTACTGTTCTCACTCAGTCCCACTCCGCTGCTATATTGGCAGAAGCAAAAGCCACTGAAAGCCTGAATGTTGATCACTGGGTGGCAACTGCTGATAACAACGATAACATGGCAGAATACAAGTCAATACCATTAAGCCAGCCGTCCAAGCCACCAATCCATAAATGGCGCTACTTGGATTTTAAAAGGGTTACTCTGTTCATAGGCCACACTGAAAGCCTGACAGTACAGAGGACGTGACTGGGGCACTTGGGAGCCAACATTTTTTAAGGATTTTGTAATAACTTCATAAAACTATAGTGCATTATGTTTTTTTCTACTACCTCAAATCAAACATCTAATCCCTATGGGACTAAGCCACATTAATTATGTTGCTCTTACACGTATGTTTTCAGAGCAGTGCTTGAGATACAGAGATACTATTTCAATGGCCATCAAATAATTTTTCGGCTAAGCATCAAACACATGCAACTATTCTGTATAGAAGCAACACTTCATCCTAAATAAAAAAAAACTAAAAAAATTGAAGATTCAGATTTTGCTGGCTCCCTGGAGAGTCACTCTGGTAATTGAGATTGCTGTTATTGTATTGTGAGGCTCTTCCTGGCACAGGTGCTCTGGTTTGGTCTGTAGATATAGCCGTCTGCCTGGAGAGGCAACACGTTATTAGTTATGGGAAAGTGTCTGAGTACTAAATATTGTTACAAATGCCAGAACCAGTGAATATAAGATTTTCAGACAAAATTCTAGGAAAAGCAACAACACAAAGACAAAAATATCTTCAACTAGTTCCTTTTGCAGGGTCACAGGAAAGAGTTTTTCTCTATTTTTTTCATCCCCTTTTAGAATAACAGATATTGCATTTCTAGGCTGCAATTCTTTAATCCCCATTGCAATTTGATTTCTATGAATCTAATCTCAAGGTCATCGCAGTAACCTCGGCTGCATTGACTTGTTGCTTAAATCAATACCAATCACTCGTGGTACACCGTATCAAATTAACTTGGCTGCCCCCTAACTGTTGAAACAGTAGATTATTCTTCCAATCAGGGAATCACTATGCGGCTTTCCTATACTCATTAATCACACTGGCTACAACTCTAAAGGCCTTGAAAAAACTTTTTCTACAAAGAATCGATAAAACATTCAACAGATATTTCACAGAAAAGCATGAAAAGGATGGGGAAGTTTTCTCTTTTTACCCCTTTTTTATTTTAATATCCTGATACATCTGCAGCTGTTTTAAAAAATCTTATCAATTTTAAAGATTTTCCCATACCTAATTATAAAATCAAAGAGTTGTACCTCTATTTTCAAGAATCACCATAAAATAGTGTTTGTCTTACTCAGACAGCTGAAAAGTTTGGTCAGAAAAACGTTGAAGTTTTTAGTAAATTGATAAATTAACTATTCAATTAATTGATATAATACTACCTGGCAATAAGTTACATATTACGAAGTCTTCCATAAGCCTAAAATGTGAAGCTAAAAAGGGCAAAATACATGTTAGCATGGACCAGTACAGACACAGATATTGATTTCTTTCAATTCGTAATTACACATGACAAATTAAGCGCTATTTTGAAATAACTCAACTTCTTGTTGACCTCACAGAACATGAAAATTTAAACAATATCATTTTTTTTACTTTAAAGCAACTCCACTCTCCATTCTACGTACCACGATAAGGTAGAGAAGAGACAATCTTGACTAAAACAACTCTATGCATTAAATTAAGCAGAAGGTAGATAATCTTTTTTGGCCGTTGTTTTTTTTTGGGGGGGGAGGCCAGAGAGGGATAAATGCGTCAATGTCATGGCCTTGTTACAGGACTCAGAGGGAGAAATGCATGAAGTGGGGCGTGTAAGGGAGAGTTTCTCAAATCTGAAGTCAGAACATCTCTCCAAGGGCACTGTACTTAACAAAATCAAGCTTCATTCTACCAGATTCTTGATACCTACCACGACACCAATCCCAGTGGTTCTGTAAAGACATGTATATATGGTCTCCTGTGTTTCTAAAGCACTAAAATTGTCTTCTTAAATCAGGTACTTTGTTGGTAGATATCTACTTACCGGTGGTCTCTGAACTCTCCAGAATGCCTTTTCCTGACTGTCAACTATGATTTTGTCAGCTTTCTTCCTCTCTTTGGATTGCCTTGAAAAGAAAAAAGAACAAAAAAATTAATCAAATTCTATATCTAAAATGACATTTCAAAATAAATAACATGGACGACAATTTCTTTTGTCACTCTAAAGGGGTTATTTTTTTAAAGATTATTTTAAGAGGGTGGTAAGTTCTATTACATTTACTTAGTCATAAATAAAATAGGATTAATCTGTATGTCAGATTGTCAATTTCCAAATAACGTATCTGAAGATCATGTATTTCCATTGATGATATTAAGACTGAAGCAGAGCTGAAAACAAACCAAATTACATAGAAGGAAATCTTCAAAGAAAAGGAAACCACAGATTATGGTAGCAGAAAATAATTCAGAAACAGTCTCTCTCTCAATAATTACATTACCTAATCATCTGAAAGACCACATTTTTTTAATTTGCAGATGCTGAAAGGATGAAAAGACTTTTTAGCTCACTTTTGAGCCAGCAAGTATATTTCTCTTTGTTTCTTTACTATTTTCTCTCTGTGGAGTCCGAGTGACATAATACAAGCCATGATTTGGCAGATTATATATCAAAGTGAAATTACACTCTCTCAATATGGACCTCTCATGTATCTTATGGCACTGGGGGCTTCATTTATAAGTTAATATCGGTGACAAAGACAAATCATGCTTGAGACATTTACAATTATGACACTTTACATTTATGACATTGTTCAATTGATCCACTAAAATATATACATACTTGGTAAGAGACAAAGTTGTATATAATAGCCTTTGTAATATATCTGGAAGTAAATTCAACATCTGAAACTTTCTCTGCCCAAATTCTTACAACAGACTGAAACTGTCAAACAATATATACTGTATCCCACAAGTCAAAGGCTTCTGTCAGCGTCCTCATTGTCCAGTAATGACTTGATCTTCTCAATGGGCAAAATTATCAAACTTTCAGATGCATCATTTTAAAATCATAAAAGCTATATTTTTATATAGCATTTGTGGTGCTTTTAATACATAGAAAAGAACCATAAGGCAGTTTTCTTTTCAATTTTGTTGCAACTACTCAATAGGAATGCTCTTATTTTAAGAAATTATGACATAAAAATATAGGATCTGTAAATTTCACAATTTTCCAACATTGAAAAGATCGAGACATTACTGTATGCAGGGTTGGATCCAGAGATATTTTGTCTTCCAAACTATCTTTTTTGATCAATCCCCCATTTTTGACCTTCTTCCGACAAAAAAATAGATACCTGTCAATGTTAACTTGAAAATCTGATCATCTTCCAGAAGACCCAGAAGATGGCCTATCCACCCCTGGTATGTGGACATAATGATACAACAGACAAACACACAGAGAGAGAGACTGCCAGTAAGACCTACCCCCTTCCAGTTGCCATTGCCTACTTTGCTGCCTATGCTTTACACATCTACTTTTCAACTACATATATTTGGACTATATATCTGCTCTCCAAGGCCCCTAATGAGAAGATGGGTTATCAAAAATTTAACCCCGAAACCTCTTGTGATTATTTCCAGGGTGAACTTGTGGAGGGCTCTTAATCTAAAGATGGTATAGTTGTGCCCCCCCCCCCCCCCCCCCCCCCCCCCACACACACACACCTGACTTTCTATTTACAAATAATACTTAATGTCTAACACATAAAGACAATGATAATGATTTTTTTTTTTAAGGCTTCATGAGGGATGTTTTTAGTAGGTTTACATGATGACCACTGACAACAGTATATACAGCTTGTGGATGGTGTAAAAGAGTTTATCTATAAAGAGTTACAAGGAAAACATTGAAAACAGGCAAATCACCACACAGCCAACACATTCTTTCTACTATCAAACAGTAAAACATGCATTCTAATACTAAGGATAATGTACTAGCTAAGACATTTAATAAAAATCATACCAGATAAGGCATAATTAAGGGACAAGAAAATATGTCAGAATCTGCTTGGTGTGGGGTTTTACAGGGTGAAATTTTAACTTTGTCCTGAATTTTGCCTTAGAATACATTATAAAAGTGACACTAAAAATGGCAAATTCATTATGTATTTCTACAGAACTCTAGAGTTAAACCATACTGGAACAATATAATCCCTGAATGAAATTCTGTTAGTTTTCTTTTGCTCTGCACTCACTACTCTGTCATTAATTTTGACCCCACTCACTTCCACATCACTATATTACAAAACATGTGGGAATCCTACATACTGTCATACTTTACTCTAGTTACAAGCAATTCCAGTCTCAACTAACACAATACTGGTGACTTCCATACTGTACCTTCCAAGGAAAGATTGGACTGCTAAACCTGCTAACTTGATCTTGCTTGCACTTTTCTTGAATTCTGACATGTTTATGTCATATAACATGACTCCAATCTCCAATGATACCATAGGTTCTCTATACTGTCATACACTCACTTGAGGATGCTGTAGAGATATAATAGCAGCACCACTTTCTATTGTCAGTGATATAACAGCACCACTTTATACTGTCAGTGATATAACAGCACCACTTTATACTGTCAGTGATATAACAGCACCACTTCCTACTGTCAGTGATGTAACAGTACCACTTTATACTGTCAGTGATGTAACAGCACCACTTTCTACTATCAGTGATATAACAGCACCACTTCCTACTGTCAGTGATATAACAGCACTTAAAACTACCAGTGAACTGACGTTTAATGACTTGACTAAAAATGTTCAACTTTTTAGCTCAAAGAGGTACCATCTTGAAGAGAGCCCATTCTTGTCAATTTCACATGCTGGTCAATGCCCTGTCAAGCATCTGTCAGATTATATTAGTATTATATGATAGTCATGCAGTTTCCAATGAAGTAACTTTGCACAGTCTATAGTAGAGCTTCTGGTATTGGTCCACAGAGAGATGTGCTCATTTCACAATTGTGCCATGAGAGAAAAAAAAACTTCTTCTCTAGTTCAGTGGTCATTGGAGACAATACTTCCTGTCCTCTCACCCACACACATCAAGGTGGGCAGAGTCTGGATATTTCTGTCCTTGAAATCAGCTAATTACTCCCAGCAGGTGCCTCCTTCATTTCTCCCCAGACAGTCTCTGCCAGCCACTGATAAGCAGCAGATACTGGATTGGTTTGTGTAATCATTCCACTTCTGAGCCAGCTGAGAGACAGGTGTAATTATCACCTACTCGGCACCAGGTAGTGTGGAGATCTAAGGTAACCTGGATGTCTCTCCATACAGTGATGTCAAGGTGCGTTACTCGGTACTAGCAGTGCCGTCAATCTGGTTGGGATGAGGACAGGTCAATTAGTACAGAACAGTCATGCGATTGAGTAACTGTATGACTTTTATGTTGGCACATGCACTGCTATCATGCCCCTAGTTTTTTTTTTTTTTTTTTTTTTTCTTTTTCAGAGTAATTAAATTCCAGAGCTATAGCTTGAGAATTCCAATCTTTGAACAACTTGCATTCTGGTGATGTTTCATTGAATAGGTGTAGAGGCAAACTAAAACCTAATCTTGTTCCATCTGATGAATTTTTTATCCGGCTATTCTGTGGCACCTTTTTAATTAAGACGCAGTCCTTTGATGGCTCAGAACCGAAGAGCTTCCTAGTTAAGAAATCAAGTCCAGGACCATCAATCTCTTTGGCTTCATATGAACCAAGTCTGGCAGACCTCCCTGATTCCAGCAGCCTAGACCAATCTGTGTGCCAAGTCTAGAGATTTCAACTTGTCCTCAGTGCCACAGATCATGCCTGTAATAGAGTTTTCCCCCAATGAATTCACCAAGGGCCATTAGACAGACACCTGTATTTGGATCTCAAGGTCTTCTATATTTTACGTTAGAACTGCCAGCCACTGGCCACACTGGAGAGAGTTTGCATAGTTTGGCTACCAATGTGTTCCCATGCACAAAACAGCCAGTATATATATAGCACTAAAACTGTATCATTTGTTCCACCAAACGGACCCCAAAAAAGCTTTTAAGTGTTGATCAGTCTCATGTTTCCTATTGATCCAGTTTTTACCACACAACCAAATCATGACTGCTAATGCATATTAATCTCTCTGTGTCAATTACGGCCAACACTGGATGAAGAGAAGTAGTCTTTAATACATCTTCCCAAGAAAATAAAGTTCATCTTCATGAATTATGGAAGATGTTGGAAGGAAAGTGTAGGCATTTATATGTGATTTTGACCTCATCATCTCCTTTCCTTGGCCCTGCCCTTCAACCCACCATGAAGGTTTTATCTTTAACCTCAGCCTTAAAATTGGTTTTTAATCAATCAAATCTCCATTGAATTCTTTTGAAATGGCCATGTTAATCTGGAACTCAGTCCCCCCAGACCAAGATGTCACCCTGGGCTACGACCTCTGACCTGGAGCTTACTCAGAATTCACTGCCATTTTCTAGGGAATACTTAAGCAATCTTATACTTCATTTCTTTTTTATACCATTAAATTCACATCCTCTTCATGTCAAGGAGAATTCTGTTCACAAGTGTGTGTGTGTGTGAGAGAGAGAGAGAGAGAGAGAGAGAGAGAGAGAGAGAGAGAGAGAAGGAGACTTACAAACTACCCTGGCAGGAGCATACAGACTAATATAGTGTATAAAAAAAGGTGCAAAATGTCTTTTTTCCATTTTCTTTATTCTCCAACCACCATCAAATTGTTTTGACCTTTACACCATTCACTCCTGATCCCCATGTTTTCACAACAAAATCTCAGTGGGGATTGTTCATGATAAAACTGGGCTGCTGGCACTGAGTGATGTCATAGGAGACTAAAAATGCATCAATCTAGCCTTTTAGCGATAAGGGTAAAACTCAAAGCAACAGGAATGTCATCTTAGAAAGCGATGCAAATGTAACAAACAAAACAAGGTGAATTAGTACTCTTGTACCACATACTAATTCTAAAGAAGTTTAAATTTTTTAGGGAAAAAAAACCCCGAAAAATATCTGTAGATAAATTGTCAGCTTTCATATGTTGTCGCATCAATCTCAGTGTGGTAGC